TAGGGCACCTGGGTGGCTCCATCAGTTAAGTGTCTGACTCTTGGTTTCGGCTCAGGTCATGATCTTAGGGTTGTAAGATCAAGCCCTGCATTAGGCTCCATACTCAGCGAGGAGTCTGCTTGAGATTTTCCCACTTTCCCTCTCCCTCTGTTCCCCCCCACCCTCATCTCACATGCTCTCTCTCTCTATCTCAAATAAATAAATAGATCTTAAAAGAGAGAGAAAAGAAAAACTCCACTTCCAGCTTCTGTAAAATTGATTTTTCTCCTACCTCACCAACTCCTTCCTTCCTTTCCTCCACTCAGGTCCCACCCCAGGCTTGTTTCACTCTCTACCTAAAGCCTCCAAAGAGATCTCATCTAGCCCCAAAGCCTTTACCATCATACATATGTCAATAACTCCACATTTTTATTTCCAGTCCCTATCTTTCCCAGGACTTCAGAAGTATAGCTAAGAGGCTACTTAACAAACTTCTCTGCCAGAACTCTGATAACTCTCAACATCCTTCTCCACTTACACGTGTGAAAATCTTTCTGAGTCCAATAATTACATTCAAAACCACCTACATCTCAAGAAATAGCACCACCATGAACCCCAGTTCTCAGATCAAAACCTAGAAATCATCCATCCTTCATGCCTCCCTTTCCTTCAACGTTCCATTACAATCCATTAGTAAATCCAGTAGTTTCCATCTCCAAAACACACCATGAAACCAAATGAATTAACCAAAGAATCATCACTTCTCTCGAAGACTACTTCAGAAGCCTCTCAACAGTTCTCCCTGCTTCTATTCTTACCTCTTCCCCTCTCTACCCAAATCTGTTCTTCACAAAGTAGCCAGAACTGATTGTTTTTTTTAAATGTCAATCAATTTGTGTCACTCTTCAGAGTAAGGGACTTCTTCCCAGCTAATTTCATGAATGTATATTGCCCATGCCCTTAAAAAAAAAAAAAATCATGCATGACCCAGCCCTTGCCTAATTCTTTGATACCATTCTTTGCCACTTTTGCCTCGGCACACAGTAAGTGCTCAAAATTATTAACAATTAACATTTGTTGAGTACATATTTTGTGCTCAGCATCCTAATGAGTTGCATTAATTAATGATCTAAACAGTGGTTCTTAACATTTTCTGGGTGAGTCACATCTCCAGAAATCTGGGGTGGGGGGGCAGTTACAGCCTCATTCCCTGGAAAATGTACATACGTATAAAATTTTTCAACATGTATTTTTCTCTAACCTGAATTTTTTCCCCCAAATAGTCTAAGGGAATTTCCAGCAATATTCTAATCGGCAAAGAACTCAACCCTAATAAATTGCCTTAACTAAAGCACCCAAAAATGGTAACAAAGAAAAGCTGTGTGTAACACACAAAATTCCAACTTTCAAACTCCTTAGGAATGTTGGTGATGGGAAGCTCAACCATAACAAAAGTGAACCTATCGAGAATAGGATCTGATAACAAACAACGGTGGTCTTATGATACCACAAGTCTGGAGCATAACTCAGACTCTGCTATGAGTGTTACTCTCATACATTAAGTAATCTCAAAGTTTTCCTTTTTAAAGAAATCCCAAGCAGGGCGCCTGGGTGGTTCAGGAGGTTAAGGGTCTGCCTTCAGCTCAGGTCATGATTCCAGGGCCCTGGGATCAAGCCCCATATCGGGCTTTCTGCTCAGCAGAGTCTGCTTCTCTGTCTCCCTCGGCCCTCCCCCTCTGCTCATGTGCTCTCTCTCAAATAAATGAATGAAACCTTTTTTAAAAAATCAAGTATGCAAACAGAGTGAGTACAGAGATGGCTAGAAGACCAATGGGGGAAAAATGTTTCCAATATTTTTCCTAGCCAAAAGAGTAAAAGAAATAGAGAAGACAGGAAAAAAATCTAATACAAGGAACACAGCTCTAAAACCTATAAAACTTAGGGACGCCTGGGTGGCTCAGTGGGTTAAAGCCTCTGCCTTTGGTTCAGGTCATGACCCCAGGTCCTGGGATCAAGGCCCGCATCGGGCTCTCTGCTCATCGGGGAGCCCACTTCCCTCCCCCTCTCTCTCTGCCTGCCTCTCTGCCTACCTGTGATCTCTGCCTGTCAAATAAATAAAATATTATAAAAAAATAAATAAAACCTATAAACTTATACATATAAAAACAATTTAGTAATAAACTAAAAATTTTAATAGCAATTACTTCTACTTCTATCACCTGGCTGATTTTTTTTTTAATTCTGGCAAGATATACATAATAAAATTCACCACTTCAACCATTTTTAAGGGTACAATTCGGTGGCATTAAAAACATTCACACTGCTGTGTAACCATCATTATCATCCATCTCCTGAATATTTTCACCATTCCAAACTGAAATTCTCTACTCATTAAATAGTAACTCCCCATTCCCTTAGCCAACTTTTTAAATAATCCTTTTTTTCTGGCAAGAAAAAATACATTTTAAGACAGAATCCAGGAAGGAGAAGGAATTGCTCTCTCTCCCCCACCCCCCCTTTTTTTAAGATTTATTTATTTGAGAGAGAGAGCGAGCAGGAGCACACAGAGAATCCTCAAGCAGACTCCCCACTGAGCATGGAGCCCTAGGTATGGCTCAATCTCAGGACCCTGAGATCATGACCTGAGTTAAAAATCAAGAGTTGGCTGCCTGAGCCAAGCAGGCACCCCAGGGAATCTCTTTTGACTCTGAACACCCATAATTTCTTATACAGTATGCACATGCGCTCAAAAAACCTAAGTTAAGCTTGAAACCTGAGGCTAATATATTATTTATGTAAATATTCTAAAAGGTCTGCTGCTTGCCAGACACTGTGCTAAACTCTGGGATCCAACTATTAACAGGACAAGATTTGGAGTTTATAAACCAGCATGAAAGGGGCAAACAGAATAACTATGCTGACAATGAAGGTATGAAATAGTAAATAATAGTGAAAACAGGCAACTCCAGATACTGTGTGTTCTGGGCAACCTTCTCTGAGAGGTGACATCTAAAATGAGACCTGACATTATCTCAGGATAGTGAGATCGAGTCCTGCGTCGGGCTCAAGTTCAGAGCAGAGTCCGCTTGAGATTCTTTCCTGGTCCTTTTTCCTCCCCCTTCTCCCACACACGTTCTCTCTCACTTCTCTCTTTCTTTTTAAAAGGGTACAAAATAACAAATAAATAAATACATAAGAAAGACCTGAGGGGCGCCTGGGTGGCTCAGTGGGTTAAGCCTCTGCCTTTAGCTCAGGTCATGATCCCAGGGTCCTGGGATGGAGCCCCCCATCGGGCTCTGCTCAGCGGGGAGCCTGCCTCCACCTCTCTGCCTACTTGTGATCTCTGTCTTTCAAATAAATAAATAAAATATTTTAAAAAAGAAAAAGAAAAAGAAAGACCTGAAAGTGCAAAAGTGTTTACATGATTGATTAATCTTTACCTTTCCCAAAGAACTTAGCATTAAGCCTTTCCTATAATGGGAACTCAGTAATAGCTCTCCTGGCCTGAATTTCCTTATTCCTGAAATAAACTTCCAAGATTTTTTTCCAAACACAAAATGTGTTTGAGAAGAAAAAACTACACGCCAATAAAATGGACATGGGGATGGTGGCGGTAGAAGCAAAATTTAAATGAGTTCAAAAATGACTGCAAAACCTTAACTAAGGCAGAACAGCGCGCAAAAACATGTGGTTATACCAAAACCACTTAACTGCTATCTGAAATGCCCTACATCTTAGCGTATAAACAGAAGTCATTCACTCACTCATCCTGGGGAAACAACATATACAGTAGAAGCAAGAGTGTATGAGATAAGTATATGGCCACACTGAAGTGTTCAATTCTCTTCTTCCTCTGGACTCTTCATAGGGAGGGGCCATGATAGGGAAACGGTGCCAATCTACGCAGACAGGAGAGTATCAGGTTTTGCTTGCGGCTTAATCCCGGGATGAGGTCAGTCACCAACCCTAGCTAGGATTTGAGAGAATCGTTCCAGATGCTCCAAAAGAAGAAAATCGACCCTTCAATGGGGTGCCTGAGGAGAAAGCGACACTAGGTCACCGCATTTACCCCAGCAGTATCTCCTCCTCGGCCCTGCCTCACCCAAATGGGGCTAAGGCAAGGCCAGGGCGACCCCAGTCCTTTCTCCTGGAATGCGCCCCACGAGGGTGCCCTCCTTCACCCTCTTGATACAGAGGGGAAGCCGGGCACCTCCAGAGCTTCTGTGAAGTACCGCCGAGCTTGAGGACGAACTCGCAGTGGAAAGAAAAAGTGGAAAGCAAAGAGTTGGAGCCCAAGAAAAAAAAGCGTTAGTTTACGGGGCAGACAGAGTGGAAGTCCCCGGCAGAGCAAAGAAGGAGGTTGCAGGGAAAAGATTCCTAAGCCGGCTCTTACCGTCTGTGGGAGACGCCATCTTCCAGCCCATGTCACGTGACGTGGCCAACTGTCGGCGGGAAAGCAAAGATCCATAAGCCACGCCCCCCCAAGAAATCCTATCCTCAGCTCGCAGCCCCGTCTCATTTCCCCGCCCTATAGGGCAATCTTTGCCTAGCCCCGCCCCCAGTGCTGGCCACACCCCCTCGCGTAGGGAAAGGAGGTGGAGCGACTGCAAAGTTCTTGAAGGGTCTTATTTATGTTCCTCGGAGGCGGGGGTGGGGCCGCGGTCGTCCATGCGGCCAATCGGGGTTCCCGTTTAGGGGGCGTCTCCTCCGAGGGCTCAATGCGGAGTACCCTAGCCAGGGGCGACTACCCTAGCCAGGGGCGACTGCCCTGCCTCCGCCAACAGAATTTGTTGAGGTGGGAGGGGGCTAGGGCTCCTCCACTTTTGACCAATCGTATATCTCTAAGACTGGGACTAAGGGGTGGAGTCAGGTGTTAGGGCGAGTGATTGGCTAGAGGAAATAGTCTTCTCCACCAATGAGGCGGTGCGGCAGGATTGCCGGGGCTAGGCCTGGCTGCCGTACAGCTTCTGGGGAGTTACCCGCAGTAGGGGTACGTAGAGGAGGGCAGGAGGCGGCTCCGGACCATGGCGGCGGCGGTGGTGGCAGCGGCGGCAATGCGGGCACGGATCCTGCAGGCGAGTGAGGGTGGTACCGAGGGATCGCGAAGCTAGGAATTGCGTCCTTTCCATCCCCTCCGAGCCAAAAAACCCTTCTTAGCCGACCTTCCTGTTCCCACCAGACCCGTGCGGCCCGGTCCCACCCCTTTACTTATTATGCGCCCTCGTTGGGTGCTGGACTGTCACCCCTGGCCCGCTGCCCTTTTACTCTGGGAGGTTCTCCTTCTCTAGCTCTGGCCCACTCTCCTCCCCCAGCCCTCCCAGTCCCTGCAATCACCCTTGCTCTCACCCCTCGTGGTCCCCTCTCACCTCTGTGCCAGTCACCTCTCTCGCACCAGAAATTCCCTTTCCTGGTCACCTTTGTTAGAGCTCTTTCTCCTGCCCAGAGCTACCAGATTGTTCCCTTCCCCCCACGCTACTTCACTGTCTAATAATCCATGGTGAAGGAAGGAAGCGCACGAGGGGGAGGGTCAGCGAATGGACTTGGAATCTCCTTCTAGAAAGCTTACACCGGGTTTTCCCCAAAAGCAGCTGTCTGCTGAGCTGTTTTCCCTAGCTGTGTCTGCATTTTCCACAGGCTGTAGACTGCCCCTTTTCTTGCCAAGACTTTCAGTTAGACTTTTTAGCAAAGTTTCAGGATTCACGTTGGTGGTAAATAAGAACACATAGTTATGCTACCAGTATGTCCCAAGCACATGCCAGGGACTAAACGTCTCTTTTAAAAAAAAAAAAAAATGATAGAACACGAGGTGAGCTAGACTGGTTAAGCATATGCCTTCAGCTCAAGTCATGGTCCCAGGGTTGTGGGATCGAGTCCTGCATCCCGCTCCTTGCTCAGCGGGGAGCCTGCTTCTCCCTCTAAATGCTGCTCCCCCTGCTTGTGCTCAGTCTCTCTCTCTCTCTCTCTCTCTCTCTGACAAATAAATAAAATCTTAAAAAAAAATAAAAAACTGCTTCATATGTAGAAATAATTCTCTTTAAAAAAAAAAAAGAAAATGAGGTGATTAACATCTCTACAACAGGTAATAGAAAATAAACAGGAAGTGTCAATTCCAAGTTCCTAACCCAAAGTCAGCTCCTAGTGTAACAGCACACCCTCATCAGTGGCCCATGGTAGGGATTGGGTCCCTTCTGAAGCTGGCCTAAGGAGAGGTGGTAGAGCCACAGGAGCTGCATGCCTGAGGCCTGTGGTTTCTAACTCTGTTCATAGCCCTTCCCCAGTTTTAACTGCCTAGCAAGGAGTTAAAAGGTGCGATTTCCTGCGGGAAACATTCTCCAACCTCAACAAACAACATTGCCCTTCTTACTTGTTACAGCCATCCTGGAAACTTCTTCCTCTATATTGCTGGACCTTTATATAATATTAGTACTTACCAGGTTGCAGTGAATTCTACTGCAGAAACTTACATTTGTAAGATTCTTAGCAAAGTCAGCAAAGTTTCATATTTAAATGCTATTTAATGGGACAGCATGGAGCATGGGCTGGAAGAGTTTGTCAGATAATCTGGCTATTTCTTGCTGTGATCCTAGTTTTATTTTTCTAGTATCTTTTTTTAGTAATAGGGATACAAAGTTTCCACCCTGTGTTTTCTATTACCAATTTATCCTTGAAGTCCTTTACTAAAACTAACTTTTTTTCCTTTGCCTCCCCACCTTTAGTGAGTCACTGATCCTTAAGTTATTTTGCCCTGAGATACCTGAGCGGCTCAGTCCATTAAGCATCCAGATCATTTTGGCTCAGGGTTGAGGGGTGGAAGCTCTGTGCTGGGGGTGGAGCCTGCTTAAGGTTCTCTCCCACTCCCCCACCTTCTCCCTATCTTAAAAAAAAAAAAAAGTATTTTGTCCTTTAAATCAAGGAGAAGAGTCTTCCTTCCTATGTACTTTATTGTGGAAATAGACACTATTTTCTGATTCATTTGAAGAAACTTCTGAGTTGACCTGGAAAAGAACAGAAATAGTAATCCTTAGCCACAGAGTAGTAACTGTAACACCAAACTTTGATAAGGGGCGCCTGGGTGGCTCAGTCATTAAGCGTCTGCCTTCAGCTCAGGTCATGATCCCAGGATCAAGCCCTGTGCGAGCCCCACGTGGGACTCAGCTGGAAGCCTGCTTTTCACTCTCCCACTCCCCCTGCTTGTGTTACCTCTCTCACTGTTTCTTTCTGTCAAATAAATAAAATCTTAAAAAAAAAAAAAAAAAGAAAAGAAACTTTGATAAAGAGTGGTCTAGATTCTGGCAGTCATGAATTTCACAGGATCATCAAAGGATCTGTAAAGGAAAGAGTTCGTGTTTTCAGTAATTTTAAGTACATTTGGTCCTTGATGTTCAATGGCTAAACTTAAAACTTTTTCACTTTACGGTGGTGTGAAAGCAACACATAATTGTATTTGGAATTTTGAGTTCTTATGCCCCCCATCCCCCAGTGAAATGCAGTATGATACTCTTGAGGGACACTGGGCCTCAGCAGGGGTCACAGCTCTCCGTCAGCCACGTGATCACAAGGTTAAACAGCCGATACACTTATAACCATTCTGTACTCATACAACCATTCTGTTTTTCACTTTCAGAACTGTATTCAATTGACTACATTAGCTATTCAACACTTTATTATAAAATAGTCTTTCTGTTAGTTGGTTTTGCCCAACTTCAGGCTAATGTACACGTCCTGAGCACATTTAAAGTAGGCTAGGCTAGGCGATGATGTTTGATAGGTTAGCTATATTAAGTACATTTGCAACTTATAGTGGGTTTATCACTTGCATTGAGAGATAAGAAAACCAGTCTTAAAGAGACACAGGACTGGCCTTCAGTGATTTGGTTTAAAGAGTACAGGGTTTACAATCATACTTGCATTCTTTCCAAGCTCCACCTTTTTTTTTTTTTAAGATTTATTTATTTCAGAGAGAGAAAAAGAGAGCATGATCAGGGGGAGGGGCAGAGGGAGAGAGAGAATCTCAAGCGGACTCCACACTGAGGTTGGAGACTGACGCAGAGCTCAATCTCACAACCGTGAGATCATGACCTGAGCTGAAACCAAGAGTAGATCACTTACCCAAATGTGCCACCCAGGCGCCACCTAGCTCCACCACTTTCTATTTTTAAGAAAATTTGTGAAGACTGGAATTCATGAATATAATAAAGTCAATTACCTGACAGTTAAGGTGATCCAGGTTCTCCCAAGTAGTGACTGATGGGGCTGAGATTTCAGGACTTGGTATCTCTTTTTGTGTCAAGTACTGTCCCCAGGCTTTGGGAAAAGGAGAGGTAAGTGCAACTCTCACTGAAGGCTCCTCTGTTATAATGAATGATAAGTGCTAACAGTGGGAGTACACAGAGTACGGCAGGGCTGTAGGGAAACGATCCCAAACTCAACTTGTACATTTCAGGAAAAGATTCCAGAAGGAGTTTGCTTCAGGTTTGAGTTTTGCAAGACTAGCAGACCTTCAGCTAAAGGGAAAAAGGAGTGCCTGATAAAGGAGGAAATAGTAAGAGAGGAAGAATTTTGGTGTGACTGATTGAAGGATAGTTTCTTTAGCAACAGTGCTAGTGAGTGTTTCTTGGGAAATGAAGATAGGAGATCCAACTTATCAAAAACTATATGCTAATGTTTTATTATGCCAGATGCAGTGCCTTTTATGCCCTCTTGATGGCAGGGAGACTGCGTGCAAATGAAAAAATAAAATTAAGTGGCCCAAAATGCCCAAGTTGGCTGATCTGTACATTTCCTGCTCTGTAAGAGAGTAAACATGAAACATAATTAATAGCAAATGATTGCTTGGTGAATACTCATTCTTTCATTCTGCAAAAATATTACTGAATGCTTACTCGATTCCAGGAATGGGGCCAAGGGTAGAGAACACAGCCATCTAGTGATCTGAGAGGAGAGAGACTTAATAATTAAACTATTATTCTACAATGTGGTATAAGAAATAGAGGAATTTAGGTGTTACATGAGCACTATAACCAGGTGCTTGGCCTAGATTTGAGATTTTCACTTAAAAGCTTCTGACTCTGCTATTTCCCCCTCACTCTCAGAAGTTAACCTTGTTTTTTCAACTTCAGAGGCAACAGAAACCATCAATTGAGAATTTCCTCAGCTTTTTACTAGCAAACATACGAAACTGACCTGCACTGATGCCCATGATGGCTACATAGGGAACCAAGGAGTAGGAGTGAGCCAAGCAGATGGGATGAAACAATTGCAGGCAGGAAGGGGCAGCACATGCACAGGCAGAGAGAGCACAAAACGTGTTCCAGATGCCTACAGCATAGGCACAAGGAGGACATGGCCAGCTATGAAACTAGATTAGTAAAGATGCTGTGTGAAGTCTTCTAAGCAGCATCAAGATTAGTTTTTAAGAACAGAGGAAAGCCATTGGAGCTCTTTAAACAAGGGAATAATCTGCCCAGATTAGTGTTTTAGAAAACCCCTCTAGCCACGGGTTGGGAAACCAGATTAAGAGTGCACAAAAGTGGAGCCTGTGGGGTACCTGGGTGGCTCAGTGGGCTGGGCCTCTGCCTTCAGCTCAGATCATGATCTCAGGGTTCTGGGATCGAGGCCTGCATCGTGTTCTCTCTGCTCGGTGGGGAGCCTGCTTCCCTCTCTCTCTGCCTGCCTCTCTGTCTACTTGTGATCTCTGTCAAATAAATAAACTCTTAAAAAAAAATTAAGAGTGGAGCCAGGAAATCTGTTAGGAAACAGTTACTGAAGTCCAGGAGAGAGACAACGATGATAGAGACTGTGGTGATGGCAGGAGGGGTAGAGAAAAAGGGCTGGGTTCAAAGGACTACTAGGAGGGCAGATTGCCAGGATTTGTTTGATTCAGTGTGGAGAGAGGGAGGGAGGAGTTGGGGTGATGATGTTCAGGTTTTCTTTTGGGTAACTAGGTGAATAGTGGCCCCCTTCTCTGAAGGTGGGATATAGAAACAGGGCAGCTTGGTGAGAGAAAGGTGAGTTCAGCTTTTTCTTTTCTTTTTGGTTAAAGATTTATTTATTTGTTTGTTTGTTTATTTATTTATTTATTTATTTATTTGACTGACAGAGAATACAAGTAGGCAGAGAGGCAGGCAGAGAGAGAGGGGGAAGCAGGCTTCCTGCGGAACAGAGAGCCCGATGCGGGACTCGATCCCAGGACCCTGAGATCACGACCTGAGCCGAAGGCAGAGGCTCAACCCACTGAGCCACCCAGGTGCCCCAAGTTCAGCTTTTTCATTGTGCACCTAAGTAACATCCATGTTGAGGCGTGATGACGACACTTAGACGTCACTTAGGATGAGTCCGCAAAGAAGGCAGAGAAGTGGCAGAAGAGATTTCAGGACATCCCTGAAGACGAGTGAAAAGGGCACAAAAAAGTCCAGTACAGGAGGACGTGGAAGCACATGGGATGTAGGAAATCACTGGTGTTTAGTTATGAAGGCTGGAGTAGATTGAAGGGTTAGTGGGAAATGAGGAAATAAGGTCATTAGCAAAGAGAATCCTTGCTGTTGGATGGAGAGAGGTTTAAGTTTCAGGAAAGGATAATTGGAAGTGTCTGCGGTGGGCTTTAGAGCACAGGCAGAGATGGCCCGCAGTTGGAGGAGAGGAACCTTGTCAGTCAGTCCATAGGTAATAGTTGTGCACTTCTGTGCACAACACAGAAGTCACTTAATCCTCGTAGAGCTTGCTAGCTAACTGCTCCCTTCTAAGAGGAAGGGAGGAAAAAATGATAGGTATAAGTCAGTTTTGTAGATTGGCTAGTAAGAAGTTGACATTCTCATCTGTTGGTTTCTGTTCCCTTTGAAGGAGGAAGAACAAAGATCAGCTCCTGAGCGAGAGAGGGGGGAAGCAGCAGGGTTGGAAGCTTTGAGAGAATAAGGTTTGAAATAGCAAGGAGTGAGATAAGCTTTTAAGTAGCCGGGAGTAAGAGCAAATAAGTGGCAGGGAGATAGAGAATGCAAGGAGATATGAGATAGTAGCAAGGAGATAAGAGAAGTTTCGAAATAACAAGGGGTGAGAGCAAAAAGTGTAAGAGTAACACTGAATGAGCACCGACAACTTAGCTAATTTTCCATATCTGGACAGTCTTGATCACAATAACTGTAAAGTAAGTGACTAAGACAGATGCAGTGCCTACCTTCGTGAAACTTCAGCCTTTTGGGCAACAGACAAGTACCCAGGCAATTAAAATACAGATAAACCTGATAGGGGAAGTACTGGCTGCTAACCTGGTCTGGGGTGGGGGCAGTCGGCCACCCAGTGGACCTTTCATTTGTTCTGTAGATACTTATTAAACACCTGCTAGGTACCAGGTACCATGTTGGTGTTGGGAATATGGCTATAAATAAGACATGGTGGCCTCCAGAAGAGTGTTTAGTCTGAAATGGTTTTTGTGGGGAATGGGAGAGGAAGTAGATGAGGCATTTGGAAGAACTGTTTGCTGGCCCAAAGGACGTGCATCCTTTCCCCTGGAAAGTACCGCAGGAACACAAATTCTTCCACTTCAGGTAGCCCTAAACCCTTTGGTTAACATGTCTATCTTCAGACAAAATAAAAGATTATTAGATTGCAGTTTTCCTTTATATCCCATTCCAAGTGTTTCAGTTTTCTCACTTTGACTTGAATATTTCTTAAATCAACTTCTATAGCATATATACAAATGGGGAGTTATTTTATTGTAACTGGCTCCTCCCCCTCCAACTGGGTTATATCCTATTCAATGTTACCTATACGTCACATTCTTTTCCTACATGTGGCATTTTTTAAAACCGCTTTCTTAAAATCGACGTAAACCATACATATTTAAAGTATACCATTTGATAAGTCTTATATTAATATACACCTGTGAAAGCATCATCACAATCAAGATAGGGGGCCTATCCATCACCCCAAAAATATTTCCTCTTAGCCCTTCCTCATTTCTGCCATCATCCCCAGGCAACCACTGATCAGCTTTCCAACACTATGTTTGCATTTTTTAGTTTTATGTAAATGGAATCGTACACTGTGTACTGTTTTTATGTCTGACTTCTTTCACCCAGTATAATTGTTACAGTTATCCATGTTACTGCCTGTGTAATGGTTCCTTTTCCTTGCTGAGTACTATTCCACTCTATGGATATACCTCATTAGTTTCCCTGTTCCAGCCAATGGCAGACATTTGGGTCGTTGCTGAGTTTGGGGCTATTACAAAGCTGCTATGAGCATTTGTGTTCAGGTATTTATATGGGCTTATTATCCTTACATTTGACACTTGGTTATATACTATCTGACATTTGACACCTATTGTGTCAGATACCATTGAAGAGTTTTCATATTAAGATTTGTGGTGACTACCATTTCCAGGCCAAAAATTAGGAAAATGTGGCCTTAAAAAAAGTATTTTATATTATGATTTATATTATGGTTTCTTATTTTCTCATAGTTTGCTGTACCTCATAGTCTGGTATCTTTTCTCTTCAAAGACTTTGGGATCCTGGGGCACCTGGGTGGCTCAATGGGTTAAAGCCTCTGCCTTCAGCTGGGGTCATGATCTCAGGGTCTTGGGATCGAGCCCCGTGTCAGGCTCTCTGCTCAGCAGGGAGCCTGCTTCTTCCTCTCTCTCTCTCTGCCTCCCTCTCTGCCTACTTATAATTGCTGTCTGTCAAATAAGTAAATAAAATCTTTTTTTTTAAAAAAGGCTCTATGACTCTTAAGAGCAAACACCAAGTCCTTTTCCATACACCCACAGCAACTGGTGTAATGTTAAGTATATGGTAGCCATTTGCTACTATATATACAATAATTTTCTGCTCTCATTTATCAAAATAATCATTCTTTTACCCCACAGGTCTCTTCCAAAGTGAATTCCACTTGGTATCCAGCATCCTCCTTCTCTTCATCAGTGGTAAGTTTATTTGGCACTAAAGTTGGACTTCTGAGAAGCAATACGGTTTAATTTGGGGGTATTCCCATTTACCTTCTTAACATAATTGTGATCAGAATATATGTGAAATTTTCTATCTTTGTTTTCTTACCTAATGTTATGTTTATTATATGTCATAAACATTTTCAGTATTGCAAAGTGCTCTTTATAGTTATGATTTTTTTTTAAAGATTTTATTTATTTATTTGACAGACAGAGATTACAAGTGGGCAGAGAAACAGTCAGAGAGAGGAGGAAGCAGGCTCCCTGCTGAGCAGAGAGCCCGATGTGGGGCTCGATCCTAGGACCCTGGGATCATGACCTGAGCCGAAAGCAGAGGCTTTAACCCACTGAGCCACCCAGGCGCCACTATAGTTATGATTTTAATGGCTGCATAATAGTCTAACAAATATATATAGCCAGAATTAACTAAAAATGTTCCCATCTAACACCTAGATTGATTCGGTTTTTCAATATTAAAAACCCAACATTTACTTATATAGTTTTTTCCTTCTTTTAGATTATTTCCCTTCTGAGGTAAGATTACTATGTCAAAAAATACAGACATTTTCATAGCTTCTAGAGGTTTTATTGATCCTGCCAGGTAGCTGTCCTCTTCACAATCTTTTAAAAATTGTTTTTATAGAACTGTCAACCATTTGTAGTACCTAAAATTAATAAATAAGGATAGGTGCTCGAAGTCCTTTCTATTTAGAAATATATACTGTAAGTAACACTGTAGTCCATCAACCTTTTTGGTCCACAACCCCCTCTGAAAATTTAATATAAGCAAGCTACTTCTCAGAAGAACTACACACAAAAATATTTTTTTTAAATCTTTTAATCATAAAGGTCATACCTGCTCATGGTGGCCAGCAAGTCATACTAGCTAATCTTTGTTAACACAGAAACTGCTACTTTTTTAGTAGAAGCCTCACAGTGACATCAGGTTCCACATTGTGCATTAGTAGGGAATTTTCCTTTCTCAGAGAGATCACAGTATTGAGATGCTCAGCCACATGTTAATGAACACTACAGACAAGTATCTCTTTCTTGGTGGTAACATTTCTAGAGAACAGAAGGTTCACCTACCAACCCTGAATTCCTTCCTCTTTGTGAAAGGGAGAGAAGCAATGAACTAATACAAAGTTTTGTGGGGTTCTTATTTTCCAGCCAACTGTAAAGCTCTTCATTGATGGGAAATTTGTTGAATCCAAAAGTGACAAATGGATTGACATCCACAACCCAGTAAGCAAAGCTGCCTTGGGATTTAAGCTGGCTAGCCTAGAATTCCGGGAATGTGGTGGGAAACGAGGGACCTGGGTGTCTGTCATATGAAATACATAGTGGCTGCTGCTGTGACTAGATGAAAAATGCAGAAGTCGGGGCAGGGGCAAAAGATGATGTATTGCTTTTCCCCATCAGGCCACCAATGAGGTCATTGGTCGGGTTCCTCAGGCTACCAAGGCTGAAATGGATGCAGCTGTTGCTTCCTGCAAACGTGCTTTTCCTGCATGGGCAGACACTTCAGTGTTAAGCCGCCAGCAGGTCCTACTCCGCTATCAACAGCTCATTAAAGAAAACTTGGTAAGAAATCAGAATGGTATGATTTTCCAAACTGTTGCCTAGGATACTTATCACACCCACAGAAGGCCCTGTCAGCCGCCTTCCATAACTCTGCAATCCAGAAAGACACAGATCATGGCTTCCTCCCTGGTACTGCCTCACCCCCAGTTTTGTTCTTCCTTGGCTACCTAGGAACTACAGGGAAGTACATCCTTGCATTGGTTTCTATTTATATGTATTTTCTCTAGAAAGAAATTGCCAAGTTAATCACACTGGAACAAGGGAAGACCCTCGCTGATGCTGAAGGAGACGTATTCCGAGGCCTTCGTAAGCTGGGAGTCCCTCTTGGGGGAGTTCAGGAACTCTCTGGGAAGGAGCAAAGAAAGATGGGAGACAGAGATCTCAGAATGGGAGGTTACTTCTTCCTCTGTGTAGATTTTGCTATTCCATGATATCTTTTATAATACTTATGGAAAATGGCAATACTTCCCAGGTACATAGGAGATCAGTTTCCTTCATTTATCTTACTTGATCTTCCAGCAGGTGAATGCATGTCACTCTCTTTTTTTCTCCCCCACTTTGGAGAATCTCATTTTGCACATCCCTTTCACGTGGAAGGGCCACTCAGTGTTTCTTCCCTGTGTCATCAGCCTGAACCATTCTCTAGCCTTAGGGATGACTAGAGCATGACACAGCTAGGTAGTACACAGTGGAGAGCTGGTGGCCTGACTGCTTCTCTGCTCCAGAGGTGGTCGAGCATGCCTGCAGTGTGACATCCCTCCTGCTGGGAGAGACCATGCCATCCATCACCAAAGATATGGACCTTTATTCCTACCGTCTGCCTCTGGGGCTATGTGCAGGCATCACTCCGTTCAACTTTCCTGCCATGATCCCCCTTTGGATGTTTCCCATGGCCATGGTGTGTGGAAATACCTTCCTGTTGAAACCATCAGAGCGAGTTCCCGGAGCAAGCATGCTTCTTGCTAAGTTGCTCCAGGACTCTGGTGCCCCAGACGGAACACTGAACATCGTCCACGGACAACATGACGGTAACTGCCCTTCTGTATGTGGCACTTAATCTGGCTGCCAAAAAAATCAAGGTGTTGAGGGGTGAAGGTTGAGTGGTTTTAGGATGAGGAACCAAGGGAGGAAGGGATTTACTAAAAGTGACCTCCATTTCGGAGGTAATGTTTATGGGTACATCTGTGTGCTCAGGTAAACTAACTGGAGAATAACGATGCTTCTTGTCCTACAGAATAGATTGAGACAAAGAAGTAGGGATTAGGGGAAGACACAGATAAAAGAGAAAGTTTTCTCTTCAGTACTGAGGGATTTTATAGATCTCACAGAGACTAAAGACATTCTAATTCACGTAGTAATAGCGAACACTTAAAAAGCACTTCTAGCCTCTGCCTTCGGCTTGGGTCATGATCCTGGGGAACTGGGATCGAGCCCCACATCGGACTCTCTGCTCAGCAGGGAGCCTGCTTCCTCCTGTCTCTCTCTCTCTGCCTGCTTCTCTGCCTACTTGTGACCTCTCTCTGTCAAATAAATAAAGTATTTTTTTTTAAAGATTTTATTTATTTATTTGAGAGAGAAAGAGAGAATGCACACAAGCAGAGGATAGGGCAGAGGGAGAGGCAGGCTCCTTACTGAGCAGGAGCCTGATGCAGGACTAGATCCCAGGACCCTGAGATCATGACCTGAGCTGAAGGCAGATGCTTAATGACTGAGCCACCCAGTCATCCCAATAAATAAAGTCTTAAAAAAAAAAAACAAAAAAACTTCTGTTTCAGGCACTGTTTCTAGGGCCTTTCAAATATTATCTCATTTAAAATCTTTATAACAATCCTCCAAGGTAAGTACCGTTGTTTTTCCATTTTACAGATAGGAAAACCAAGGCATAATGAAATTAAGTAATTTGCCCAAAGTCACACGGCTAGAAACTACCAAAGCCAGAATGTCAGTACCCAGAAAAGCTGACTTTTAAATACTATGTTATATTGCCATTCACGTGAGGGTACAAGAGTATTTGAGAGTCCCAGTATATAGGGGCAGTTAAGAAAATATCATATTCTTGATAAAAGGAAGAGTTGATACTAAAAGCCTGGTATTTTGGAGGAGAACAGGAGTTGCAGCCTTCAGAATTAGAAGAAATAGCAAATGAGAAAAACAATGAAAGGGAAGAGGCAAAATAGAATTAGTAGTTTAAAAATTTAAGAGATGGAGGTGACTGGGTGGCTCAGTCAGTTAAGTGTCTTGACTATTGTTGTTGTGTTTGTTTGTTTTTTTTAGATGTATTTATTAGAGAGGGAGAGAGAGAGAGAGAGCAAGCTTGAGGAGGAGGGTTAGGGGGAGTGGAAGAGAGAATCTCAAGCATACTCCATGCTAGCGCAGAGCCTGATGCTGGGCTTAATCTCACAACCCTGAGGCTGGGGGTTGAGAACCTCGAGTTGAGGACCTGCGCCAAAACCAAGAGTCAGAGGCTTAACCAACTATGCCCTGGCTTGCCCCCAGCCCCACCCCCCAACTCTTGGTTTTGGCTCAGGTCATGATCGCGGGGTCCTGAGATAGAGTCCTGTACTGGGCTTCATGCTCATCAGGGAGTCTGCTCGGGGTTCTTCCCCTCCCTCTCCCTCTTTTACCCTCCTCCACCTGCTCATCCACATGCACACGCACATGCACAGACTCTCCCTCTCTCTCTCAAATAAAATAATCTCTTAAAAAAAAGAATTTAAGAGATGAAAAGAACTTCAATTTGGAAATCCAGGATAGAAAATAAAAGTATGGAAACTTCTCATTCATAGCAGTGGGAAAGGGGAAATTTGCCATGTTGAGAAGCCCATAGCCATTTGTTCCTTTGTGGTAATTATTTCTTTTCTTCTTAAAGCTGTAAACTTTATTTGTGATCATCCGGATATCAAAGCAATCAGCTTTGTGGGATCCAACCAGGCAGGAGAGTACATCTTCGAGAGAGGGTCAAGACATGGCAAGAGAGTTCAAGCCAATATGGTAACTTCCTATTCCTTTTCCCCCTAAATCTGTTATATGTATTTTAAAAAATTACCTACGAACAGCCCTTCAACAGAGGGGCTACTATGCCACTCTAATGCCAGTGTGTCTTTATTTCCATTTCATCCTGGATGTCTTCCCTCTAGCCATGAACCTTGCAATGAGTTTTATGCTAAGTCGCTTTAATTACCTTTTTATCTTATACACCTAATCTTGGTTTAAAAAAAAAAAAAAAAGGCATCTTTCTCCCTAAGAATGTTATTCAGATTCTTTGGGCTTTTGCAGTAAAAACTAGCTTCTGGTTCTGGTCCTGTATCTTTCTTCATACCATGTTTTGTAGCCCTTTATCCTTCGTTCCTCTCAAGGCATATCCTAACTACTATAATGTCAAAGATGTGCTTTTCCTAAGAGTCCGAGCTATTTAAGGTACTGGGAAGAGCCAAATATCCCTGTATGTGAGTGCAGTTTACCTGGTTGCATAGTTTTGCTGTTCTCTTACTGGCTCCTTGCCTAATACATAGTAATTCTTTGATACTGAATATAAAGTCCAGTGGTCACTTTCTCACCCTTTAGTTAGTGTTGCAGAAAGGATAGCCACCTACGCACAGGCTTAGAAACTGTTCTGATATGCCTGCTTACTTCTTTTTGTGGCTGAATGTCTTTTGGCCAATTCGACTTAAGTCCCTCCCACTTTACTCCATCGTATTTCCTGGGTGTATTCTGTGTAACAGACATGGTATCTATCCATGCACTCCATTGTAGTTGTACAGTAGGCCCTCTTCATCGGTGGGGGATACCTTTCAAGACCCCCAGTGGATCCCTGAAACTGCGGGTAGTCCTAAACTCCATGTATGCTGTATTTTTGCCCATATATACATATGTATGATACACTTTATGAATTAGGCACAGTAAAAGAATAGTAACTAATAATAAAATAGAACAATTTTACCAAATCACTATAACAATATGACCTCTCTTTCAAAATATCTTATTATACTTAACTCACCCTTCTGATGACGATGTGAGATGATAAAATGCCTCCATTAGGACATGAAATGAGGTGAATGATGTGGGCGTTAAGACATAGCTTTAGGAGGAACATCTGCTTCTGGGCCTCAGTTGACCTCAGGGGACTGAAACTGTGGAAAGTGAAACTAGGGACTACTGTATCTGGAAACCTATGTATGGAAATGGCCATGCTTTCCTACATAGTTGTGTATGATGAGGCTAGGTATCTAGAAGCAAGCCAGTTTGGGGAACCTCTTTCCAGAAATTGTGTATCAAGAGGTCCACCTAGTTTGCCTTTCAGCTAGACACTGACATTATTACTAGCAGCTCTTTATTTACATTGATGTTCATATAACTGGAAATCCCAGCAGACAATAAATTGTTTCCTATCTAACTTAGGAAAAAGAAAGGAGTTCTTGGTGCCCGGATGCAGTATTTAGCCTGTCAGTTTGACTGTGATTATGTGGCTGGAGTTTTTATTTTGTTTTTTTGGTAATGGTTTTGATCCAAATAAACACATACCACTTTATCAGCTAAGAAAGTAGGAAAAAAAAGTAACTTGGAGACTTTCTCTGTGCTACCACAACTTCAGCAGTATCGAAATAATAAATCTAGCCTCAAAGCAACAAAGTGTAAATTCTCCCTATTTTTAAATTCTCATTTGAAATCTCAGATTCTTTGCTTAATTTCTGGGCCTCATTATATTTTCCCAAGGAAGATTCATGTACTTTCTGTATTTCCTCAGGGAGCCAAGAACCATGGGGTAGTCATGCCAGATGCCAATAAGGAAAATACCCTGAACCAGCTGGTTGGGGCAGCATTTGGAGCTGCCGGTCAGCGCTGCATGGCTCTTTCCACAGCGATCCTTGTGGGAGAAGCTAAGAGGTGGCTGCCCGAGCTGGTGGAGCGTGCCAAAAACTTGAGAGTCAATGCGGGTAATCAGTTATCTGCCTAGCTCCTTTAGGCTTTGCATCTGTGGCACTAAGCACTTGGTTTTAGCATTGGCCTTGACCGATGGGAGTAATCACATCTACTCTTTAACCTTTGCCTCTCTTTATACTGTACTTGCCATTTGGATTCATCTTTAGTTAACAGTCATAATTTGTGATTATTATTATTATTATTATTATTATTATTATTTGTGAAGACCTTAAATGTTTTTGTGTTGGTTTACAGGAGACCAGCCTGGAGCTGATCTTGGCCCTCTGATCACCCCCCAGGCCAAAGAGCGAGTCTGTAATCTGATTGACAGTGGAACAAAGGAGGGAGCTTCTATCCTTCTTGATGGTCGAAAAATTAAAGTCAAGGGCTATGAAAATGGCAACTTTGTTGGACCAACCATCATCTCAAATGTCAAGGTGAACAACTCTGGATTATTTATCTCACAAACATGAGCATTAAAGGCGCCTTAGAGGCAATGGAACCCCGTCCTTCCAATTTATAAAGGAAGGCATTTAATTACTGAGACGTCAACCCTTGACAGGATTCCTCAGTTATTTTATCTAGAGGCTGAATGAGTCTCCTATCCTGACTCCCCACGTCCTTTCACTATGCTAGTGATTGGCAAACTTTCCGTAAAAGGCTAAATGTTAAGTCTTTTTGGTTTTGCAAGGATAGACAGTCTCTGTTACAACTACTCACTCTTGACATTTTAGTGCAAAAGCACAGTAACATGGTGTGGCTGTGTTCCAATAAACCTTTATTTATGGACAATGGAATTTTAATTTCAAATTAATTTTTCATGTCATGATTGATTTCTTTTGCAGCCATTTAAAAATACGCCTGGGTGGCGCCTGGGTGGCTCAGTGGGTTAAAGCCTCTGCCTTTGGCTCAGGTCATGGTCCCAGGGTCCTGGGATCGAGCCCCACATCAGGCTCTCTGCTCAGCGGGGAGCCTGCTTCCCTTCCTCTCTCTCTGCCTGCCTCTCTGCCTACTTGTGATCTCTCTCTCTCTGTCAAATAAATAAATAAATAAAATCTTTTAAAAAAATAAAAATTAAAAATACAGAAGCCATTCTTAGCTTGTGAGCTGTACAGAAACAAACAGCAAGCCACATTCAGCCCATAGGCCGTATTTTGCCAACCCTATCTTATATTTTTTACATATTTAATGCGAGTTTTTTCTTCCCACTCCTCGTTATCTAGCTTATAGCTCTTGCAGTGTTTCCATCAATATAACCACCACTCAGTATTTATTGAGTACCTTCTCTGTGCTGCCTCTTCACCAAAAAGATACGAAAGAAAAAGTATAACTCTCAGTTTTTATTTATTGAAACCCTGCAAGTCTCACAGCTAAAATTAATGACTAAATCTTTGGAAATTCCTATGTCCCCACTAATCCTATTATAATCCTGAATAATTAAGAGTTGAATGTAAGTGTAGTAGAAATCATGAAGTCTCTTGTCATAGAACCATAGGGGGAAAAATCCACTTATTAGCCACAAACACAGCTAACTGCAGCGGTGAAGGATATTTTGAATGTTTAGTGTGACCTAATATCGAGTTATAATTGCACAGACTCATTTGGGAGGCAAAGGAGTGAATGAGAATGAATTATGTTATGGAAAACTTAGCACAGGTTTTCTTTAAACAGAAACACCTTCCTGTGGTGTTTCCAATATACATTTGATTTATAAAAAATGAATTTTCATGTAACTTTTCAGTAACATAACAACTGTATAAGCAGGTTATACAGTTATAAAAGAGGAAATTAATGATGGGTCATGGGACCTAAAACTATGGTGCTTAAAAGACGAGAGTGAAATTGTTGTTAATGGGAGTTTCAGATCGTTTATATGATTGGCAGCTTGGAAGTTGGAACACAGCAAAGACGGACTTTTTTTTTTAAAGGTGGTTTACAATGAAGAGAGGTTCCTAGCACGAAAGCTGTCCATGTAAGCAGTGGGTAATAAAGTACCAGATAAACATCAAGTACTGACTTCTTTTCTGGATGTATCACTCCTGACAGCCAACAATGACCTGTTACAAAGAGGAGATTTTTGGTCCAGTTCTTGTAGTTCTGGAGGCAGACACTTTGGATGAAGCCATCAAGATAGTAAATGACAATCCGTATGGAAATGGAACTGCCATCTTCACTACCAATGGAGCCACTGCTCGGAAATATTCCCACCTGGTGGACGTTGGACAGGTTTGTGTACAGGATTTTTAGGAGATTCTTGTAGCCATATACTGTTTACTATCTAAGGGAGATGGTGAAGTGATTGGTCGCTGCCCCTCTGATTTCCCATAATGCCCCATTTCTTCCTCAGGAACCAAAGTTCGTGCATGGGATGCAGGAAAGCGTAGAAGTTGGGGTATTTGGAATTGGTCTCTGTGATGTCAGGCATTTGTGCTTCTAGATGGAGAGTTCCTTTGTTTGAGTCCTTTTATTTGATGTGGATTTGTTCTGCTTTAGGTGGGGGTGAATGTCCCTATTCCAGTGCCTTTGCCAATGTTCTCATTCACCGGCTCTCGATCTTCCTTCAGGGGAGACACCAATTTCTATGGCAAACAGGTAACTGTAAGAAAATGTTTTTTCCTCTAAGAAAGTTTCTTGAACATATTCAGGAACAAGGATTCTGCAGGGAAGGGCCTGCCAGTAGCGTTTGTGGGGTCATACGTTGCTCAGCAGGGCTTGTCAGGAAGTCCCCTAGAAAAGATTTAAAAGGTAACAAAATTTTGCCAAAGCTGCTCCTTCCTGAATAACTCAAGGCAGCAAAGTTTTGGAGCAAGAGCAAGAGGAAGTCTAAGCTATTATGTGTATCCTTTCCTCTGCCTGAGATCCTCTCCTCCTGCCTCCCCTCTTTCATCTAACTCTTATTTATCTGTCTTGTCTAAGTTTAAAGCATGGACTCCTCCAGAAAATCACCTCTGACTCCACCCTCCCCTTCCTCAATGCTGGGTTGGGTATGCCTTCATGTGTTCCCATTACATTCTCCTGTATGTTACTCATTTACAAAAATTTTACTGAGCACCTTCTTTGTACCAAACCCTATTCTAGGCACTAAACTACATCGCTGAACAAGGAAAATAAAGCAGATCTGGAACTGAATGGCCTGGTTTCGAACTCCAGCTCATCCAGTTACTAACTGTGTGACTTTGGGCAATACCCTGTGTCTCAGGTTTCTTATTTATAAAATGAGAATAACAATAGTACCTGTAATTCATAAGGTCAGGAAGATTAAATCATCACTATTACCACATCCTTCAGCAGCTACGTATTTCCTAAGGCAGAGGCACAGCAGGTTCACATAGTAGCAGAAATGGGCTGGGGCACAGAGAGTGAATGAGGACGACAGTGGTAAGGAGGGAAAGTCCTGTCAGGCTATGTAAGCCACGATGAGAAGTCTTCATCCTACCGTAATTATTATTTACTTCTTAACTGTGGTACCTGGCAAAGAGCAAGTGCTCAAATATGTGTCAAACAAATTGGCTAATGGAACTTCTTTGTAGCCCCAGAATGATGCAGCCATTTTGGAACCTTCAATAATTAAACCATGTTTCCTATACAGGTCTCTTTCATAGTTCAATAAAAGAAAGAACAGTGCGTGTCACGTAGCAGAATGTTAAAATGATGTTTTGGTTATTTATAGAGGCAGCTTACTCAGTTTGTGCATTAGTCACAGGTTTGGTAGAATTGGCTAGTTTGATACTATTAAGAAAAATTTCTTTTGAGGGAAGCAGAGTAAAACTTTTTTTTTCTCCCCTGTCTTGGTTTACTGTAAGTGATCCTGGTAAGTGAGGTTTCTTAAAGGAAAAGACTGACCCCATACACAGTTTGAAGTCTTAAATTCTTAGGAAATCAAACTGCTATTTTGCATCCTGGAAAAAAGACTTGAAAGTAGATTATAATCTCTCAAATTTTTAAAAATATATTAACATGGCCCAGATTTTGTCCAATAATTCTAAAAAAGTATTTTAATTAAGCTAGTGTGTTTTTTCCTAACAACATCTTCTAGCTTGCTAGTATTTTTTTTTTAAGACTTCATTTATTTAATTATTTGAGAGGCAGAGGGGAAGAGCAGAAGGGTAGGGAAAGCAACAAGCAGACTCTGCTCCGAGTGTAGAGCCCCATGAAGGGCCCCATGTAGGGCTCAATCTCACAACCCTGATATCATGACCTGAGCCAAAGCACATCAGATGCTTAACTGTCTGAGCTACCCAGGTGCCTCTAGTTTGTTAGTATTTTTTGTGTCAGATCTGAACAGTCTATTCTTTTTTGCTCAAGCCTATTCTTACAAAATAAACTATATATATAATCTTAAATATGCTGAATTTTTAAAAAAGATTTTATTATTTAGGGGCACCTGGGTGGCTCAGTGGGTTAAGCCTCTGCCTTCGGCTCAGGTCATGATCTCAGGGTCCTGGGATTGAGCCCCGCGTTGGGCTCTCTGCTCAGCGGGGAGCCTGCTTCCCCCTCTCTCTCTGCCTGCCTCTCTGCCTACTTGTGATCTCTCTCTCTGTCAAATAAATAAAATCTTTAAAAAAAAAAAAGATTTTATTATTTATTTGACAGAGACACAGCGAGAGAGGGAACACAAGCAGGGAGAGTGGGAGAGAGAGAAGAAGCAGGCTTCCTGCCGAGCAGGGAGCCTCATGTGGGGCTCCATCCCAGGACCTGGGATCATGACCTGAGCCAAAGGCAGATGCTTAACAACTGAGCCACCCAGGCACTCCAAATGTGCTGATTTTTTTTTGATCCCCATTATAGGTGAATTAGAAGTGACTGTGTGTAATATCAGACATTTTACTTTAGATTTATACGATATTATGGATTTTACTACATCAGTATAGAGCTATTTATCACTGACATTTGTCAGAAACAGCCTAATATGTATCTCATCCCTTCATGCCTTTTTCTTCTTCTCATGCAGGAGAGAAAAACTAATAGCAGTTACTTCACTACAATGTTTGTAGATCCTTTCATTTTCCCCTCACAGTAATGCTGTGCTGGGCAATAGGTCACAGGCAAGGCCCAGAGTTACATGGCAGTCAATAAGGAGAGGCAGGATTTGAGCCATGACCCAAGACCTCAGAGCACATGATATTCAGCCGGAGGAACAGAATGTACATCAAGTATAACAGATTATATTGTTCGGTTTTTCCATTTAGATCCTCTTGTGTAGTTTCAACATGAGAGCTAAGGTTTGACTATTTACTATGTGGGAGGTATTATGCTAAATGTTTTAAATTATCTTGTGAACAATAGGTTGGATTTTGGTTGCACTAATTCCTCAAGTGGGAACGTGAGTAGCACTTCATACCACCTCCTTCAAAAGTTGATTGAAAGAGAAATATGAAACCCCCAGGAATATATGTTAACTCTTTTTTTTTTTTTCTCCCCTTTGTTCTCTTCAGGGCATCCATTTCTACACACAGCTAAAGACCATCACTTCTCAGTGGAAAGAAGAAGATGCTACTCTTTCCTCGCCTGCCGTAGTCATGCCTACCATGGGCCGTTAGAAACAAGTCTGTTCCTGAGTAATCTCCCTGTATTCTTGACCAACTTCATTTGCCAACTTTGCTCAAATCAGATCCCTAGGACTGGAATACCTGGTAACTAAAATCTTTCTCAAGACCATTAGCCCCTGTCAGTTGCTCTAGGGAGATTCCTAGTATGACTCTGAAACCAGATTTTCACTTGCTTTTTTTCAGTTTTTGAGGTAACTGTTTTAACTGTGAAATGCTTATATGGAATGAGAACTGAGACCTACTTTCTAGATGTTCTCCCCTTTTCTGATGACTCGAAGGGATGATGAGTGTATATAAGATCTTCTAGTAACTAGAAGAGGACCTCTTGGATGGGGAAATAAGACAGAAATAATTCACCCTTCGGTTGATCCTCAAACACAGCCCTATATAAATGGCAGTAGGGGAGACCCCTCTGCCAAGCTTTCTTGAGCCTCTCATTTATCCCACACTACACAGGACGTACTCTATTTCTACTTATCCCACAGTTGTGACAACTGCTTTCTTTTCTGCTGAATGCCACTTTGTCCTAGTAACTCATGACCACTCATTCTATCATTGTCACTGTTCCTGCTTCTTAAAATCACTTCTCAAGGATGCCTCAGTATGCACTGGCACTGGATAAATCAACTTTTTGTTGGGTATACCAAGTGTTCAATTTTAGATTTGGCTTCAAGAGTCATTAATGTTTCAGCCATTAATTCAGATGCAAATCAAGTTTCTTTTTTAGAAAACTATTTCAAGGGGCGCCTGGGTGGCTCAGTGGGTAAGCCGCTGCCTTCGGCTCAGGTCATGATCTCAGGGTCCTGGGATCGAGTCCCGCGTCGGGCTCTCTGCTCAGCGGGGAGCCTGCTTCCCTCTCTCTCTCTCTCTCTCTCTCTCTCTCTCTGCCTGCCTCTCTGTCTACTTGTGATCTCTCTCTGTCAAATCAATAAATAAAATATTAAAAAAAAAAAAACTATTTCAAAAGTTTTTAGGCCGAGAAATCAAGGAGTATTCTAGCCATCAAAGTGTGCAAGACTTTTGCCTTAAGTAAGTATAGCCAGATATTACTTGCCGAATTTTTTATGTTGTTCTTTCTTCTTGCCTGCATTTCTCATTAGTGATCATTTTTAATGAAAGAACTCTTAATGTAGAGTAATTGACTGGGGTCTAAGAAATTCCAAGGCTCTTCATGACATGAAATAGTAAAAAGAGAAGTGCTTCGACGGATTCTTTTGCTACCATTAATTCAAGTGTCTTTATGCTTTTTGTTTCTTTTGAAATAGCTAAACTTTAAGTCCGAACAAACAGATGAGCTAAAAAAACATAGATTCCCAGTTGAATCAATCTTTTCTGATACAGTTTTTAGCCAGTGAACTAGGGGAAGGCTCCTGACTCTGAGAAAATAATCTCTGGTCTCAGCCAGATGACATAGGTCATTTATTTTTCTGCTTCCTCATTAGTCACTTGGGTAATGTTAATCTGCCCCGTGGCAGTGATTTGGTGAATTAAGAACAGTAAAAACTTGGAAAACATTTGTGCACTCAGTGGATTTTAAGCTTATCACTACCACTACAGAATAGAATGTCAGAATCTTCATTTAAGGTGATTGGAACTTTAATAAAATACATTTATGACCCTTATAAGTCTTTTTTTTTTTTTTTGGATTTGCCTTCCTAAACATGAGTCAATAGAAATGTCTAATTTGGTAATAGAATACCCCTTTTTAATCTCTGCTTATCACAGCTGCAACTGATAGATATTTAATCCAATCCAACAACTGCAAGCTGGGTTGAATGAAAGGTCATATTGTCTAAATTCCAAGTGGAATTAAATATAATCCCAGAGATTCCTAAATTTTCCTTATATTTAAGGGAAATCACTTTTTTAAAATACTGACTCATCAGAATTATGTTGCTCTAATTGGAATCAACTCATTTGGCTAGCTATTTGCTACTTAGAAGAGTTTCTTGTTACTTAGATGGAAAAAAATCTGCAGTTATATTCATGCTAGTAGCAGCTTCAAAATTTAATATTTTCTTTTTGCTCTGATGTGGCCTCATTTGAAATTTCTGAGATCCTATGTTGTACTAATTGATTATAAATAACAAATTATAAATAAAAAGCTCCTAAAAAGAAAACCTGGCTTTTTTTTATTTTTTAATAATGCCTTTCCTAATACTGCCTTTCTCCCTAGCTTGTAGAGACTCAGACTTCCCAGCTCTGTTCAAAGCCAAGAGTTAGGTGGTCATTATGTTTATTCTGACATAAAAGATAGTACATACTTTGGCTAGCCTTTATATTTCACAAAGCAATTGATAGGTTTTTCACATTTACTGAAAGAGGCACAAATGTGCATTTGCATTAAGTATAATATGCCTGCCATAGTGTAGATATGTTATAAAAATGTCCACAATCTCATATTAGAGTCATTACTCATTTCACTGATCCCTGAGAGCTCTTGATTAGTAGAGAAAAGCACTATGACCTAGAAAGAAGTTGCAAGGGGAAAAGTAGCAGTAACTGTGTGTATTGTTTGGTTAGATTATAGACTCCTTACTATGTCAGACTCTCGGGATCCTTTCTGAATACTGGGTATCATCATTTCACCAGAAGAGTCTGAGATTGGTACTTGCTGAGTGATGAAGGTTTGATCTTGAAGCTTACTGTCATCCCTGCAGTAATAACAAAATGACAGACCTGTCAGCAACCACATACACATGGAACTTGGTTCAGAACAGTAGACTTGTCAATAACTCCCACACAGTTCTAGCACACATAAAATGTACCCACAACCATTCTGATCAGGCTCACGGTCATTGCTTTGTCAAGAGAGCTCTTACCCAGATTCCTCTCTCTCTCCATCAAGAACAACATAGTCTGGAACTGGAGGCCTAGAATGCTGGCTGTATTTCCTGTGGTAGGTAAAAATTAACAGTGAGTTTGTGTCTCCTCATGCCCCATATTTCAACTACACTTAAAGTGCTAAATGAAATGTTTCACTTGGAGAAGATGCTTATTTTCAAAACTGAGCTTTACACACATATAGAGTGAATATAAAGTTAGGCAAGTTAATACAAACTTACTTTCTTTTAAAATTGAGACCTATTGAACTTAAAGGGAAATATTTATGGAGATGATCAAGATGGTGATACACATAGAACAGCTATTAATGGTGATGGTTAAGACTCAACCAGAGTACTGACCAGAAACATGGCCAGAAAAATTCCCTTCCCACAAAAAGAACCTCAAATACAGAAAAATTACCCAATGGAGACAGACCCAATATGAAATTTCTTTTACATTGGAAAGTCTGATTTAAGAACAGGAAATAATCATATCCTAATTCAATATGCTAGTGGGAAGTAAGCTAAACACAATTATACAAAGTATATTAAGTTGATGTGCCAGGAGATAAAGACACCTATTCTCCTAAAACTGGTCCTCAATTAGATGCATATGAAAGCAGGACAAACCCATTCAAAATATGGTCCCATTAAATAGTCCAATAATGATACATAAAAATAACATACTTCGGATACTACTCATACCTGAGTTGTAACCACAGTGATTGCTGATGCACAAAAGAGTACAATTTATTGGTTATACTCCTTGACTTTGTTTAAGCACAAAGAAAAATACCATACTGTTAGAGTCACAATCATATAATCAACTGAACTCATAAACTTCTAGTTACTGTCTTTGCCTTGACCATTCATCATCTAATTCCTCTCCCCTCTGGCTTGAGCTTTCTCATTAAATTCGTCTTCACCTCACATTTCACTATTCTGATCCCATCTTTTCCCTTCATCCAACTCTGGCATGAGATTCTCACAGGCTTAGATTTGTTCCGTTGTGGCCAGATTTAAGTTCATTGCTTTGGTGTGAAATATTTCTACTCAAATTCCTTTGTTTTTCCAGTGTTGAAAACAACACAATATGGAACTAGAACTCTGGTTGTTTCTTGGGGTACAGAAAAGTCAACTCACAGTGAGACAGACATTCTGGACCTGTGGTCTGGATTCTGCCTCCACCTCTTAATAAAAAACAAAAAAACAAACAAAACTTGAAAGGCTACCAGAGACACAAAGTCCATTTCAAAGTCCTCCATTTTCCATTTAACCTATAATTCTTTAATCTCTGCTCTTCTCATTGTCCTCTTACTTGTTCTCCTGTTTATTTTAGTGGTTATTCCTAGCCTCAGCCCTTTACTCGTCTACCTTCAGCCACTCTCCTATACTCAACTACCAGTTTTCACTAAAAATGCTCAAATCTCCGTTCCTAAGCTCACCTGTACTCAAATCCCTATTTACAAATGCCTCAAGTATTTTTCACTTCAACATATTAGCATCATCTCCAATTCAACACTGAAAATACTCCTTGCCATTTCTTCTGCCCAGAATGTTTTTTCCTCCACCCTCTGCTCCTATTTACCTTTTTTTTTTTTTTAACATCTTTTTTTTCATGTTCCAAGATTCATTGTTTATGTACCACACCCAGTGCTCCATGCATTCCGTGCCCTTTTTAATACCCACCACCGGGCTCACCCATCCCCCCACCTCCCTCTCTTCATAACCCTGTTTGTTTCCCAGAATCCACAGTCTCTCATCTTTCATCTCCCTCCACCCCAATTTACCCCAATTCACTTTTCCTTTCCTTCTCCTAATGTTTTCCATGTTATTCCTTATGCTCCACAAGTAAGTGAAACCATATGATAACTTTCTCTTGACTTATTTCACTCAGGATAATCTCCTCCAGTCCCATCCATGTTGATAGAAGAGTTGGGTGTTCATCCTTTCTGATGGCTGCGTAATATTCCATTGTATATATGGACCATATCCATATGAATATCCATTCATCTATTTTTTTTTAAGATTTTATTTATTTATTTGACAGACAGAGATCACAAGTAGACAGAGAGGCAGGCAGAGAGAGAGAGGGAAGCAGGCTCCCTGAAGAGCAGAGAGCCCGATGTGGGACTCGATCCCAGGACCCTGAGATCATGACCTGAGCCGAAGGCAGCGGCTTAACCCACTGAGCCACCCAGGCGCCCCTCCATTCATCTATTTAAGGGTATCTTGGCTCTTTCCACAGTTTGGCGATTGTGGACATCGCTGCTTTACCTTTTAGAGGTCAGCTCAAGCTTTTACTTCCTCAGTAACTTTCCCAGACTCCTCAGTTAGGTCAGATTCCCCCAATCTAAGCTATCTTACCATTATAAACCACTCCTTGGAGCCAATGTCATAGTTCTACTTTTACATTTGTGTGATGATTTGAATAATGTTTTTCTTCTATGTAAGCTATGAACTCCCTGAGATTAGAAATGATGTCTTTATTTGCTCAACACTATATCTTCAATAAGTAGTAGGTACCCAGTATGTATATGCTACATGAATTAATGGACAGATTAAATAAAATTTAAACATTTCCTTCATGCTACCTTTCCAGATTTTTCATTTGCCTTTCATACCACTATTCTTGCATTTCTAAGCTAAACACCTTAACTTTTACACTTTGCTTTCTTTATTCCTTTTGTCTTTTATCACCAAGTCCTGTTTCTCCTTCCTCAGTGTCTCAGTTTGTCCCTTTTCTCTGATGGCTTCCATTCCCACCTATACCTGCACTGCCACACAACCGGAGGAGCATGGCAGCTTTTGCTGTTCCCAGCTCTACTTCTGTGCTGTGGTCCACCCTACATGTCAGTGCGTCAGGTTCAGGTCAGCTCTGGGAACAGTGGCCTGTGAACCCTTCCAGTGAGACAGTATGAGACTAGGGCTTACTGCTCTTGCATTCCTTCAAGGCAGAAAAGGAAAGTGTGTTACACTACTCTAGAATGTACAGTGACCTAAGACTTGTTTTTTTCTGCATGGATTTTAAGGGTCATCATGATTTAATCTATAGATCCAAACTTATTTCTTATTACTAATTACTCTCTAGTACCATCAGGTTTCTTCAGCCTGGGAAGTGTTTCCTCGATATCCCCCAAACACCCCGCCTCCATTCCTACCTCTGGGCTTCAGCCTAAGCCCCTCTGATGTACCTTTCCCACCCTGTGGACTCCTCTCTCCTGCAAGGCACCTTGCAGGTGATTATATACTCTTTGAAATATACTGAAATATATGAAATATACTCTTTCAGTCTTCCTGAATGAAGTCTTCAGTGACTACTGTAGGCCACTGACATATTGAACTCCCTGAGTTCATTGTCTGAACTCCGATGATACTTTATTGTGCCACCTAACTTTTTTCTTTGCTGTTTCGTTTTGTTTGGGCAACTAGATTATAAACTCTTAGAGATCAAGGGCAATGTCTCTAGAGGTGCCTGGGTGGCTCAGTGGGTTAAGCCTCTGCCTTTGGCTTGGGTCATGATCTCGGGGTCCTGGGATCGAGCCCCACATCAGGCTCTCCACTCAGTAGGGAGCCTGCTTCCTCCTCTCTCTGCCTGCCTCTCTGCCTACTTGTGATCTCTCTCTATCAAATAAATAAATAAAATCTTAAGAAAAGGGCAATGTCTCTTAATTCCTTTGAATGCCCATAGTCCCTAACATCGTACCATGCATGGAAGCAATTAATAAGTGGTTGATCTATTTTAGCCACTTTATAGTTCATTACTGGGGTTAGAGTCACTGATAAGATATAACATAGTGGAGAAAGAAAGTGAAATGAATCATTAAAAATAATTAGTTGGAATATCTGAGGATTTCTGTTTTCTAGGTCTTTTTCTTGGTATTAAAGCTTCTCTTGAATAATAATCAGCTTAAAAATCATTTACTTGGGAGAGGGTGGTTGGGTTATGGACATTGGGGAAGGTATGTGCTATGGTGAGTGCTGTGAAGTGTGTAAACCTGGCAATTCACAGACCTGTACCCCTGGGACTAATAATACATTACATGTTAATTTAAAAAAATCATTTACTTATCTTTGCAAAAATTGTTAAAATCCTAACATTACTGTGCTGCTCTTTAGTGACCACTCATGCAGCCGAGCAACATTGTACCTTCTCAGCAAGCATTCCCTTCAACATCTAAGCTGTCTCTTTTCTCCCCCCTTTCATTCTAACTCATCTTTCATTTTTGTGCTCATTCATTCATCTCCCATTCTTCATCTCTGGGAGTGGCAGGTGCTAAGCAGTATGACCGGTTTATATTTTCTGGTCCTTTCCCATTCCTTTAATTTTAAATGAGAATAAGTTCATTGTTCCTATATAGTTTCTAGATTTGGTAACAATTTGGTATTTTGCTACAAAAATAGGGAGTTACCTAGGAACAAAACCATTCATTTTTGCAAAAAGCAATCTCAAGACTTTCTCCTTCTGCTCCCAGGTCAAATCTCCAATATCCACATTTCCTTGAATATCGGTCCTAAAGAATTTTAAAGAAAAAAATATATATATATAGCCAAATAAGCATCTCATCTTTTTAGAAAAAATATGAAATATGTAAACATGAGAAAATTTCCAAACCATAACTGATTATTGAGGCTTCCAAATGTAATAACTACAAAACAAACTGTGTCTGTTACAAAATCATAAAGTTGAAATGGATATCAATAGGCTAGCTATTCTGAAATATTATATAGGCATTTAGATAAAAATAAGAAAAACCGTAATAAGAAAAAGGTTTGTGCTCAAACATTCAGCAAATAAGCAAAATAGAAATTTTGCAGTATAACATGCATTGAGATACAAAGACAAAAGGAACAATACAACAATAAAAACATTATTTACAAGGTGAGATTATTCCTAAATTCCTTTTAACATTTTTTTTGTACCAGATATTTTGCTATGAAAACAGAGTGACAAGAGGTATGTTTAGAAAATTACACATAACTTATCTAGCCTATTTTCTTACCTTGAAATAAATCTGCAGCTAAGCTTTCCAGGCATAAATGCTATCACTTCCCAGGGGATTTGTAGTCTATTTGCTATCTATGAAAGCTGGCTGGCACTGTAGAGAGTACTGATGTTATACAATGTAAGAAACGTTTTAAATATAGGTCTATTGGGGTAGTTTTCTTTAAAAGTTTAAGTTTCGCCTTATGATCACCGTATACTTCAACTTTCCTTCCCCAATCTGCCTCTTAAGCCAATGATGTAATATTCTAATCACCATTTCTGCCCTGCTGGTACAGTCAATAATACACTGAGGTTAAGATGAGAAGTTGTCCAATAGCAAAAATGTCACACAGGGCAGAAGAGGAAGAGTCTGGTTTCTGTAATAACAATGTGGAGAATCATTTTATATACCACCCTCTGAAAACTTACTTACTACTTTGGAGCCAAAAATATAAAAGAAACTGCCTTTATGTATGGTAGGGACTCAATTTGCTTGACATATTAAATTTTAAAAAAGGAAATTATAGCAAACCTCTTGGTAATGGAAGTAACAGACTTCTGAATATGGCAAAAAAGTTTTAAAAATCATAGCATGAACATTTTTGAAGAAGAGTCTTGTCTTTCAAAAGCCACTGACCATGTCTAACCTTCCCAACAGCTATAGAATTTAAAAGAACCTACAAATTAGTCAATTATAAACCAAAGCAGAAAACTCACTTGGAAGCACTGTTAATAAGATATTAGTACATAGTAGTAGGGAGTCCTTTTGAGTTTTGTGAGTTAAGGCCTTTGAAGAGCCTGGGATATAAGACTTTTTTTTTTTTTTCCAGAATAATCTTTAAAATGCACTATAATTCATGGCTTAAGAGTGTACTGACAGACAAAAATGCTAACAGGAAACAATCATTGTATCCAGTCTACAACTGTCTCAAGCATTCTGCTACTTTTATCACAGTGGCAGTAGATCTCTGGAGGATATTTTGGAAAATCGTGGGGACTTTCAGTTAAAACAATGATGGGGGCCCACTACTGGATGTCCTCCAATCCATGGGACAGTTCTGTACAATAAAGAATTATCACAAAGAACTGTTACATTGATTTTTTAATTATATGTTTAGTTAGATATTATTACCTATGAATTTCATCTCAGAATAGTAAAGGAAATATTACAAAATATTTTTGAAAGTACACTTATCAAAAATGTTTAAACTGAATCTGAACAAACCTTTGTAATGAGTTTGCAGAAAGTAAAATAAAAGAACACGTTAAAAGATACTACAATGACATTCTGTGGAACAAATGATCTAGTCTCTTTAAGAACTATCTGTGATGAGAAAAGGGAATCTACTAAGCCCCACACGCTGTGCTAAGCATAGGGGTTATAAAGATGAGTAAGATAGTTCCTGCCCTCAAATAACTTACTGAGTAATCTATTCAATATCTAGATATTAGCAAACTGAACTTCTGAACTTACTTCTCTAAAGGGCACAAAAAGAGCAGCACAAAAGAAAAAAAATAGTAAAGGTATGATTAGTACCATTTCTCAGCCTCCATAAGATCTTGGTTCACACTGTTGGTGCTGTGCTCTTTGCCATCAAACGTTCGGATTTTGGGATATTCTGTTCTTCCTGCACATGCCTCTCTCATTTTAAAATTGAAAGCAGCTTGTGCTACCCGTTTATAATGCTTCCTGCTAAATAGGATCTGTTGCTTCACTTGGTGTAGAGCATCTAAAAAGAACCTTTCCACTTCTGTTCTCTCATCCAGTATGTTCTTGGCCAGCTTCTTTACTCGATTCATTTCTTTGTCCTTCATCTGGAGAAGTTGCTGCAGCTTGTCAATTTCAACCTGCCCTGCTTCATTCTCTATCATTGCCTGTTGCTGTATTTTACAAACTTCAATCTCAAACTCTCTGGTCATACAACTCAGGGCAGTCTCCAAGCTTACCACCTTCTTCTGAAGAGTTTGGATTTGCAATCTTTGCTGGCTAAGTTGCATAATCTTTTCCTTAACCAACAGGTCATTGATCTCCTAAAAACAAAGAGGAGAGAGGTGAGAGGTTTTTTTTAGTCAATTTCAGAACCTAAAAGTTCCTAATTTTCATTACTTCATGAGATTTAAATTTGATGCCAGGTTGAGATGGTGATATTTGGTGTTCTGTGTACGGAGAGTAAAAAACATCTGAGAGTTGTTCTTCTCTGGGCTTGTGAAGGCCATTACTTTTGCTAAGTAAGAAACGGTCCTTCCCCCAAAATTCTGAAACTTTAAATATTTTGTATTATCAAAAAGGGTGATTTCAAAATCAGTAAAACAATACAGTAACACACTAACAACTATATACTGGAAATTGTTGCCTATCATCGGGTATAGGCTAGTTGCCTATTTCTTTTTCATTTTCCCTTTCCACCTTAGTGATAAAACTCTAGTTTTATTCAGGAGGGCAGGAAGCCCACCTGAAAATTCTCAGTCTCCCTTGCAGTTCAGCAAAGCCATGTAGCTAAGTTGAGTCAATGAAATTTAAGTAGAAGTGTGTGCAGGACTTCCAGGAAGACATCTAAAGGGAGGGGCAGACTTTTTTCCTCCTTGTCCTTTTTCCTTCCTGCTGTTTGAGTAATGGTTAGTGTTCCAGCAGCTGCTTTGGGCCATGAGATGACTTTGGGGATGTCAGCCACACACTGCACAGCAGAGTTAAGGTAACTGAGTTCTGTTGGCTTTGTGGCACCAGCATTCCAGCTCTAGATTGCTAACCTCCAGACGTCCTTTAGGGGAAAGAATAAACCCTTACATGGCAAAGCCATTGTTGTCAGGAAAGCTACAGTTGAACCTATATCTAAGTGACTCAGAGACCAACTCTAAGCTAAGCAAAGTAAAACCAGTATTCTAAGGTAGTGAAGGATAGGAGATATTTATGTTTCTAATACATTCTTTATAAAACCAAGCCCAATGCTTCTTATGTCATTCTCATAATTAATCCTTTCAGATGAGAAAGGTACATTATCCAGACAGAAGAAAAATGATTCCCATTGTCCTTATTTTACTCAGTTTTTCATATTTACCAACCCAATCCTTAAAAAAAACAAGCAAAAGGCAGAAAGATAGGAAATGAAGCCTAAATGGAGTGGGAACCTTTTGATGTAAAAGGAAAGTCTGAGTCTCTTGCAACTTCTGGGAGTTCTTTTGTAGAGCATCAGCTTCCTTCAGATGGTATGCAAGAGCTTTCTGGAGATAGACATTCTCTTTAAAAACAGATCTTCCAGCATTGTTCAATTGCCTGAAATAGATAGACATAAGATCCCAAAACATGGGCCTAAGTATTAGATATTACCAAGCTGGAACAATGACTGCCTTATCCCCCGATATTAAAAATAATGACCACCACTTATTTAGTTAATGGTGGGATCTTATGACTAAATTCTCACCAACGGAAAAGTGAAAAGTTATGTGTTACTTCCAGTCCAAGGCGGTTAAGAGCAGACAGGAATTTCCCATGCTCTCTTCTGTCCGCATGATTGGATGTGAAGAAGTCCAAGATGGAAGCAGCCCCGGTTCCTGAATCACCACTCAAGTAGAGCTATCGGACTGCCATTGAATTGTTAAGTGAGCAGGAACTAGACCGTTGAGACTTGAGAGTTAATTTATTAATAACACAATGAAATGTTACTTTCACTAACATACCTCATGACAACTCTGTACGGTTGCTATGATTATCTGGATTTTTAAATGAAGAAATTTAATCTCAAAAATGTTAGGAAATATTCTGACAGTCAGTCAGTCGGTCAGTATACAGACTGGGAACCAAAGTCTAACTTCAAAGCCGGAGTTCTTTCCTCCAACCAACCCTGGTACAGAAAGAGTGGGTGGGAAAGGGGTCGGGACACAAAGAGAAACAGTGAGGGAAAGTAAACAAGAAAATTTGAAGAAAGCAAACCAAGAGAGAAGGGAAAGACAACATGGTAATAACAAAACACACCAGCGAAGAGGTCAGAGAGGCTATGAGAAAGGAAAAGGAGACAGCAATCTCTTACACAACGGCTTCATGATGAGCTCTCTCTGCCAACATTATTATCTTCTTCTCAGCCTCTTGTTCTAGTCGGTGCTAAAAAAGAAAATAGGCTATTTTAATACAGAGTTCAAAAAGTGAAGTATTGATTTCATGATGTGAAATAAAATATTCCTGTCACATAACCCAGTGTGGAGAACTCCAAGTACTGGTGGAGGAGCTAGCAGAGAGGAGCGTGTGAGTGAACACAGAACCTCAGGGTACCTCCGGGTCTCCCCGCTGAAGAAGCAACATGACAAGAAAATATAAAACAAACAAAAAAAATTCCACATCAGTATTGGAAAGCAGAGCTGGGAGAAATTTCTGCTAAATACCAAGTGGTAAGAGTCATTTATTTACTTATGCAACAGACTCCTACTGGGCACTAATATTGTACCAGATTTTTTAGATGCTGGAGTCTGTGGTGAAAAAACAGATAAAGCCCCAGATAAAATCTCACCTTATATTCTAGGTGAGATCCAAGCAACCATAATAATTAAAATGCATTGAGCATTACTATGTGCCAGGCATGGTTCTAAGAGCTTTACATTTACTATTTTCTCACAACAACCCTAAGAATTCGACACCATTATTTTTTTTTAAAGATTTTATTTATTTATTTATTTGACAGAGAGACCACAAGCAGGCAGAGAGGCAGGCAGAGAGAGGAGGAAGCAGGCTCCCCGCTGAGCAGAGAGCCCGATGCGGGGCTCGATCCCAGGACCCCGAGATCATGACCTGAGCCAAAGGCAGAGGCTCCAGCCCACTGAGCCACCCAGGCGCCCCTAGACACCATTATTATCCAAAAACAAGGATTGAGGAAACAAAAGGTAGAAAGAGAAGTTAGTGACTTGCCCAGAATCAGATAGCTTATAAGGGGCAGAGCAGAGATTCATAGCAGGCAAGGTGACGCTGTACCACCTCCCTAGTAAGTAAACAAATAAGAGAATAGACTGTGATAAATGCTGTCAATGCAGTCAGTGAGTTAATGACACAGACAGTAATTGAGGGAGATTTTCAGATTGGGGTTTAGGGACTTTATCTCTGAGGAAATAACATTTGAGCTCTGAAGAATGAGAAGAGCCAGAGCTGGAGGAAGAACATTCCAGAAAGGAAAACCAAAGTATAAAAATATGCCATTGGGAAAGGGCTTGGTGGTTCAGGGGACAGAAAGGATTAAATGGGGAGACAAAACAAAACACCAATAACCTGAGGGAAGTCTTTCATATGACCATGTGGAGCATGGAGCGCGCTACAGTCTGAAAAGCTTACTGGAAAGCCGGCTGCCATAAGCCAGCAGCACTGGGGTTCACGCCAGCTCAGGAGTCCATACTTAACCAGGTGGTTTACACCTGACATGGTGAGATGGCTACTGCTGCAGCTGGCCATCCCAGCACTCACTCCCATCCTCCCTTTTCCTTCCCAGTTCCCACTAGGGTTTAGAAAAAAAACACACTCGCTTTTCCAGCAACCTATATAACATGGTTCTGGCCAATGAGATAGATGTGATAAGAAATCTGCTAAGAGCTTCTGGGAAAGCTTTTCTGGTTTGCAGATCAAAAAGAAAAGCTACAACAGCTGGAGCCTCCCCTTCTTCCTGCCTTCAACACAGACAAATCTTAGAGCTGCCTTAACCATCTTGCATGTATGAAGGAAAGGCCAGCAGCCACCTACTTCCAGACATAAACATCCTATTTATATAAGCACTGTCAGTCAGGTACGCTATAAATTGACCAAGCACTCCTAACCTTTGTTTGTAGAATGCTACAGTTAGCAGAGAAGAGATCAAGCTTAGGGCGGGACAGAGTTTTGGAAAAGGCAATTGAAAGCAGCCCATGCCTGAGGACTTCCATTCCTAACAGTGCCAGGAAGTGCCCCAGAGGGAAAGCACCAAGATTCTGCTCCTGTCCCACTCCTAGGTTACATCAACTGAGTATCTAGAGCCACTTTTTGAAGCAAATCCTTTATCTTAACCTGATATGAGTACTTATTAGCCCCACTCTCAACTTGCTACATCCCTACGAATTTCTGAAAAAAAAATGTCTTCAGTTCTTCCCAAGAATGAAAAATTAGAAGAATTAAAGAAAAACCATGGTTCCTTTGAAAAGCCTGTGTAGAAGAGAAGTGTTCCAGTGCACTTCCACAATTCGGAGAATTACATCAGAAGCACAGAGAAACATGGCAGTTTGTGATATGCTAAGGAACATTTTTGAGCCCCCTTTTATTAACACCCTTAGTTTAGCTTGGCTTAACCAGGGAAACACCTTCATGTGTACCAGAATGACCTCTCCCATCCTAGCCCCCCTATATAATGTGGTACATGGGGCTCCCACCAGGGGAACACCAAGCTGCAGGGGGTGTGTCCTGAAATCTTGGTAAGATGACAATCCCTCTTGAGGATTTCAAGAATCTCTAACTAGGGGCACCTGGGTGGCTCAGTCAGTTAAGCATCTGCCTTCAACTCAGGTCATGATCCCAGGGTCCTGGGATTGAGCCCTGGACTGGGCTCCCTCCTCAGCAGGGAGTTTGCTTCTCCCCTTCCTCCCGCCTCTTTCCCCTATCCCCTTCCTCTACCCCTCCCCCTCTTTCCCACTCTCCCCTCCTCCCCTATCTTCCTCTCTCTCTCTTTCTCCTCCTTCCCCTTCCCCTACTCATGCTCATCCTCTCTCTCTCTCTCTCTCTCTCTCAAAAATAAATAAAATCTTTTAAAGAAAGAATCTCTAACTAGAGGGGGAAAAGGACTAAACATTGAGATATCCTGAACAGGTTTTGTTTTCCCTGTTTTTGTTTTTGTTTTTAATTCTGCTGTGACTTGATAAACAATTCTCTAATAAGATCCAAAGGAAAGGTTCACATGTCTCAGAATGTATATAGATACTTATATCCTTTTAGTAAACAAAATATTTTTTAAATAAAATATTTCTTAATTAACTCAAAATGTCGTACCTTTTCTTCAAAAAACCTGCCCTCCAGTCTTCGAAGTGTCTCCTGATGTTTCCTCTCTGTGTTCCTTAAATTCTCCTTCAGCTATAATTAAAACAACAACAAAAGATCAATAGGAAATGGGGGGATTGAGGCACATTCCTGGAAAAGTCTCAATAAAGAAACATTTTCTGTTAGACATTATTTCTTAATCCTGAACACAGAAAAACTCCATGTCCCTGCCCCTGAGTACCATCTTGCAGACCAATCTTCTACAGACTTATAAGATCTGTATTGAGTTTTTATAAAAGCTATTCATGAGCAACCGTTCCCAAGACAAGTTGTTCTCATAATCATATTTTTTAAATATCATGTAGACTGATAGAATCATAATATTTTAGAATTGGGGCACCTGGCTAGCTCAGTCAGAGGATAGATAATGCAACTCTTGATCTTGGGGTCATGAGTTCAAGTCCCATGTTGGGTGTAAAGATTACTTAAATAAATAAACTTTTTTAAAAATAATATTTTAGAACAGAAAGAGATCTTAAGAGTCACACTTAATATAGGATTCCTTGTATGAGAAAAATATCTAGGGACAGAAGTATCACTAATTCAAATCTCATTAATTCATTAGACTAGTATTTCATAGTTCCCATTTTTCGAAAATTCTTCCTAGAATTAATCTAAAACACACTTCCCTAAGATTCCCACAGATAGAGCCTTCTGTCCTCAAAACGTGTATGCATGGAATAAAAAGGACATAAAACTCTCTAGGCAAAGAAAGGTAAACTAATTTAAAGCTATGATGCTATAGTCTACATTTCCTGGCAGACAGGCTGAAACAGGCATACTCAATCTAATCTTAATGCCATAAAAAAAGGCAGTAGAGAAGAGCTTCCCCATGAGATAGATCTTTCTCACTTACCAGCTGTTTTACCCTGGCAAATCACTTCACTTCTCTAAGTCTCAGGTTTCCAGGAATTAAAAGAATAATAATAGTAACTAGCTCATAGGGTGTGGGAAGGATTAAATAACAAACAATGCACATAAAGTACCTAGAATAGTAACCATTTAATATAAAGGCTGGTTATTATTATCTTTAAAAGAAAAGGATTTTATTTATTTATTTGACAGAGAGAGATACAGCGAAAGCAGGAACATAAGCAGGGGGAGTGTGAGAGGGAGAAGCAGGCTTCCTGCCAAGCAGGGCTGGATCCCAGGACCCTGGGGTCATGACCTGAGCCCAAAGGCATGCGCTTAGCGATTGAGCCACCCAGGCACCCCCAATAAATAAATATTTTTTTAATTCCATTTCTAAGACGTTATCCTAAATGCTAATTACAGATAGAGAAGAATATTGTTACTTAGAAGAATATTGTTACTTAGAATATTGTTACTATACATAACGGTGTATAATAGTGGAAAGTTAAAAAAAGTCCAGGGGCATCTGGGCCAGTCAGTCACTTAAGCATCTCCCTTCAGCTCAGGTCATGATCCCACGGTCCTGGGTTGAGTCCCACATCAGGCTCCCTGCTCGGTGGGGGGTCTGCTTCTCCCTCCCCCTCTGCCCCCTTCCACCGCTCCTACTTTCTCTCAAATAAATAAATAAATTCTTTAAAAAAAAAAAAGATTGTTACATATTCTTTAAAAAGAAAACAGTCCAGATGTCCAAAAACAAGGGACCAATTAACCAATCATGATTCACTGGGCCCCCTGGGGGGCCCAGTTGGTGGAGCATCAGACTCTTGATTTTGGCTCAGGTCACGATCTCAGGGTCATGGGCTCAAGCCCTGTGCGTGGCTCTGCGCTGAGATTTGCTCCTCTCCCTTTCCCTCTGCCCCTCCTCCTCCTCTCTATATCCCTCTCTCTCTGTCAATAAATAAATAAAATCTTAAAAAAAAAAAATAAATCATGATGCATCTACCCAGTGGAATTCTATGCACCTAGTCAAAAGATTTTATAGAAAAATATGTAATGGCATTGGGGCACCTGGGTGGCTCAGTTGGTTAAGCGGCTGCCTTCGGCTCAGGTCATGATCCCAGGATCCTGGGATCCAGCCCCGAATCAGCGGGCTCCTTGCTCAGCAGGGAGCCTGCTTCTCCCTCTCCCTCTGCCTGCCTGCCTGCCACTCCCCATGCTTGTGCGCATGCTCTCTCTCTCTCTCTCTCATTATCTCTCTGTGTCAAATAAATAAATAAAATCTTTTTTAAAAAAGAAAGAAAAATATGTAATGGCATTGAAAAATGTTCACAATTAAAGTAAAAGAGTCAGTTAACGGTACATAATGACCTCATTTGTTTATGTATTTATTTTATTTATTTGAGAGAGAGAAAGCATGAGAGCAGGTTGAGGGACAGAGGGAGAGGCAGACTCCCCTCTGAGCAGGGAGCCCAATGTGGGACTAGATCCCGGGACTCCAAGATCATAACCTGAGCTGAAGGCAGCCGTTTAACCCACTGAGACACATAGGCACTCCAATTTTCAAATGTTTCTAAATAGAGGAAGAAAAAGGGGAAGAAAATAAACCAAGATATTTACCAGGTATCTCTAGGTAGTATAATTGTCAGGGGAGGGCTTAATTTTCTTCTTTCTTACCAGCTAGATTTGTCAAAAGAAAAAAAAACTAAAACAAATTATTAAAAATAACTGCAACCTACCATTGTATACTCCTTCTGTTAATCATATAGAAATCGTTTTTTCTTTAAAATTTATGCTTTGAATAACTTGTGATAATCTAAATTTAATTAGCCTCTTTTAATTTGTATAATGAATTCTATATATACACTATAATTAATTTTCTCCTGTTATGTATACACCTCCTTCCCATTTTAAGTTCACACATCCCTATACCTGCCTTAATTCTTCCATATTTGGGATTCCAGAGAACCACCTTATTTTTTCCCATAGCCCAGTATCTTTTGCCTTTGAATTTCCAATCTTCCAGGCCTGTGCCCCTTTTTGAAAAGTCCAAAATCTATTTCTCCATTAGGTGGCAACATTGTTCTTAAAAAAAAGAAATCATACCAGCAGCCCACTAGAATATGCACTAGTTAATTCACTTTGATTCAGAATGTATACCTATACTTATACTTCTGATAGCTATTTTGAGAGTTCCAAACAAAGTTATGGATCTTAACTTGATTCAGTCTTCAACATTTTCATATAATTTTTTTATATTCCTTTTAGAAAATTTTTAAGCTTTTTTGAGGAATTATCAACACTACAGTATTTCAAGTATATAATATGATTTGATATGCATATATATTATGAAAGGATTCTTCCCATCTAGTTAGTAGAAAACTTGATATTCCTTTAATTACATTTTTAATGAAAACACCTACTCAGCATTTAACAAAGATTTATGGAGCATTACTGTGTATCTTACATTTCAATGAATACAAAGAAACAACCTGGTTCATGCCTCAAAGATTGTAACCTAGCAGGGGAGATAAGACAAATGATAAATATATCAAGGTAGAATGGGCTAAGGGGTATAAAAGAGATACAAAATGCTTGGAAACACACAAAGAAAATTATTACTTTTTTTGCTAATAATCTTTTTATTTTTTCCCTTTTCTCCAGCTTTATGAGGTAAATGGACATATAACATTGTATAAATCTACAGTGTACAATGTGTTGATCTGACACACTTAAATATTGCAAAATGATTACCACCATAGAATTAGCTAACACCTCCATACTGTCACCTAATTGTCATTTCTTTTTTGTGGTAAGAACATTCAAGATCTACTTTCTTAGCAACTTTCAAATATATAATACAGGATTATTAGCTGTAATCACCATGCTGTCCATTAGATTCCCGAGAATTTATCAATCTTAGAACTGAAAGCTTACGTCCTTTGACCAGTATCTCCTTGTATCCCTCTCCCTACCAGCTGGGGTAACCTTTAATCTATTCTGTTTCCCTGAGTTAGGCTCTATTTAGATTCCACATATAAGTGATATCACACAGTATTTATCCTTCTGATTTATTTCACTTAACATAATACCCTCAAGTTTCATCCAAGCTATCATAAATGGAAGGAAAGCATTACTTTTTTTTTAATTTTTTAAAAGATTTTATTTATTTATTTGACAGAGATCACAAGTAGGCAAAGAAGCAGGCAGAGAGGAGAGGAAGGGAAGCAGGCTCCCTTCTGAGCAGAGAGCCAATGTGGGGCTCGATCCCAGGAACCTAAGATCATGACCTGAGCCAAAGGCAGAGGCTTAACACACTGAGCCACCCAGGTGCCCCAACCTTTCTTTTTTTTTTTTTTTTAAAGAAAGGTAATACTTTTAAACATGACTCTCAGGACCACCTTAAGGAGAACATGAATTTGATCTGAGCTTTTATTTTAATAATTTTTAATGGATAAAGTAAATTTTTAATGGATAATTTTAATGGATAAAGATCTACTGGAGATATATTCCAGTTAAAAGAAACACTGTGAACTATGTAGAAATGGCTAAAAAAGACTTCAGGGATGAGTTAATATCCAGTTTGGGTGGATTAAAAGGTGTGCACATGGGGAGGTGTGGTACAAGGAGAAAATTAATGTTCCAAAGTAGGTGTGGGGTCTTGACTTTAACACCAAGGCATCTGGAAAATACTGGGTTTTACAATAGAGAAATACTAAAGAAGATTCTTCAGAGAGGTGATCAGAACATTCCTGCATCAATACATACTTTGGTCTGTGGTCCTGTGGTGGTTTTAAAATATATCAGCAACTTCTATGATTTCCAAGGCTAGGTCAAGAAAGGGATAGCTTCTGTCTGGCTTTCTTTGGGATTACCCGCTTTAGGTAAAGTCATGGACCAAATTGTGAGGACACTCAGTGCACCTTTGTAAGGCCCCCATGGGAAGATGTTGAGGCCACCCAGTAATTACTGGCTCCAACCTGACAGTGTGTGAATTGGCGCCTGGGAACAGATCCTCAAGCTCTAATCAAGCCTCCAGATGACTGAAGCCCGAGCTGGTATCTTGATTGCAACTTCATGAAGGGCCCTGAACCAGAACTGCCCGGTTAAACTGATCCCAAATTTCTGACTCGTGGAAACTGTGCTTTTAACAAATGTTTATCATGGTTTTAAGCTCTAGACTTTCTGCAGTAACAGGTTACTAATGCAGGTGAAAAAAGAGGGAGTAGGACTAGAGGTACTGCACTGGGATTCAGATCACTGGGCCTCTGCTGCCAGCTCTATAACTCACCATGACAGTCACTTAACATCTTTGTGTCTGTTTTCTTGTCGGTAGAAGGCTTAAATAAGCCCTAAAGTTTCTTCCAGTTCTATGATTCCATGAACTTCATGAAAGGATTTAGTTTTAGATGGTTGCCTTATAACACTCATTTAGCAAGTTTTATTATTGTTGGTTGTTATTATTATTATTACTATTATTATTATTATTATTATTATTATTTAAGAGGCCCAATGCCCATCCTGGAGCCCAATGCAGTGCTTGAACTCACACTCCTGAGATCAAGACCTGGGCTGAGATCAGGAATCAGATGCTTAACAACTGAGCCACCCAGGTACTCTGCAAGTTTTATTATTAGTACTAATCTAGGAACTAGTGGGGAGTGACAAGGACATATGCAAATAGATGACTTGGCTCCTTTTATTCTCCTCAGTTTACAAAATTAAAGACAACACTTTAAGGACTTTAAAGGTCTGGAAACTTGGGGTACCTGGGTGCCTCAGTGGGTTAAACAGCTGCCTTCGGCTCAGGTCATGATCTCCAGGTCCTGGGATGGAGGCCCATGTCAGGCTTCCTGCCCAGCAAGCAAGGAGTCTGCTTCTCTCTCTCTTTCTCTCTCTCTCTATCCATCCCTCTGCCCCTCCCCACTATTCATTCTCTCTTTCTCTCAAATAAATAAAACCTTTTTTTAAAAGATTTTATTTATTTGTTTGACAGACAGAGATCACAAGTAGGCAGAGAGGCAGGCGGCGGGGGGTGGGGTGGGAAACAGGCTCCTTGCTGAGCAGAGAGCCCCAATGGGGCTCCATCCCAGGACCCTGAGATCATGACCTGAGCCAAAGGCAGAGGCTTAACCCACTGAGACACCCAGGCGCCCCAAATAAATACAATCTTTAAAAAAAGAAATTAAGAACAATTTTAAAGCAAGTTATAAGAACAAAGCAACAAGCTATCAAGTTCATAAAAAAGCCCTAATGGGAAGGTTTGAGATAACTTTGCAATTATGACAGAAAGAGTTTAAAACACATTCCTCCAATTCCTCCAGTCTAAGAAAGTGTCTTCTCCTTTCTTACCTTGCCTTAATGTGCCAACTCACCCCTTTAATTAGAGTTTTTAAGAGTATTCTCCTAAGATTTTTATTTTTTTAAAGATTTTATCTATTTATTTGTCAGAGAGAGAGAGAGAGAGAGCAGACAAGCAGGGGGACCAGCAGGGAGAGGGAGAAGCAGGCTCCCTGCTGAACAAGGAACTGGATGCGATGTGGGACTGATTCAAAAGCAGACACTTAACTGACTGAGCCACCCAGGCATCCCTCTACTAAGATTTTTAAAGCTATGTAATTAAAAACAAATAAACATCAATAACTACTATGCTACTACTCTAACCAAGGGTTAGTGGAAATGAATGTGCTAAGTATTTCACACATATTACATTATTTAATCCATACAACATTTTTTTTTAAGATTTTATTTATTTGACAGAGATCACAAGTAGGCAGAGAGGCAGGCAGAGAGAGAGGGGGAAGCAGGTTCCCCACCGAGCAGAGAGCCCGATGCGGGGCTTGATTCCAGGACCCCGGGATCATGACCTGAGCCGAAGGCAAAGGCTTTAACCCACTGAACCACCCAGCCGCCCCTCCATACAACATTCTAAGAGGAGACACATGATATTACAGCTATATTTTACAAGTGGAGAATCTGAGACCCAGGAGAAGTTAACAGATTATCCAAAGCCATACAGCTATCAGCTGCAGAACCAGAACATGAAGTCCATAATTTTAAGTACTACATTGCCTCATCTGACTTATTCATTTCTCATATACCCTTTTGATTTGGCAATTAGTTAAATGGTAAACAGAAATGATGCAGGAACTCTGGTTTCCCATCAAAGCTTCTTCTTGGGGCACCTGGGTGGTTCAGTGGGTTAAAGCCTCTGCCTTCGGCTCAGGTCATGGTCCAGGGGTCCTGGGATCGAGCCCCACATCGGGCTCTCTGCTCTGCGGGGAGCCTGCTTCCTCCTCTCTCTCTGCCTGCCTCTCTGCCTGCTTGTGGTCTCTCTCTTTCAAATAAATAAATAAAATCTTAAAAAAAAAAAAAAAAAAGCTTCTTCTTGTTAAATGGGGCTCTGGGTAGCTCAAGGAGGCTTGAGAGGTAGTGCATGCTTGGAGAACACCATGCCCAAGAGTGAGAGGCACTGAAAGGGATGGTGGAAGGGCCTTAAATAATACTCATGGTTATAATCATAATTTTAGCAATAGTAATAATGTGGCAGGATCAGCAACAAGTAATATTTACCACACATTGCTGGGAATTTAAAACAGATTATTTCATTTAGTCTTCACAATGACCCTTTAAAGTTGGTACCATTATTCTCACCTCCATGGTTCAAATGAGGAAATTTAACAAGATATCCAAGGAGTAAACACAGTATACTCTAGCCATCTGACTTCAGAGCACCAAATTTTAGCCCCTCCACTACATGAAATATGGTTATCTTAGGTGGTAATATTACTACTATTACCAGTAATAGCAGCAATGTTCAGTTGCACATTGGAGCAGGCTCATACCAGAAATTTTGCTAGCATGTTGTTAAAGTGTTGGTAGCTTGGAATTGGCTATAATAAAAGTATTTATACTAAGGAAATCAGCAAATGCTACAAAACCGGACTTTTGTCCGCAAAAAGCTACCTGCCACTATAAATATAATTTTCATGACATGACATACACTATTTTAAGCACTTTAAATATATGAACTCATTTAGTGCTTAAAACAACCCTATGAGCCTATGAGTAACCCTTATTATCTTCATTTTACAGATCAGGCAACCAAGGTATAGAGAGGTTAAGTAACTTGCCCAAAGTCACAAAGCTGATTTCAGCTACTATCCCCAGCATAAATGTGCCATTTATTACATTGGTATTAGTGCAATAAAACTATATTCTGAGCTGAGTGGATGGAAAGAGAAAAAGTACAGCAAGGTCAGTGAAACTTTCAGAAAGTACCTATTGAGTTTTCTAAAATGTTCTAAAATCATCCTTCATCAGTCTAAACCTATTTTTCTTTAGGACTTTGCTACATGCCCCTAATGTTTCCCAAGATATGTAATTTACTCCTTCCTTCCTACCTTCCTTCCTTCCTTGCTTCCTTCCTTCCCTCTCTCCCTCCCTCCTTCCTTCCTTCTTTTTTCTTTTCTTTTCTTTCATTCATTCATCCTTTCTTTCTTTCCCTAAGATTTTGTTTATTTATTTGAGAGAGAGAAAAAGAGCATGAAAACAGGGAGAGGGAGAAGCAGACTCCCCACTGAGCAGGGAGCCTGACTTGGGTCTTGATCCCAGATCCTAGGATCATGACTTGAGCCAAAGGCAAAGAAAGGCTTAACTGACTGAGTCACCCAGGTGCCCCTGTAATTCGTTTCTTATTGAAATCACTCCAAAGGTTTAATTGCTGATTAATGTGGAAGGGTGTGTTGGCTAAGATTTGGTAAAGTCACAAAAAAATGCTTAGAAAAGTCTTAGAGGGGCACCTGGCTGGCTCAGTGGGTTAAGCCGCTGCCTTAGGCTCAGGTCATGATCTCAGGGTCCTGGGATCGAGCCCCACATCGGGCTGCCTATCTGCCTACTTGTGATCTCTCTCTCTGTCAAATAAATAAATAAAATCTTTTTTAAAAAAAAAAAGAAAAAAGAAAAGTCTTAGAAATAAGACTTGCTCCTGGTGCTACACTCATTATGTCTTCCACTTTCTCTCAGATAACCTCTAAAGTGTCAAAGGGAGTCCTTTACCATCTCACAGGAGTAAATGTCTATGAAGGCTTTTGCACACGTAAGTACTGTGATACTCACTTTATTGTGGCACTCTGGAACTGAACCTGCAATATTTCCGAGGTATGCTTGTCGTTAATTCTAATCGCCTTTATTTAAAGAAATAAAGAAACTTACATCATCTAATTCTTTCTCCACTTGGATTTTTCTCTTCTGGAATTGTTTTATTGTTTTCAGCTCTGTCTGAATCATGCCAATTTCTCTGGCTTTTTGATGGAACTGTCCCTCCAGCTCATTTATTTGCACAGTATACTTTTGTTCCTGCATGCAAAAATGAGTTAGGAAATGAGTTAGATAAAAGAGTTAGGAAAAAGAACAGAAACCCCAGAGTTGTGTTCCCTTTGAAGCCTTGGGCCATTTGTCTATCTTTGAAGAAATGTTCCCTTTTTATTTTTGCATAAAGTTTCACTTTTTGTTAGAAGATACCCAAGTGCCTTGAATAAGAAAAAAATTCTTAAATGAGCTGATCTTACACAGAAAATGCAGATAATTATTAAAAAGAGGAGTGAGAAGACTAAAAACATCTTTAATTTGTAAGACAAATAATATCCCTAACCCTAAATTAAAATTAGTGAACCAAGAGATAAAGGAAGGGACAATATCTCTAATAAATCAACAAAGGAGGAGAAGTTGGGAAAAAAGAAAGGAAGGGAAGAGGGAGGAAGAGAAGGCTGAGAATGAGGAGGAAGGGTAGAAAAGGAAGAAAAGGAGAGGAGAGAAAAAAAGGAGGGAGGAAGTGGAGGAAGAAAGGGTCAATAACACAATTTTTAAAATGAAGGAAATACCAAAAAGAAAGGCAAATGACCCTCAAACCTGAAAAAATGCTCAACCTAGCTCATAATAATAGAAATACAATTAAAATACACTGAAATACCCTTTCTCACCCATCATGCTGGCAAAAATCAATTCTGACAATATACTCTGGTATATTGTGAAGAAATGGATAGGAATTAGTTTTCTCAGAATACAGCATTTTGATAGATTTTTACTTTGGAGCCATATAAATAGTTTATGTAATTATATAATTTTAGATGCACAATTTAATGTGATTCTAAAAGTCAAAAGCAAAATGTGTTCTTGAGTTGGTGGCATAACCTCACAGGAATTATTTCAAATGGTGATGTAATTTGATCATAGATCCCTATTGGTATATATCCTAAGGGGGAAAAGCACCCCCTAAAATCTTAAAACTGTTTCCACTAATCTATGTTAGTGGTAATATTGGTATTAGGTGTATTGAGGTTTGAAGCAACTACTCAATTATACCAATATCATTAAGAATAGGAGTTTTGGAAAAACATCCCCCTTGGGGGGTGGGGGAGCTCATAACCTTGTGGGTAGCAGCTCTAACAGCAACAGCGATTATTAGGGATGGCAGCAGCTGCAACGGGACCTGCAAGCCCAGAAGTGTTTCTGGAGCTTCTCAGATCCTCTGATTGATGAGGACCCCGAGGTAGCATTAGAGAAGCTGACTAAGGCTTTGGAACATAAGCCAGATGATGCACAGTATTATTGTCAACAAACTTATTATCACGCTCTTCTAGGGAATTACCATGATGTTGTTGCTGAGGCAAAGGAATCTCTTGAACTTAATCCAAATAATTCCACTGCTATGCTGAGAAAAGGGATATGCGAATACCATGAAAAAACTATGCTGTTGTTCTAGAACTTTTCCAGAACAGGAATTAGATAGGGCAGATCCTGATTTCGCTGTCTGGATTAAAAGGTGTCAAAAAGCTCAGGATGGATCAATCCAAGGTGTCTGCGTCCCAGAGGATTCATCAGTCAAAAATTGAGTACGACTGGTGTCAAACAATAGCTCAAGTAATCATTACAGTTGGGATCAAGAATGGTCAAATCAAGAATGTTCAGAAGAATAACATGAATGTGGGATTATCAGAAAAAGAGGTGTCTGCTTTGATGAGACTCCCTCCTGGGGAGGATCACAGTTTGAAACAGACTTCTTCATCCTACAATACCAGAACAGAGCACATTTAAAGTACTTAAAAAAAAGAAATTAAAATGAAATCGAGACAGAGGCTGTGAGATGGGAAAAGCAAAGGGGGCAAGGAGATGTGTCTAAACCAAAAACAGTTCATAGCAGACATAAGGAATTTATATCCATCATCATCTCATTATGCAAGAAATTGGGATAAACTGGTCAGTGAGATCAAAGAAGAAAAATTGAGAAGGTGGAGGGAGGCACAGCTTTTAACAAATTATTTCAGCCTATCTATCCAGATGGTTCTGGTGATGTGAAATGTGCCATGATCAAATCATTTCTGGAGTCTGGTGGTACAGTTTTGAATACTAACCAGTCTGATGTAGGCAAAAGGAAAGTTGAAATCAATTCTCCTGGTAATATGGAATGGAAAAGTACTAAATAAATTAATTTGCTATCACTGTATTGCAAAAAACCAAAAAAACAGGACCCTTGGTGAGGGAGAAAGGAGACTCAGATCAAGTAATAAATCCTGTACTCCTACATCTGGATTGAAAACATTGGTATGGGCTCATTATATAATCTTTTAAAAGTACATATTTCCTACCTCTGTCTACTGAAAAGCCATAGAAAGAATGGACAAACTCAGTAGCACCACTACTACCAGATCATTTTTTACAAAAACATAATTTTATGTTATTTTTGAGCTTCTATACAATAAAGTGTGTGAGCTTTAAAGTCACTGAACTACTTGGAGGACCTATTCCCTTACTCTTCTGTGCCTTAAATATCTGAGCTTGCCAGAAACCTGACCACCCAGTAAGTGAAAGCATTAATGTACCTACATACTCACCAATTTTTCCTTCTCCTCTTGGGCTTTTTCTTTTGTTTCATTCAATTGTTGTTTCAGTTTTTCAATCTGTAGAAGTTGGAAATACAGAGTCAAGAAGGTAAAGAAATTGCCCTGTATCTTACCTTTATTAAGTAGCCTAGTATTTGCATGATATTAAAACTTATGTTTTAGTTGGAGAGAAGAGAAAAGGGGACATAGTCCATGCCTTCAACCTGCTATCGCCAGTTCTAAAACCTGGCTATCCTCAGAGTTGCTTGAATAACCAATATTTTTGTGTTAAAAAACAAAACAAAACAAAAACAGGGGCACCTGGGTGGCTCAGTGGGTTAAAGCCTCTGCCTTCAGCTCGGGTCATGATCTCATGGTCCTGGGATCGAGCCCTGCATCGGGCTCTCTGCTCAGCAGGGAGCCTGCTTCCCCCTCTCTCTCTCTGCCTGCCTCTCTGCCTACTTGTGATCTCTCTCTCTGTCAAATAAATAAAATCTTTTCTAAAAAACACATTTTGTTTACCATCTGAACCGTTTTTAAGTACACAGTTCAGCTGTGTTACATATATTCACGATGTTGTGCAACAGATCTCTAGAACTTTTTCCTCTTGCAAAACTGAAACACTATATTTATGAAATGCTAATTTCTTCTCCTACCTACTCCCCAGCCCTTAGCAACCACCTTTCTGCTTTTCATTTTTATGATTTTGAGTGTGTCAGATACTTCACGTGAGTAGAAACACACAGTATTTGTCCTTTTGTGACTGGCTTATTTCACTTAGCATTATGCCCTTGAAGTTCATCCATGTGTAGCATGTAACAGGATTTTCTTCCTTTGAAAGTCTGCATTATATTCTATTTATGTATTTACCACATTTTCTTTATCTGTTCTTCTGTTGGTGGACATTTGCGTTGCCTCCACCTCTTGACTGTGAATAATATTTCAATGAACATGGGTGCACACATATTTCTTCAAGATCTTGCTTTAAATTCTTTTGGAAATTTACCCACAGGTGGATTGCTGGATCATGTGGTAATTCTATTTTTAATTTTTTGAGGAACCTACATACTGTTTTCCATAATGGCTGCACCATTTTACATTCCCACCAACAGTGCACAAGGGCTCCAATTTCTCTGCATCCTTCCCAGTGCTTGTTATTTTCTATTTTTCTGACAGTAGTAGCCATCTTAAGAGGCATGAAGTAATATCTCACTGTAGTTTTGATTTACATTTCTCTTATCTGGGTAGCTGTTTTGAAAAAAAGTTTCAAGAAGAGTACAAAGATTTCTCATATACTTTTCACCCAGTTTTGCCCAATGTGTTGTCCCTCTCTATGTATGCATAGATAGATCTATCTAAAATATGAATATATGAATATATAAATGATACACATTTTTTCCTGGACTGAGTAAGTTTAAGACATCATGCCTCTTTACCCCTAAATACCTTAGAATATATTTCCAAAGAAAAAGGACATTATTTTAGAAGCACAGTAATCAAAATCAGAAAATTTAACGTTGATATAAGACTATTGTTTCATATATAGTCCATATTCTAATTTTGCCCATTGTCCTAGTAGTGTCCTGTATTGCAACTTATATTTTTCTGGTCTAGGATATAATCCTTGATTATGCATCACATTTAGTTATCATGTATCCTAGTCTCCTTTAATCTGGAACTGTTTCTCAGACTTTGTCTTTTAGGGTCTTGACAGTTTTGAAGAATAGCAGCCAGAGTTGGGGTTGTCTGATGTCTCTGCATGAGCGAATTCAGATTATGCATTTTTGGCAGGCATATACTGTCTAAGTGATGATGTATGCTTTTCAGTGCATTACATCCTGAGGTAATTGATGTTAATTTTTATCGGTTGGTTAGACTATGTCTTCTAGGTTTCTCCACTTAAAAGTTACAACTTTTCCTTTTATAATTATTAAGTAATTTATGGAAAGATACGTTGAGATGATGCAAGTACCCTTCTGCTCATCAAACTTTTACCATTAGTTTCAGCATCCATTGAAGATTCTTGATGATATCAATTATTACCATGATGCCAAATGGTGACTTAACTCCCCCATCCTTTTTTTTAATTTATTTAAATTCTAGTAATTAACATATAATGTAGTATTTGTTTCAGGGGTACAGGTCTGTGATTCATCAGTCATATATAATACCCAGTGCTCATTACAACACATACCCTCCCCAACGTCCATCACCAAGTTACCTCATCCATTTACCCCTCCTCCCCTCTAGCAACCTCATTTGTTTCCTATGATTAAGAGTCTCTTATGGTTTGTCTCCCTCTCTGGTTTCACCTTGTTTCATTTTCTCCTCTCTTCCCCTGTGGTCCTCTCCTTGTTTCTTAAGCTCCACATACCAGTGAGATCATATGATAATTGTCTTTCTCTAATTGATTTATTTTGCTTAGCCTAATACCCTCTAGTTCCATACATGTTGTTGCAAATGGCAAGATTTCATTTTTTATAGATGCGTAATATTCGTGTGTGTGTGTGTGTGTGTGTGTGTCCTGCATCTCCTTTATCCATTCATCAATCAATGGATATCTGGGCTCTTTCCATAGTTTGGCTATCATGGACATTGCTGCTATAAGCATTGGGGTGCAGGTGCCTCTTTGGATCACTACATTTGTATTTTTGGGGTAAATACCCTGTAGTGCAACTGCTAGATTGTAAGGTAACTCTATTTTCAACTTTTTCAGGAAACTCCACACTGTTTTCCAGAGTAGCTGCTCCAGCTTGCATTCCCACCAACAGTGTAGGAGGGTTCCCCTTTTTCTGCAACCTCGTCAACATCTGTTGTTTCCTGACTTGTTAATTTTAGGCATTCTGACTGATGTGACATGGTATCTCATTGAGGTTTTGATTTGTATTTCCCTAATGCCAAGTGTTGAGTACATTTTCATGTGTTTTTTGGCCATTTGGATGTCTTCTTTGGAGAAATATCTATTCACGTTTTCTGCCCATTTCTTGGATTATTTGTTCTTTGGGTGTTGAGTTTGATAAGTTCTTTTTACATTTTGGATACTAGCCCTTTGTCATTTGCAAATATCTTCTCCCATTCCATAGGTTGTCTTTTGGTTTTGTTGACTGTTTCCTTTGCTGTGCAAAAGCTTTTAATCTTGATGAAGTCCCAATAGTTCATTTTGCCTTTGTCTCCCTTGACTTTGGAGACATGTCTAGCAAGAAGTTGCTGTGGCCAAGGTTGAAGAAATTGCTGCCTGTGTTCTCCTCTAGGATTTTGATGGATTCCTATCTCATGTTTAGGTCTTTCAACCATTTTGAGTCTATTTTTATGTATGGTGTGAGGAAATGAATGGTCCTGTTTCATTCTTCTGCATGGGGCTGTCCAATTTTCCCAACACCATTTGTTCAAGAGACTGTCTTTTTTCCATTTGATATTTTTTCCTGTTTTGTCAAAAATTCATTGACCATAGAGTTTAGGGTCCATTCCTGGGTTCTCTATTCTGTTCAAATGATCTATGTGTCTGGTTTTGTGCCAGTACCTAACTTCCCCATTCTTTGGAAATTTAATAATTTACTACATTCTACTGTAAGCAGTAGAATGTATTTATTAATTTTATTATTTATTTATTTATTTACTAAGGTACATTTTATTAGCACTGTGCACTCATGGACTTATTTCATTCAGTGGATTATAATCTTTTACTATCATCATTTATTTTGATTGTTTCAGATTTGGCCAGTGGGAGCCCCTTCAAGCTAGTACCTGTGCCCTTTAATTTTTTTTAAGATTTTATTTTCAAGGGGCGCCTGGGTGGCTCAGTGGGTTAAAGCCTCTGCCTTCGGCTCAGGTCATGGTCCCAGTGTCCTGGGATCGAGCCCCACATCGGGCTCTCTGCTCAGCAGGGAACCTGCCTCCTCCTCTCTCTCTCTGCCTGCGTCTCTGCCTACTTGTGATCTCTATCTGTCAAATAAATAAATAAAATTTAAAAGAAAAAGATTTTATTTTCAAGTAATCTCTATACCCAACATGGGGGCTCGAACTCACAACCTTGAGATCAAGAGTCACATGATCCACCAACTGAGCCAGCCAGTTACCCTGCCTTTTAATTTTCTTACTCACCTCTTACACAGGTGATTACATACATGATTCCAGGCTTATCTTTTACTTTCCCTGCTCCGGTCATGGAATCGATCATTTGTCCAAGGCTTCTACTACGTTTTTGTAGGAAACCTGAGTAGCTTTTGAAACTAACAATTCCTTGACATGGTTATAGAATCAGAGGGTACATAAGTGGAGTATTGTTGTAAGTAGACTAGTTTAAGGAAAACCTAAAAATTCTAAGATATAAATTGTGACAGTTCTAAGTCATATAAGTCATGTGTGAAATATGAGATTTTGTGCATGAACAAAGCCTTAAATGCAAAAACACTAATTTTGTTCAAGATATGTTTCCAAAACACGTTTCATTTCTAATATTTCTATAATTAACATAAGACTATAACAGTTTAAATAAAACTTAATGACACATTTCTAGGATATAGTAGAATGAGTAACACAACTCTAGGAGAGCTAGTTAAACAGGATATATTGAATCTACTTTACATCTTCCTTCCAAGATAGTCTCTTTGGTTTTAATGGGCATCTGCGATTATAAGAAAATTATGTTATTTGCTATAACCAGATGCTGACTTCTGATATATGAAGGCAGATGAAAATCAGGAAATACAAGTGACACTGATAAATGAAGAGCAATCAGCTAATGCAGGCCACAAAGCTTCTATGTATTTGGAAAATTATTTGACCTAAAAGCTTACTTTAGAATAATACTTTATAGAAGACAATTTTAATAATGCCTACTATTGAAAGAGTAATTTTTAAAATGGAAGTTGCCTTGAAAAGAAGGTTAAAAAAAATAACAGTAGTGCATAAAAATTACTTTAACAAAATTCACAACATCAAGACAAATGTTCAGTTACCTGATTTCTGTAATATGCTTTCATGCTCATCTTCTGTAATATGCTTTCACGCTCATCTTAAACTAAGTTTTGATTGGTATTAACTTTTTCAAAGTATCAGTACACTCACAAGCCTTTCGTTTATGCATGCAAAAAATATTTTAATGAGCGCCTACTATGTGCTATGCCTGTACTAGGTGTTGGAGATGTAGCACCGAACAACAGTTTAAAAAGCCTCCAAATCCTTTATTTCTGTGAGGTTTCATTCTAATCAGGAAAAGAGACAATAAGCAAATATATAAGTAATATTCATGCAGCTCATAGAGGCAGATGGGAAAGAGAAGAATTTGGAGTTGCACCTAAATTCCACTTTAACACCCATGAGCTGTGTGACTTTGGGTCACCCAGGTAGAGCGTAAATTGGTATCTGTCCTTTGGAAAGTCAGTTATCTATAAAATGGCAATGATAATAGTAGCTACATGGGATTATTAAAAGTCTTTAATGAATTGCTTTACAAATCATTAAAAGTATCAATATCAAAAAACATATCAGTCAGGGGCACCAGAGTGGCTCCGTCAGTTTAGCCTTGGGACTCTTGATTTCAGCTCAGGTCATGATCTTGGGGATGTGAGATGGAGCCCTATGTCTGGGCTCTGCGCTTAGGGGGGAGTCTGCTTGAGAATTCTCTTTCCTTATTCCTCTGACCATTCCCCACTGTTTGTGTGAGCGCTCCATCTCTCCACCCCCCTTAAATAAATAAATCTTTTAAAAAACATATAGGTCATAACCTATTCTCTTCTTAAAATAAAATGGATCATAATGTTCCCTTATGACCATCAATCTTTATTTCAGACAAGAAAACAATGGGGGGGGCGCCTTGGTGGCTCAGTGGGTTAAGCCTCTGCCTTCGGCTCAGGTCATGATCTCAGGGTCCTGGGATTGAGCCCCGCATGGGCATCTCTGCTCAGCAGAGAGCCTGCTTCCCCCCCTCTCTGCCTGCCTCTCTGCCTACTTGTGATCTCTCTCTCTCTGTCAAATAAATAAATAAAATCTTTTTAAAAAAGAAAACAATGGGATAAGGGCTGAAAATAAAAGAGCCAATTCTAACAGTAAAGCCATTCAGAAATAACATACTGCTTCACATATGACAGAGGTAGTTACTGAGGCTCAGGAGAGTTTCTACCTACCTACCATATTATCTTTTTCCTGATCCTGCTTCTTCAGGTAACTTAATACAGACATTGTGTCTTTTTCCATTTTATACTGCTGTTTCTTTAAGTCCTCATTACTTTTTGCCAGTCTCCGGGAAGTATCACGATACTCAATCCTAGAGAGTTCTGTGACTTCCAGCCTGGCCTCCCAAAGGGAGGCATTGGCCTTGGCTCTGTCCACTGCAGATTCATCAGCTTTTATTATCTTCCTGCATGGGAAGAGGACATTGACAGTATATAACCATTTCTTTACTATATTAGAATTTTACCTTTCTTTTTACTACTATTTGTTTGGTTGGCATTGCCTGGCACATATGACCAAATATTGTTGGGTGAATGAGTTAATAAGAAATACACATTTATTAAAAAAAAAAAAAAAGAAATACATGTTTATGATAAGGGAGTTAAGTGGGTGACTTCTTAGAAGGGGGAACTTTGGAGCATTACTCTAAAGGACTGGAAAAACAAAGAGGGGAGGCATAAGTCACATTCATTTCGTAAATCTTTCACATCTTTTCATTTACTTCTTTTTCTCATATTTGAACTGTCACTTCTGTTCCTACTCAATCAGTTTTAGACCTTAGTTCTCACTCCTGCAAATCCATTACCTTAGTTCCCCTTCTGCATAATACTACATTCGTAGTGTAACTTTAAGTCCATTGTTCTGTAATTTCCACGTACTCCAACTCCAGTTTTGGTTTTGTTTTAGGTTGTGTGTGTGTATGGGGGTGGATTTCCTGGCTAGACCTTGGACAAAAGATCAAGTTACGAGTATATTAAATGCTTTATTGGCTGGTGCCACAATGTACCAAACTTCAAGAATGGCTGAGAAACAAACCATTATCATTTATATAGAGGTAAAAAGAAATTTAAAATAATAATAGTAAAGTATGTCTTCAAGGATTAAAGTGACAAAAGGAAAGTTTTTCAAAACAAAGATTTATTATATGAGGATTAACAAAAAAAAAATGTCCCTTATCTATGATAGGCACTGGATGCATAAATATTTAGATAATAGTAAGAACTTTACCTGTATTTGAATTCTAAATATTTTCACACACAGATTTGTGGGGATCTTTCTATACTGTCACCCTCCATCCCCACCAACTCCTGGTTCTCAATCCCTTTCCTTTCTGTTCTCTTCAAATTAAGGCCAGCCCCATCTCCAACCCTTTAACCTGTTATAGCTTTGACCTTCCTTTCCAGCATGATTTAGGCAGTAGTGATAGGCTGCCTTGCTATAATCATCCAATTACTCCCTGACGGTATCAGGTCTAAGCTGCTCAGAACAGTTCATGCACCTAGGATTTCTCATAAAGCAACCACTAATACTGACTGTAAAAACAAAGCAGGATTTCTCAAACTATGAGTCATGGAAAATCCAAGGAATACAAGGTCTGTTACCCTCAATGTTCCTCATTGTTGATAAATGTACTGTTGATACATGGTCAAAAATAGAAAACATAGGTTAGTGAGTTCCGAGAATGGGATAAGCCCTTGACACTTTAAAAAAGTGCAAGACTGGGGCCTGACTGGGGCACCTGGGTGGCTCAGTTGGTTAACTGTCTAACCCAGCACCGGTCATGATCTCACTTCGGCTCAGATCATGATCTCAGGGTCCCGGCTCTATGCTCATTGAGGAGTCTGCTGAAGGATTCTCTCTTTCTCACTCCCTCCTCACTCTGCTCATGCTCTCTCTCTCCTTCTCAAATAATCTTTTTTTAAAAAGTGCTTAACTATGCAAGTATGTAAAAAAGAAAGAAAGAAATTACACTGCAGAAGAATACTTATATTAATAGAGGGGGGAGCTAAAAATAAATAGGTACACTGGGCTATCATTTATAAAGAAGAAAAAGAATATCCTCAAATGATAGTAGTGGTTATCTTTGGATGATAGGATTACAGGTGATTTTTGTTTTCTATTTTGACTTTCCATGTTTCCTAAACTTTCTGTACTGAGAATGTATTACTCTCTTTAAACAAGTTACCTTATAAACTTTACAAGTTTGGGGGATTCCCTTTTGGTCCCATTTATAGTGATTGATGCTGGACACCATGTGGGATTCCCACAAACCCCGAAAGTCACCCAGTAGATTCAGTGGCAATCTAGCAGCAACTCCAAGCGTGGAAAGGGTTAGTGCTAGAGCAATGCCAATGTTCTGACCAGCTTGTGGAAACCTGAACAATTACCCAATTTGTTCACATCTTTTAGGTTTTCCTTTGAACCAAAAGGAATCCTTCAAAAAACCCAAGGAACGGGGCACCTGGGTGGCTCAGTGGGTTAAAGCCTCTGCCTTCGGCTCAGGTCACGGTCTCAGGGTCCTGGGATTGAGCCCCGCATCGGGTTCTCTCTGCTCAGCAGGGGGCCTGCTTCGCCCCCCTCTCTCTGCCTGCCTCTCTACTTGTGATCTCTCTCTGTCAAATAAATAAATAAAATCTTAAAAAAAAAAACAACCCATGGAACTACTTCTTCAGTCACCCAGAGATTCTCTAGATGTTTAAGATATTCTCAACTACACCACAGTGGTCTCTCAGGCTGGGGTGGGAGGGTAAAGAATGAATCCAGAGCATAGTTCGCATGGAAAAAAGAGAAGATTCAAGTTGAAGCATATACAAACAGACCCCTTAATTTATTTAACAAATAATAAGCATCTACTATGTTCCAGGATCTCTGCTAGGTCCTGGAGATACGGTGAATACACTTAATGCCTATTCTAGAGAAGCTTACAATCTTGAGCAGGGGGTTCCAACCCTGACTCTACTGACATCCTGAGCCAAATGATTCTGTTTGGAGAGCAGGTGGGGGGTGTCCTGTGCATTGCAGGATGTTTAACAGTATCCTCGGTCTCTACCCACTGGATGCCAGTAGTACATATTCCCAGATGAGAACCAAAAATGTCTCTAGATAGTGCCAAATGTACCCGGGAGCCAAAATCGCCCCCAGTTGAGAACCACTGGTCTAGAGCAGTACTGTCCCAGGGAACTTTCTGTGGTGATGGAAATGTACTATATCTAGGCTGTCCAATACAGTAGCCAGTAGCCACATGTTGAAATGTGTATGAAATGTGGCTACTACAACAGAAGATCTGATTTTTAAATTCTAATTTTAACTTAATAGCCACACATGCTGATCAACACCCCACAGGACATTGCTGGTCTAGAGGACCTTCATTATACCAAGAAATGTTATGCTGACCTTCTGTTCTTCAGTGTCAGAACCAACCCTTCCTCCCCATTCCCAGTTCTGTGGGTTTTTTTTCACGATCCCCTATTTCATTTGCTCCTGTATTTTATTCTTTGGGAACTTATCTGCCTCCATAGTTAATGCATACACATAGGCAGGGGCTGTGTCTAAACTATTCAGGGTCCCAAATCTCACACTCCATTGTTTAGATCAAAGCAGTACAGTTTCGCATGCATTTGGGGAATTTTGGAACAACGGGGCTGTCCTGTTCAGAAGCCCAGGAGAGCAAGAGAAGGGCAGTTGACCAGCCGGCCATCCCCAGCGCCCCACCTGTTTCAGCCCCGAGTCCCCAAGGGCAGGCTCAGGGAAAGGGGACCCCAGCGTGGTTTCTCCTTACTTCTTGTCTTTGCCTTTGCCTTTACTCTTGCCTTTCCTTTTATCCTTTCCCTTGGTCGGCATCCTGGCTTCACCAGGGGCCCGAAGGTAGCCCTCGTTTCTCCACCGCCTCCCCGGCGCGGCTCCGTTTCTAAGGAAACCAGCACGCCCAGCGGGTAACGTTCCGTCCCGGTCGTTGCCCGTGCGCGCACGCGCCCGTGACGTAGCCCCGACGCCGTCGCCGCAAGGGGCCCGGTCCACGGGCCGGGCACGGGGGCGGGGCTGAGATCGCGCCCGGGGCGGAGGGCGGCGGGCGGCCGCGCCGTGGCGGCGCACGCGCGCGGTGAGTGTGCGGGCGGCGGGGACGCGGTTGGGCAGGCTGGCAGGCGGGGGTTCGAAACCGCCCGGTCCGAGGCCGCGGCGCGGCGTCCTACAGGCCGGGCGTTTCCGGCGGCGCGATGGTCGGGACGCCCTAGCCTCAGGAGGCTTGCTTCCCTGAGAGTCCGGCCGCCCAACCGCGGGCGGCCGAGCGCCCCCTGCACCGACTTTGCAGCGCTTTCCCCCTTGCCTCACGCCGCAGCCAGCGTGGCCGAGGACAGGCTCCGCCTCGTCCTCTCCCGAGGCTGCCCTCTTGACTCTTTTGGTTTCCGCCTCCCTCTCCTAGTTTCTAACTCTGGCTACTTCTGGAAGGGATGGCGCATTCTGCGGACTTGCCAGGCCAAACACTTTCTCGTGAGGCCGTGGAGGACTTTTCCGAGAGGGGTGGTTGGGCGTGCGGCTGGCAGCCTCCTCTGGGCAGCGCGTGCGGGGCGTCCGAGAAAAGTGCTGTCGGCTGGGGTCGGAGGGGGCTCCGACGAGGACAAAAGTGTTGTCACCTGGGGTGGGAAAGGCGGCGGGGCCACGAGAAGAGCTCTGGGGACAGGCCCATTCTGTCCTGTGTGTCCGACGCTGCCCGCCCAGTACGGCCCCCGGAGTCCCATTTGCCACAGCCCCCGGTCTGCAAGTTGGAACTTTTTGGCCTTTTGGTTTTCCGGTTTTTGGTTCTTTGGTTTTTTTTTTGTTTGTTTGTTTTTTGTTTTTTTCTCTTTTTTCCTGAGCACACCTGTGAAAAGGCGTGCTCGGAAGTATTGTTCTTTTGTTTCAGAGGAGGAGTTCCGTGATTATGCCTTCATTCTGTGAGAGTTAGTCATTGAGGGAATTCTGCGTGCCAGAACAATGCTTGGGAAACTTGTGACAGAATTCTGGGAGCCTTAGGAAACGTGCGACTGAAACTGCTGTGCGTTATCCTACATTTCAAATTGAATTTAAGGTTTCCTTGAAAACTTCCTTGTACATCTTCCCTCTCCACGTCTTTGTCCTGATGCCCCCTTCCTTCCCCCCACCCCCAGCTGTGTAGCTTGTGATTTTTAATTCTGTGGATAGAGAGAACATGCTGACTTGTTAATGAGCGCTGAAAATGCCTTTTTTTTTTTTTTAGATTATTTTTTTTTTTTTTTGACAGAGATCACAAGGGGGGAGAGAGGCAGGCGGGGGGGGGGGCGGGGGGGGGGGGAGACAGGCTCCCTGCTAAGCAGAGAGCCGGATGTGGGGCTCGATCCCAGGACCCTGAGACCATGACCTGAGCCACCCAGGTACCCCTGAAAATGTTTTTAGATACAGCGTGTGTTAGCATGATTTTAGCTTACCCCCCCTCCCCGTTTTTTAAGAAGTATTTATTTGACAGCCAGAGCAGGAACACTAGCAGGGGGAGTAGGAGAGGGAAAGCAGGCTTCCTGCCAAGCAGGGAGCCGGATGTGGGGTTCTGTCCTGGGACGTTGGGATCATGACCCCAGGGAGGAAGACCTAGGCTTCGAGACTGAGCCGGCCAGGTGGCACCCCAACCCCCGATTTTTTGAGTATAGTTGATTCACAGTGTTAAATTAGTTTCAGGTGTACAACATAGTGATTCATCTCTATAGGCTCTGCTGTGTTTACAAGTGTAGCTACTATATGTCACTGTAAAATACTGTTACAGTACCATTGTATTTTCTGTGTGTTACCGTATTCCCTAAGTCCCCTTTGTTCCCATGATTTATTCATTCCGATGTAGGAAAATGGTGGGGTTTGGAGCTGATGGCCAAGAAAGAATTCTTGAGACATCTTTCGTGCAAAAAGGTGGTTTTATTAAAGCACAGGGACAGGACCTGTGGCCAGAAAAAGTTGCACTGGAGTCATGAGAAGTGGTTGATTATTTTCAAGTTGGGAGGGGGTTAGGGATAGCTTAAGTCTCTAAGGAATTTTGGAAGCAAGGTTTCCAGGAGCTTGAGGGGCCTAGATGTTGTTTGAAATAGGTCATTTATTACTTACTGTCTAGTAAACCCTTAGTCATGAGACCCTTCAGATGTATATCAGTGGGCCATATCCTTGGGGGATGATTACCAATATGTATCTTGGTGGGGGAGTAGAGATAGAGGAAGTTTCCAGAGGAATTTTTATATATTAAAGTAGACCACAAGATCCTGGGGAGTCAGGCTAAGATTGCCTTTTGCCCTTAGCGACATCTAGGTAGCTGATTTCCTAGAGGAATGTCACTCTGCCTGTTTCAAGGACTTGTCAATGGGTTGTAAGTAGTAAGGCAGTTTGAGAATTTCTCTTTCTTTCTTTCTTTCTTTCTTTTTTTTTTTTTTTTTCTGCTTTTGTTTTCTACATCATTCCCCCCTGGAAAATTTTGACCCTTAAATCTTTAAGGTTCCTGAGGTGGAAGTTCTCATCTTCTGTAACTTCTTCCAGCTGAATAGAGAAGTAGAGCTGTCCCTACCTATGGGCCAACATTGGGCTTATATACAGAGAGGTTACAAAAGGCAGAGGCAGCTGAATCCAAGGGAGACCGCATGTATGAGTCTCTTTCTGATGACAGGATCATCTATCGGCTTGAAGTTTGGGCAGTGATGGAGTCTCTCAGGTGGAGAGACATGGGAGAAAACAGCAAAATGTGATTAGAATAACAAAAAAAGCCCAAATAAGAGTCCTTTGACAGTTGACAAAATCCTTCTCTAGTCCAAGAGGACTCTTTAAAGGAAAGAGAGGGATCATTTAAAGCACCAATTTGAGGTATGCCTGGGTGGCTCAGTTGTTAAGCATCTGCCTTCAGCTCAGGTCATGATCCCAGGGTCCTGGGATCCAGCCCCAAATCAGGCTCCCTGCTTGGCGGGAAGCCTACCTCAACCTCTCCCACTCCCCCTGCCTGTGTTCCCTCTCTCACTGTGTCTCTCTCTGTCAAATAAATAAAATATAGAAAAAATAAAAATAAAGCACCAATTTGAGTATTCATATCAGTTAGAAACCCAGAAATTAAATTTAAATTTTAAATTTGTGGTTATCTGGAATGTATACACAGCATTCTGTTTTTACAACAGCACAAGTTCTACCTTGTGTAGCACTAAAACATCTAGTGTCATTCTACTTTGTAAAACTGCTTTATGCATTTATGTTACTCGAGTATTTAATAGAGAAATGCCATTTTTGAGTGTCATTTAGGGCTTTGTGTATTTATTAAGAGCTTCCATGTGCCAAACAACACCCTTAGTTCCAAAGAAGGAACAAATATGGATGCTAGGTGGTCATACCAATGAAATAGAACGTATTGACTGTTGCTTAAGATTTGGAAGGTTAACTGGGTTGGTAATGGTTTTGATAACGCGTCTGTGCATCCAGGCAAAACTCAGGGTACTGTGGCCTATCCAGCCGGGGGGAAGCTGTGGACACAAGGTAGAGCCGCATAGACTGTGGGCTCCTAGAGCCAGCCATCTAATTCTGGGCCTCCTTGTTCTGCAGTCAGGATATCAAGGGCCATTTGGTTTTGGAAGGCGACCTTTTGAATTTGTGGGTGACTACAAGTTGGGTCTGGTTAAAGGTAGCTGTTCTATGCTCAGCTAAAGCCTTTATTTGCAATTTTATATCAATAGGGGTAACTCATGGGATAACTATAAGGAATAAAACCATCTAGAAACCCTCTTTGTTTGAGGTCTGTCCTTAATAGTATTTGAATTATGAGGAATCACTGGCAAATGGGAGAAGTGTTGTCTTGGGAGAGAGCAGCAGATCACCTAATCCAGTCATAGGGAAGGTGGGGTCATCCATTATCTCCATAAGTCCATAGTTAAGCCTGTAGAGTGGGGTATACTCTGACTTTTTTTTTTTTTTTTAACATTTATTTATTTGAGAGAGCATGAGAGGAGAGAGGTCAGTGGGAGAGGCCAACTACCTGCCAAGCACGAAGCCAGACATGGGACTGGATCCCAGGACTGCAGGATCATGACCTGAGGCGAAGGCAGTCACTTAACCAACTGAGCCACTCAGGCACCCTATTCTCTGGCTTTTAAGGAATGATTTTGTCACCCCTGCCACACAGAATTGGTCAGGGAGATAGTTGAGTTATGGAGTTGTTGGGGAATCAATCCCATTTGGAAGCTGTTCCAATAATCATATGCCCATGGGATCCTGTTTTTATTCCCACAGAATAACCAGGAAGGATTGTCTATACATGAGCTATTGTGGCAATTTCTCTGAAGTTACTTCAAGTTGTCTAGCTTAGGCAAACAACAAACATTCAAAGACAATCAGAACTAGAATTTAACAAGATTAACAAGGTGGGTTATTGAAATAATTTTTCTCTCTAAAATCACCATTATTTCCAGAGATGGATACATTGAGGTTAATTTGTAAAACAAGTTCAATTTTAACAAATTTGGTCTAATATTTTCATAAGCTCAGTAAGAATAGCGGTTGGCCATATAGATCTTTAAAATCTGCTGCTGAAACTTTTCATAAGGAGCCTAGATTAAACTTTTAGTACTCTCTAGGCCAGAAGCCAAGCCAAGTTCTTGCCATCAAACATGCCTGCAATATCTGTAGATTTGGGTGAACTTCTCTTTCTGAGGCCCCCAAAGTATCCTGAGGTTCTTGCAACTGCCACGAATTGACTTTCTTTAGTCATCTGGTAAGACTGCTGGGAACTCTGTAAGCAAGGTATCAGGCCAGCATTTCTAAGGGGCTTTATGGCTCCATGTTTCATAAAGTCAGCCTCAATTCCTGAAAACTCTTTGGTCATATCTGAGTCTATGAATGTGTCTCTCAAATATGACATTCTGGTCAAAGCTTTTTAAAAGGCTTTGTAAAATAACCAATGTTTCCATTGGTGGTCTGTTACAAGGAGAATAGATTCTTACTGAACTTATGCAAAGGACTATGCTTGCCATGAAAGAAAGAATACTTAGACCTTTGAATTTCACAGGGTTCTGGTAGAGAGAAAAGTTAAATGCTTCAATGTGTTTACAAATGAATACTTTATCATATTTCTGTAAGTCATAGATATCTTAAGAGAAAGTTTCCTTAATCCAGAAGAGTAAACATTAAAGAATCAGCAGTGTTTCAAGTGAGAATCATAAATCTATAATCTTTTTCAATTCATTTAGTCCCATGTTACCAATTCTTGTTTAGTTTGAATCTAGCCTTTTAGTTAGTTCTGTAAATTCTTAATCCATTTCAGTTTTATGATTGTAAAGATATCAGATATCTGTTATTTGTCAAAAAAGTCCTTTATATAAATCTCCTTGAAGACAAAATTCATTTTTTTTAAAAGATTCTATTTATTTGAGAGAGAGAGAGAGAGTGAGCAAGAGAGCACAAATGGGGAGTGGCAGGGAGAGGGAGAAGCAGACTTCCTGCTGAGCAGGGAGCCCAAGTGGGGTTCGATCCCAGGAACTTGGGACCATGACCTGAGCTGAAGGCAGACGCTTAACCAGCTGAGCCACCCAGGTGCCCCAAAACTTATTTTTCAAGAGAATAAGAACAATTTAGAAATGACAAAAACTCAGAAATGGACATTGTTAATGATCTGATGAGAGTTCATTATAATGCAGTTGACAAGGAAATTCAATTATTTCTGTGACAAAGAACAATAATCAGAATATTGAGTGATAAACCTTCTTTTTTTTTTTTAAGATTTTATTTGCTTATTTGACAGAGAGATCACAAGCAGACAGAGAAGCAGGCTCCCTGCTGAGCAGAGAGCCCGATGCGATGCGGGGCTCCATCCCAGGACCCTGAGTGGGGACCTGAGCAGAAGGCAGAGGTTTAACGCACTGAGCCACCCAGGTGCCCCGAGTGATAACTTTTTACCAGAACCAACATACCATATAAAGAAGCCTAATTAGTCAGAGACTTCATTTATGATTTAATTCTTGGGGAATCTTGTTTAAAACCTTAGAAAATTTTAAAGCACAAGCCTAAATAGGATTACAGATCATTAAAGACCTGATAAAGACAAAACCTAGAAACCGGTTTGTCTGGACAGACAAAAGAGAAAACAACTTTGTTTATATTTTCTTATCAAGAGCAGACCCTGGCGCCTGGGTGGCTCAGTGGGTTAGAGCCTCTGCCTTCAGCTCAGGTCATGATCCCAGGTCCTGTAATCCAGCCCCGGCTCGGCAGGGAGCCTGCTTCCTCCTCTCTCTCTGCCTGCCTCTCTGCCTACTTGTGATCTCTGTCAAATAAAATCTTTAAAAAAAAAAAAAAAAGGCAGACCAACAGTCCAAGAAAACTTGTCTTTTTAACAGAGAAAGCAGAATTTCAATCTTTTTTTTTTTTTTTAATTTATTTGACAGACAGATCACAAGTAGGCAGAGAGGCAGGCAGAGAGAGACAGGAGGAGGCAGGCTCCCCGCTGAGCAGAGAGCCCGATGTGGGACTCGATCCCAGGACCCGGAGATCATGACCTGAGCCGAAGGCAGAGGCCTTAACCACTGAGCCACCCAGGCGCCCCCAGAATTTCAATCTTATACTAGTGTATTTTTAAAATCCATTCATTTCAACTTTAGTTCATCCTAACCACACATAAAATTCCTTTTCAAAGATTTCCCTTGAAACCCTTCTATAGCTTTCCCTTGCATTCAGATTTTGTCCCAAGACATGTCTCTCCGAACAACCAGTGTCATTTTAGGACAAAATTACTTTCTTTTACCTTCAACAAAAATGTATTTCTATTCCTTATATCTTTCTTACACATACAGAGTTACTTGCTTTATTTCTCAGTCTTAATTACATTTTGCAGAATTCTGACTCTTAGAAACTTAGTCTCCAGTGAAGACTAAGTAGTAACTAATCATGAACTGTTACACCAGAATTCTTTAGATAGTGAATTTATGAATCAGCTAAGCACAAAGCATGTTTTCCAACAGACCCAAATATCCTTTTTTTAAAAGATTTTATTTGTCAGAGATAGCGCCAGCAGGGGGAGAAGCAGTCTCCCCGCTAAGCAGGGATTCCCATGCAGGAATCGATCCCAGGATCCTGGGATAATGATGTGAGACTAAGGCAGACACTTAACCAACTGAGCCACCCAGGCGTCCCACCTTTTTTGTTTTTTTTTTTTTTAAGATTTTATTTATTTCACAGCGGGAAAGAGGGAAGACAAGGGGTTTGGGAGAGGGAGAAGCTGACTTCCCGCTGAGCAGGGAGCCTGATGCCTGGGGCGTGGGGGGCAGGTGTCATGTGGGGGTTTCAATCCCAGGACCCTGGGATCATGACCTGAGCCAAAGGCAGACACCAGACACTTAACGGCAGAGCCACCCAGGCACCACAGACCCATATATTCTTATAGTTTCTCTGCAATAAGAAGTCCAGAGCACAAACCTACGTTTGGTAATCAGTGCTTTAGCACTTTATCCTATTTGGAAAAGACCTAGATGTCCAATGAATTCAATCCCAGTTTATCATCCAAGCAAAACATTAAAGTTTCAGGTTACCGAAGGACCTTGAAAGCTATCTTAACAATTACCCCCTGAAAACTTTGAGACAGACAAAATTAACCATTTTAAGTCATCTATTTGCTAACAAATTGCAACAGAGGTAACACGGCTTATTTGACCTTCAGTAATCCCTGGTAGAATGAAAGTTGCATATTTAATGCTGGTGACTCTAAAGACATGTCTTTTAATTAAGCCAATGAACTTAAATCCGTTAAATACCAAATTGTGTTCCACCTGGGTCCACTGTAAAAGTCAAAATTTGTTCCCCACTCTCAGTTTTTACCTGGGGCACTGGTGGAGAAATCTGAAGTGGGCTGTGGTAACTCCAGGGAAGTGCTCTTCTCTCCTTGGCAGTGAGGGGAGGAAAAGGAGCCGGTGATGCCAGAGGCACTGAGGATGGTATAGGAACCAGGTGCACCCAAGGTGGTGTAGAAACAGGAGGAGGGGATGAGCTGACACTATGGTTTTTTCCCCACCAAAGTGGAAATATGCAGTCCACGTCGGGCCACAGAAGACAGGGAGTTTCCCCAAAACAAAGGGAGTTTGGGGAGCTATTTGGGAATATTCCTTAAAGTCCTGGTACTAAGGTAGACTGTCCATAGTTGGCTCTAATTATAGCTATTAACCTGGGAAATGAGGGAGAAGCCTCAACCTCTTATTAGGAGGGGGAATAGCAAAAGAGTCAGAGTCCCCTTCATTAAGAATGGCCTGTGTTTCCTCTAGCAACCTGGGTTCTATCAGGAGGAGGCCTATTTAGATAATTATCATTTAATATATCAGAAGGGAGTTTACTAGCCTGGTTACTGACTAAACATGTTCTGCAAGAGGCCCTTAGGTCCAGGTCCTGATTTAGAGCCTTGATGGCCTGGACCTTGGGTATCTCTGCTCCATTTGCCCTGTTGCCTGTAGAACAGATCTGAGATCCTCCTGAGGCCATGCAATATTACAGACAACCAGTCCTTTGCTAAATTTTGCAATCTGAATTGTTTCCAGTGGGTTAAAAGGGATCCCAAGGGAGAGTCCTTGGGAACTGAAGAGAGAAGATCCAGTACCAAGAAAATACCTGTTCCCGCCTGGTTTCCTGGGTAGAATCAGATGTTCCTGGTGTCAAAGTGGCCTGAGATGTCCCTTGAACATAATCCGTATGATCACTGCCCTGATTGATGTTAAAAGGCCTGGGAGGAGGGATGCTAGAGTTCTTTCCTCTACCCCCCACTTCGCCATCATATTCTGGACTGCAAAATGAGTGCCAGTGTATGGACCAAGATATCATGCCTTAGAGGTCATGGTATAAGGACCATACCTTATTTTACCTTGTCTTAAAGGTCATGCCAGGAAGGACATGCTTTATTTTACCTTGAAGAACCTGCCGTTTTTAACCGATGGGAAACATTAGGAAAGTTTTACAAGGGGAAGTTACCCGATCTTGTAGCTTACGTAGTTATTAGAGGATATTGATCAAAAACAGTAAAGATAGAAGTCCATCATGGTCTAAACAACATTCCAATAAATATAGTCTTTACCACCAACTTCTCTAGGAACCATCCCCGGTAGGACTTTAATTCAATATGTATTGGTTTTGGCCAGTTCCAAGTGGCCAAAAGCAGCTAGACCAGGGATATGAAAGAGATCACAGACCAGTGAGGAGGAAACCTGGTGCTGGAGTCTTAAGATCAGCAGCCATACTAGTCTCTTAGGTCGCTGTCCTGTGCCCAAGACAGACAACTTTGTATAAGGACAGGAATAAAGAAAGGGCATCAGGTTTCTGGGTCTTATTACCATTCCAGCCAGGGTACTAACTTTCAGCCAAAAGGCACGCTTTCTTCTCCCCGTATCGTAGCTATGGGCTAGAAGATTGCAGCCTGAGTAATTGACATGAAAGTGTTCCAAGAAGACCATACCCCTTGAAAAGCCCTTGGAATGAAAGTAGAAGAGAAGTGAAAGTACTTAGCAAGTCTGCACTGAGGCTCACATTAGACCTCGAATGATGTAGGAAAATGTTGGGGTATGGAGCTGATGGCCAAGAAAGAATTCTTGAGACATCTTTCATGCAAAAAAGGTGGTTTTATTAAAGCACGGGGACAGGACCTGTGGCCAGAAAAAGTTGCACTGGAGTCGTGAGAAGTGGCCCATTATTTCAAGCTGGGAGGGGGTTAGGGATAGCTTAAGTCTCTAAGGAATTTCGGAAGCAAGCTTTCTGGGATCTTTTTTTTTTTTTTTAATTTTTTTATTTTTTAGAAGTTTTTTTTTAAATTTTTATTGATTTGACAGAGAGGGATCACAAGTAGACAGAGAGGCAGGCAGAGAGAGAGAGAGAGAGGGAAGCAGGCTCCCTGCTGAGCAGAGAGCCCGATGCGGGACTCGATCCCAGGACCCTGAGATCATGACCTGAGCCGAAGGCAGCAGCTCAACCCACTGAGCCACCCAGGCGCCCCCCTTTCTGGGATCTTGAGGGGGCTAGATGTTGTTAGGAAAAGTCATTTATTACTATCTAGTAAACCCTTAGTCATGAGACCCTTCAGATGTATATCAGTGGGCCATATCCTTGGGGGATGGTTGCCAACATACATCTTAGTGGGGGAGTAGAGATAAAGGAAGATTCCAAAGGAATTTTTATATATTAAAGTAGACCACAGGATCCTGGGGGGTTGGGCTAAGATTGCCTTTTGCTCTTAGCAACATTGAAGTAGCTGATTTCTTAGAGGAATGTCACTCTGCCTGTTTCAAGGACTTGTCAATGGGCTATAAGTAGTAAGGAAATTTAATTTTTTTCTTTTGCCTTTGACTCCCACATCAGTTACACAGCTAGAAGCCTGCATCTCCTATTCCCCTTCACCTGTTTTGCCCAACCCTCCATCCCCTTCCCTCGGTGGCTTACTGTATTTCTGGTGCACTTTCCCTCTGTTTGTATGTCACACTCTGGTGGGTCCATGGTGGAATCACCATACACTCGAAGAATTTCTTCTGATACAGGATCCATAAAATTAGGATTAATTTTTGTCTGAGGTTCTGAAAGTACACCGTATTGATAACTTGCAGAAAAGAGAGATTAGGGCATTTTCTATACAGGCTATATATTTGGAATGCTTAAAATTGGTTATTTTATAATATGAAAGTCAGTCCAAGACTTCCCTTGTTTGAACACAGGCCTATAGACTCATTTATAAACATGAAAATTTGATTGTAACAAGATTATTTCTTAATGTACACATAATACTTTCAATTACATATACTTTATAGTTTTTTATCATACATTTATATTGACCATAAGTTTGATTTGTAGTTAAAAATGTTGTGATATGACTATGGCTAAGAGAAATGCCCATATTTATACTATAGTAGAGGGGTTCTAGAATTTGCAGTCTTCTGAACCTCACATTTTCTGCCAAAGAACTGGATATTATTATTTAGTCATCTGTTAGCAAGAAACATCTAATGATACAGATAGTAGAGTAGGAAGTTGCTATTTAGCAATTCATTTGATAACATTTCCTTCCATAATTTCTGGTAGGTAAGTTTACTGTGAAGTTTCAGGATTATCTTGCTGAGTAAATATGCTTTGTTTTATTTTTTAGAATGCTAATGCTTTTAAAACTGGGAATAAGCCATTTAAGTGTTTTGTTGACTTGGCTTTACAATTGTTTTTCCCCCCCGTTTGTATAGTTCCCGGTCAACATAGAAATGTGGAGTATCTTGGCTGAATCCTCATGCAGACAAGGTCGTTATGGTCCTCGTAGGTACGACAAGTAACCTGATATAAGGTAACATCTGTGCTAGCTTAAAGCTCTAAATGTACTTCATATGCTCCTGGGGGGATTTTGTTGATGTTTTTTTTTTCTGGATTGGATTCTCTATCCTTGCCAAATGATGACTTTTCTCTTGTCCTGTTGATTGTCAAGTGTAGAGTTGTTCAAAAAGCCAGATAACTTAGGACTGCATATCAAAATATATATTTCCTGATTTTTTTTTTCATAGTATATAGTATTTCTAATTGTCTTTTTTAGTGGTTCCCAAATTGGGTTTACTCTGTAAAGTCGTCTGTGGCTCTGTTCTTGTTCCACCTGGAGACTCAAGTTTCTACTCATAAATCATCCTTGAAATCACCTGATTGCAGATGCAACTCTATAGGTGGAGGGAAGTAGGTGAACAACTTTTGATTTTTGTTTTCATAAAGGGTTTCGAATCATGCATAAATGTATTATCCAAACAGTATCTGAAGGGACTAATTAGTGTTTCCAGATATCATGGGGAGTCGGTTACTTTCATCTTCCTTTTTATTGTCCTTGGTACAAATACAGAATTCTTTTAAATAGGTATGATATTGTGATATTGACTAGTTCACACCCCTGCAAGGGATAAGAAATCCTGGAGATCAAGGGTTTACTGTTATCAATTTTAAAAGTAGGGTTTTATGGGGTTTTTTTAAACATTAATTGTTTTATTTTTAATATATAATAAGATAATTATTACCACTAGCAATTTATTTGCAAGGTATCCAATTTTTATTATCTGTCCATTCTGACAAAACTTTTACACAGGACTAAAAGTTCTCTAAGAAAAATTACTCAAATTTCAGTCCCATATATTTGCACTTCGGTGTCATGAATCTGTCAGATGTTCATTTAAGAAATGTTTAGTGAGGGGTGCGCCTGGCTGGCTCAGTCAGTTAGGTGTCCAACTCTTGGTTTGGGTTCAGGCTTTGATCTCAGGGTTGTAAGATTGAGCCCCACATCTGGCTTCCCACTCTCTACTTCTCTTCCCCTGCCCCTTCTCTCACTCATTCGCTCTCTCTTCTCAAATAAATAAATCTTAAAAAAAAAAAAAAAAAAAAAGGTCAATGAGCACCATCCGTATACCATGCTACCTGACAGCTTGAGGAGTACAAGCCTTCAAGTGGCTTATAGTCAGGCACATAAGGTACTGACCTGAGCATTGATCTGTGAGAGTGCACAGCTTCACTACACCAATATACAAACAGTTTACAATAAAAAACACCAAACAGGGCACCTGGGTGGCTCAGTTGGTTGGGCCACTGCCTTTGGCTCGGGTCATGGTCCTGGGGTCCTAGGATTGAGTGCCGCATCAGGCTGCCTGCTCAGCAGGGAGTCTGCTTCTCCCTCTGACCCTCTCCCGTCTCATCCTCTTTCACTCTCTCTCAAATAAATAAATAAAATCTTAAAAAAACAAAAAAACAAGCAGTGATGGATAAAGGGGAGATGGCATAAGTGCTGCAGGAATTTGGGGACATGAAAGGCTCTTATAGAGAAAGCTTACAGAAGGTGGGCTGAAAGGAAGAGGGAAGGCTTTCTGGAAAGGTAGAATCATGTGAGCAAAATTCAGTGTGTGTTTGAGACAAGGAGATGTTTAGCTAGAGCAGTAGTTCCCAAAGTGTGGTCCATGGACCAGTAGCATCAACATCACCTGGGACCTTGTTACAAATTGGAAATGGAGGTTCTCAGGCCCCACTGGAGACCTGCTAAATCAGGATGCTGGCAGTGAGGCCCACCAGCCTATGTATTAACAAGTCCTCCAGGTGGTTCTGATACATCCTGAAGTTTGAGAATTGCTAGACTAGAGCAGAGGGTTCTTATATGACAGTTGTGGGCAAAAAAGCTTTGGTTAAGGTAGCCTGGGAATTCACAGTGAAGGACTTCAAATGTTGGGCAGGGAGTATGTCTTTTGTTCTACAAAGCAGAGACACCAACTTGAAACTTGAAGGCTGGATTTGACTCATAGATGTGTTTTGCCAGTGTACACAGTGGCTTTTGTGGTTTTTTTAAGTGGAATTAGTTGTCACTATTTAAAAACCAGATTCCGGGGCGCCTGGGTGGCTCAGTGGGTTGGGACGCTGCTCGGGTCGTGGATCTCGGAGTCCTGGGATCGAGCCCCGCGTCGGGCTCTCTGCTCGGCGGGGAGCCTGCATCCTCCTCTCTCTCTGCCTGCTTGTGATCTCTCTGTCAAATAAGTAAATAAATAAAATCTTTAAAAAAATAAAAATAAAAATAAAAACCAGATTCCACACAGGAATCTGTGCTTTCAGTTTGTCTTGAAAAAAATCAGAAGACCTGGCAGTACTGGGGCTGTAGTTTATCACAGCCACAGTCTGTGGCAGCAGCAAGCAACTGCCCGTTTAGGTGGGATATGTACTCTAGCTTGCCGTAGTCCCCACCACTTCCTGTTGGTTTCCGCCTTTACTCACTTATATTTCCTGCTTGGCCCCAGTAAGTAGTTAGGTATTTGAGTTTGTACCTTCTGTTACGAACACTGGGAAATTGATGAAAGTTTTATTTTATTTTGTTTTTAAAGATATATTTATTTGTTTTAGAGAGAGAGGGAGCAAACGAGTAGTGGGGAGGGACAGGAGAGGGAGAGAATCTCAAGTAGACTCCCCACTGAGTGCGGAGCTGGACGTGGGGCTCCATCTCACAACCCTGAGATCATGACCTGAACTGAAATCAAAAGACAGATGCTCAATGAACTGAGCCACCCAGGTGTCCCAAATTGATGAAAACTTTAAAGAGAGTGATGTGATTTATGCATTCATTAATTCATTCAACAGACATTAGTTAAACATATATGGCGGGTTATACAGTGTTCAAAGATAAATGAATTCCTGACATGCTTTGGGTTAAAATCTACTGGGAGAATGATGAAAAAAGTTGTGTATGGATTTGAGAATAGAGATATTGGTAATTGGAAGACCAGTTAAGAAGCTGTAACAGTCCAAGTCTGAAGCAATAAAGGCCAGGATTTAGGTGCTAACAGGTTACTGGGGTGGGGTGGGTGGGAAAAGAACGAGATGGGAAAGATACTGTGAAGGAAAAATCACCTGTTCTTGATAACAGATGAGAATACAGAAGGTATGAGAGTGGAGAATTCAAAGATGATAAGGATTTGGAGTTATGAATTAGGGACTCTGTGATGCCACTTACAGAAACAGAAAATAAAAAAGAGAATCCATTTAGCCTGTGTGTGTGTGTTTGTGTGTGTGTGTGTGTGTTGGCGGGCATGGGTGCCAAGGAAAAGGGGACATTTGGAGATGCTAGTTTAAAGTATCTTGAGGGGCACCTGGATGGCTCAGTGGGTTAAAGCCTCTGCCTTTGGCTCAGGTCATGATCTCAGGGTCCTGGGATTAAGCCCTGCATCAGGCTCTCTGCTCAGCAGGGAGCCTGCTTCCTCCTCTCTCTCTCTGTGCCTGCCTCCCTGCCTACTTGTGATTTCTGTCTGTAAAATAAATAAATAAAATCTTTGAAAGAAAAAATAAAGTGTCTTGAGTTCAATGAATGACATACAATATTAAGTGTTTTAAAGGAAAACTTAATAGAAATGTCAAGATTGCATGCTTAGAGGTAGATATTACTCATTCCATCCTTGAATTCCAAAGGTATACTGGGAGAAGTGTGTTTTGTAATGAAAAAAATATTTTGAAAATGTTTGCTTTGGGGGCTGCATAGTTAGAATTTATAACCTTGTTTGAATCCTCTCTTGGATGTGTAATTTTCAGATTTATGTTGCATAGGTAAGTTTAACATTCTGGGAGAATGGAAGATACTGTAAGTTCAAATGCTTAAAGATATTTTCTGAGTATCAGTACTACCTTCAAATTTTAAATCATAATTGGCTGTGTACCTGTTAGATACCCAAAGGATGGAGTGTTGGCATAACCATTGTTTCATTGAAATCATAGCCAAAGTTTTTCCTCTTATGATCTTACATTTGTTTCCATCTGCCTGCCCTGCCTTCCTTTCTTCCTTCCTTTCTTTTCTTTCTTTCATAAGCGCTATGCCTAATGTGGGATTTGAACTCAGCCGCGAGATCCAGAGTTGCATTTTCAACCGACTAAGCCAGCCAGGTGGCCCCATCTGCCTTTTTTTTTTTTTTTTTTAAGATTTATTTATTTATTTGAGAGAGAGAGATAAAAAGAGCACCTTCGTGCAAGGGGGCTGTACAGAGGGTGAGGGAGAAAGAATCTCAAGCGGACTCCCTGCTGAGCGCAGAGTCTGATGTGGGGCTCAGTCTCACAACCCTGAGATAATGACTCATGAAATCAAGAGTCCAGTGCTCAACCAACTGAGCCACCTAGGCTCTCCCCTGCATCTGCTTTTTTATTTTTTTTATTTTTTATTTTTTATTTATTTTTAAAAAATTATTTATTTATTTATTTATTTGATAGAGATCACAAGTAGGCAGAGAGGCAGGCAGAGAGAGAGGAAGGGAAGCAGGCTCCCGCTGAGCAGAGAGCCTGATGTAGGGCTCGATCTCAGGACCCTGGGATCATGACCCAAGCCAAAGGCAGAGGCTTTAACCCACTGAGCCACCCAGGCACCCTTGCATCTGCTTTTTTTTTTTTTAAGTTTTTACTATGGTAAAATATATAACATAAAAACTGTTTTAACCATTCTAAGTGTGCAGTTCAGTAGTATTAATTATATTAATAGTGTTTTATAACCATCACTACTATCTATTTCCAAAACTCTGTCATCACCCCTAACAGAAACTCAGTCTGTTAAGCAATAACTCCCATTCTCCCCACCCCCAGTCCCTGGTAACCTCTAATCTACTTTCTGTCTCTATGAATTTACCTATTCTAGACATTTCATATAAGTGAAATCATATATCTTTTTGTATCTGGCTTCTTTCACTTAGCATAATGTTTTCAAGGTTCATCGATATTATAGCATGTGTTAGAACTTCATTCTTTTTTTTTTTTTTTTTAAGTTTGTTTGACTTAAGTAATCTCCACACCCAGTGTGGGGCTCGAACTCATGACCCTGAGATCAAGAGTCACATGCTCTTCTTGCTGAGTCAGCCAGGCACAGCAGAACTTCATTCCTTTTTTATAGCTAAATAATATTTATTGAATATATGTATCATATTTTGTTTACATATCTATTGATGGACACTTAAGTTGTTTCCACCTCTGGTTGTTGTGAATAATGCTGTAATGAACATCGGTACAGAAATATTTGAGTCCTTATCTTCAGTTGTTCTGGGTATATACCTAGGACTAGGATTTGGCTTGGTGCCTTTTAACCATGTACTCATACATGTAATAGTAAATGGCCCATCTTGATCACACTGTGGAACATGCAACTTGTTATAAGAGTTCTTCACAGCCAAAAAAAAATTTTAAAAAGACCCCATTAAGTGCATAAACTAGATTTTATCCACTTTGCTTATGGATTAGCTCCTTAGTCACTGCGCCTCATACATTGACACACACACACATTTATACAAAAATGTACACTAGCTTTTTTTTTTTTTTTAAGATTTTATTTATTTATTTGTCAGAGACAAAGGGAGAGAGAGCGAGCACAGGCAGACAGAGGCAGAGGGAGAAGCAGGCTCCCTGCCGAGCAAGGAGCCTGATGTGGGACTCGATCCCAGGACACTGGGATCATGACCTGAGCCGAAGGCAGCCGCTTAACCAACTGAGCCACCCAGGCGTCCCTGTACACTAGCTTTTAGAGGACATGTGACTTGCCTCCTTTTGCTGTTACTGATTTTATAAACAAGTCATTTTATGAGTGGCTGTGGTCGTAGTTTGAATGAGAAGAAAGTATGAAAGAGGCCAAGAGTACTAGACTGTCAGTCAGGAGATGAGTGTGGTGATCTGGTTTCCAGAGACTGAACAGATTAGAAATGAATGTGGAAAGAGAATACTACCTCAAAAATAAGCATACTGACAAGGGAGAACTTTGCTCTTACAATTATCCATGTCCATCTTCTGTAGGTTGAAAAAATGGCACATTAGTTGAAGGAAACAAAGGGGAATGCCCAGAAGAAAAAGAAAATATTGGTAAGTAGCTAATATAAAGTAATACCCCACTTTTCTAGAGGTCACATTTCTGCACATTCTGCTCTCTTATTCCTGAGAGCTCATAGTCAATGGAAAGGGATCTCTGAGCCACTAAAAGACCTGTCACAAGGTCTACACCCCTTATTCTTTTGGAGAGGCTCTCATTTGCATAAGTTGACATAAACGTCTAATAATTACGGCTCTCTGATTTACATCCCATTGATTTTAAAGATTTAAAAAAATTACGTGATGGCAGCTTGTTGAAGAAATCACGTGTATGACAACACTCATCAGTGATAACATAGCATGATGTCAGGGAAAACTAGCTCAGAAAGCGTGGCAATCTGGGACCATTTGGTGGCAGACAGGCAAGTAGTCCTATAGAACTGTAGCCCCTAAAGGCATCCCAGGTTTGCAGAAAAATATAACTGATGATCATAATCATGATCCTGAATCATAAGTCACTTTAGAAGTATTTGTAGCCAATATTGTTAAAATAAGTGTTATGTTATTTTAAGGGGAAGCATTTTAGACACATTTGAAGAAATGTACTTATGTGGTAGTTCTATTCCTTGCTTTATATATCAGGTATCATCATAATACTTCAGTCTTTCTCTTTTGTCATTTTGATTTAACATATTTGAAGCAGTAGACGTTTTTCACTTGGTAACAAGAAAGGGAAAATGAGTTTTCACTTCTCTTCCCACAAATTCCAGTGTAAACAGTGACAAAGGGCACTGATCCTTGTAATTACTCTTCTGCACATGAATGCCTCCCACAATAGATATGGGTTTGATGGCAGAAATAGTTTGTCACTTTAGGTTTTTATTATATTTGCTCACTGGAGCTATGTTAACCCTCTCCTGACTGGTAGTTTCTTCCTGTGTAAAGGGTATGAAAATGAATTTCTTACCCAATGAATGGGTAAGAAAAGGCCTTGTGACTTGTGAAGAGAGAGAGATAGCAAGAGCAACAGCTTTCTTTCCCCAGGCAGTGATTATTGTAGCTAAGTCAAGCCTGGAACAATGAAGAATGAAGTCAGGCACTGCCTGATCTCATTTTGGTATAACACCCAAATAGTTTCATTGTATAGAATCTGCCTTTTCAACACTTGTCTAATGTTTTGATTAAAATGGAATGAAGTACAGAAAGAAGTGATCTGTTTATAGGAAAGGATTTTATATTTTTTGGTAACTACCAATGTACCAACTCTGATTCCTTTACTGGGAGTATTTGATCTTAGGATTGGAGAGATCTTAAAAGAGATCTCATTCGGGACACCTGGGTGGCTCAGTGGTTTAAGCCTCTGCCTTCCGCTCAGGTCATGATCCCAGGGTCCTGGGATCGAGCCCCGCATCGGGCTCTCTGCTCAGCAGGGAGCCTGTTTCCCTTCCTCTCTCTCTGCCTGCTTGTGATTTCTCTCTGTCAAATAAATAAATAAAAATCTTTAAAAAAAAGAGATCTCATTCAACCAGCCTTCTGATCTGTGAATCTGCCTGGGACAATGTCGTCAGACTTGAGCTGGGCCCTTGGGGTGAGAATCCTCTCCTCACTGCCAGCACAACTCCTGCTGTTGGAAAGTTCTCCCTGTTCCACCTCTTCCCCTGTAGTTTCCATGCTTACAAGTCTTATTACAGCTCTTTGGCAGCATTCTACAACAAATTGATTACTTAGTAACCCCTTTTCATTTTGTTGCTGTTCGGAAAATACTTGTTATAAAGGTTTTCAGTGGTTTTCGTATCTGTGCCAGTTGTCAGTCTTATCTCTTTCTACCAGATATCTCTTCAGTACCTAAGTATTAATGCTAACATTGTCTCATTGGGAATTTTCTTTCTATATATAGCATGAAGAAAGTTGTTATTCTGTTAATATAATTATTTTCACTCTATACTTTCCTTGATTGAGCATTTCATTTCACTGTTAGGTTTATTATTCAGTTATTAATGGATGGTTAAAATCTTAACAAATATAGTGGGTCGTTTATTTTCTCCCTACTCTTTCCTAAATATATCTGACTTTTTTGAAGTATTTAGATTCCTTTCATCCTCAGGAACAAGCAGGATCTTGTATGAATTGTAGTTTTTCTGACTTTAATGCTTTTCCTTAAGTAAAATATTGGGATGAGAGGTGCCTTGGTGGCTCAGTTGGTTAAACATCTGACTCTTGGTTTTGGCTCAGGCTGTGATCTCCAGGTCATGAGATCAAGCCCCACATCAGGCTCAGAGTGGATGGAGTCTGCTTAAGATTCTGTCCCTCTGCCCGCCCCCCACGCTTGTGTTCATGCACTCTCTTTCTCAAATAATAAATAAAATCTTTGCAAAAAAATCATGTCTATAACAAAAAAAATGAAAAGCATCAAGTGGTAGGATATGATATTTTCAGAGAAATTAAGTCTATTCTGTTTTTAATTTTTTAGAGTTAATATCATTAGAATAACATGTAGTTCCTAAAACAAGAAGAGTATAAGCTCTGTTAATAGAAATACTTATAAACTGAAAAAAAAGGGATGAACACAAAATATTATGCAAATACTGGTTATAACTCGCAGTAGCCTCTCAGATGGCCCCCACTGATCCTTGCCTCCTGGTATTCATGCCTGTCCTCTCACACATTTCGTCAGGGCTGGTCTGTAGGACCAATGGAATATGGGGGAAGTAATAATGTATGACTTATAGGGCTAAGTCATAAAAAAACATCGCTGCTTCTACCTTGCTCTCTCTTGGATTTCCTACTCTGGAGGAGCCAGCCACCATGTTGTAAAGATATTCAAGGTTCTTTGGAGAGTCCACTTGGGAAGCAGCTGAGGATTCCTTCCAACAACCAGCATCAGCTCTCCGCCATTGAGTGAACCATTTCGGAGGTGGGCTTTCAGCGTCAGTCAAGCCTTCAGTTGAGTGCAGCCCCAGCCTGCATCTTGACGCTAGTATCGGGAGAAACCCTGAGACAGAACTACCCAATTAAGTCGCTCCCAAATTCCTGAACTACAGAAACTGTGAGATAATTAATGTATATTATTGTTTTAAGCAACTAAGTTTTGAGATTATTTGTTGTGCTGCAGTAGGTAACAATGTGCAGCATCCCAAATACTTACTGGTTTGATAAATAGCAGAGAACTTAGACAATGTAAATGATGTTTAGTGTCCTTTAGATTTGGGGGGGGTAAGTTACTTCAGTTTATCACAATTTTAATAAAGTGTATTTGATTAAAGAAATTCAATATAGCTTTAAAACTAATAGATTCAGAAAAATAAAATTGTAGTTTCTCCAAAACAGTATGACTGGATTAGGCATTCATTAATTCTCTTAAAATCTATTTATATAAGTATATATTATTTTCCCCCTTTTCTAAAAATTTTATTTATTTGAGAGAGAGAGTACAAGGATGAGGGAGGAACAGAGGAAGAGGGAGAAGCAGACTCCCCGCTGAGCAGGGATCCCGATGCAGGGCTTGATTCCAGGACCCCAAGATCATGACTTGAGCCAAAGACAGATGCAGCCAGGTGCCCGTTTTTTCCTTTTTATGTCACTTTGCAATTTATTCCTATTGTCAGTTTCCAATGAGTAAGTGAGATGCTTGGGCTACATCAGTAAACAAAGATTCCTACTCTCTAGGAGCTTATATTCTATCAGAGGAACACAGATAATAGACAATACATAAACTAACATGTTAGAGTGTGATAAGGTGCAATAGAAAGAAGAAAAAGATCGGAGTAAGGAATATTGAGAGAGCAGGCAGAGGTAAGGGACACATGAGGGAGGGAGGTTAGTATTAAAGCTAGGTCTCAATAAGAAAGTAGCATTTGAACAATGATTTGGAGGAGTTGCAGGAATTCATCGAGTGGATGTATGTTTCAGACAGCAGGGACAGCTAGGGCAAGACCCTAGGCAGGAGCAAGTTTGACTTGCATGCAGATGTCAGTATTGGGGGAGTGAATAAGGTGAAAACTTAGATAAGGTCAGAGGTAATGGGGGGTCAGGGGAGGCAGAGTAAGTGGATCCATGAAAGCTGTTGGTAGAATCTTGCTCCTCTGGGGGAAATGGGAAGACGTTGTTGGATTTTGTGAGGAGAGACCTGCTGTAATATTTTAAAAGGATGGCTTTGGTTGCTTATTAAAAATAGACTCAGGGGAGTGAGAGTAAAAGCAGAGAAGTGTTAAGACAATATTAGAGTATATCACATGAGACATGATGGTGGCTTGGGCCAAGGTGGTAGCAATGAGTGATCAGAAATGGTCAGATTCTGGGAATGTAATGAAGGTAGAATCAGCAGAACAGAGATCAAAAGTTTTTGGTCGTGTATAGGCAGGAGATCAAACTACTGCAAGACTTCTGCATTTCAATGCCGGTCTCACTTCTCAGCTTCATCTCTGATCATTCTTCTCTGCTCTACCTTCTTCTCCCATCCCCACATCCACTTTTCTCTGGAGTCGTTCCAGATAACCCTTCCCTGGCTGATCTACTGGTTAAAACTGTGGACTCTGGAATTACACTGTTTGGGTTTGATTTCTGACTAATTTTGCTTGCTACTATGTGGTCTTACCTAGCTTCTTATGCCTCAGTTTTCTCATTTCTAGAATGGGGATGTTAATAAACAGAACCTACCTCACAGAGTGGTTTTGTAAGATTAAATGAGATAATATATATAAAATACTTAACAGTGCTTGGCAAGCATTAAGGTCACAGCTGCTATTACTATTAGCTCAGTCTGTGTTCCTTTGGCCACAGTCTTTCCTGTGCATTAAATGCTAACCCTCTCTTCTATACTTTCCCACTACAGTCTACTTTTTGTTTTTGTTTTGTTTCTGGAATCCGTATGACAGAAATTTTTGAGGAAATCAAAAAATGAAATCAAACCATCCATAGTGTACCTCTTTTCATCTTTTTGTAGTCCCTCTGGTCTTTATCCACATGTCTGTATTATTTATGTAGTTCTGGTCATTGTGCATTATCAGTTCAAATGTCATCTCATGATGCCTTTCCTAATCCTGTAGGTAGTTAGTCCTTTAAGACTTGGGGTTCCTTTAGTGTTTTTATGATTAACTTAAGAAGGTGTAGTTGTTTGTGTCTATGTCACCCCTGCCAGACTGGTCATCTTGAATCAAAACGTCCGTTTATTCACATTTAATTCTCCAGCACCTCGCACTTAGTGGGCGGCAGGGAACGTTTGTAGAATTAGACACTGGAATGGAGCCTACTAAGTCTCCCCACTTCAGTCTTTCTTACGTCTAACAGGCAGATTCGTATTAGTGACACTCCCTTACTCACTGTCTTCAGTGGCCTCCCATTCCCTACAGAGTTTTGTCTAAACTCAAGTATTTGGTGTGCTGTACTGTCTGACCTGACTTTGCCTTTCCAACTTCATTTCCTGTCACAGTGAGTCAGACTGGTATGTTCGCTATCCCCCAGAGGCCTCCATCCCTTTTCTACCTTCATGTCTTAAATCATTGTTTCATGAAAACCACTCCTCTCCTGTCTTAATGCCCCTGCTCAGGACCCTCTTCAATGCTATTTCTTTTGCAAAGCCTTCTCAGTTATTCCAGATAGACATAATCTCTCTCTGCTTTGAAGTCTCAGAGCGTGGTAACTGAGCTACTTGTCACATTTTAACTTTACAGAGGTAGTTAATGGACACATGGTTTTGGTTTTGTTTTTTGTTTTTTTTTTTCCTGTGTACCGTATTCTCTTAAAGGGCAGGTCTAAGATGATTCATCTTTGCGTGCCATACTTGTAAGTAGCACTGGGCAACTGGTAATTTCTGGAATGGCTAAATGAATGAATATGTGAATAAATAAGATTCAAATGGGGAGCTGGGTATGTGATACATAGCCATAGTAAGACACTGGGGAAGGCGGTACCCCCTCCCCTGATGCTTTTGTCTCCAGATATTATTAACTCAATTGTACCAAGTCTATTCATGAGAAATTTACTGACGTCTAACACGTTCCAGGCTTAGTACTTGAATTTGATTGATATACAATTGATATACAACATACAAAAGATAGCAATCATGTACCCTCACCTTAGTCACCATTCAGATAGCAGAGTGTTCCAGGGCCCTGGTCCCTGGTATTGGGTATGTAGGTCCTAACTTATATTCCCAAATGAGGCATTGCTCACTGTGCTGACTCTGTTTCAGACTTAACTAGTTAGACCAGTCGTGGTTTTGCTCTGCTTGACTAACTTGTGCTCTGGGTTGTTTAGCTAATCCATTTCTGTAGTTCAGCTTATTGTTTAAAATTTTCATTCTGGTTACATTTTAAACTTGAATTATGTTTAATTTTTAACTTTGTTAAAAACCAACTTCTATGTGGGGCTCAGAAGAATTGGCGGTGGGAGCTTCCCTAAGACTTTCTGGTGGAACTTTCAAGTCATCTGTCCCATTCTGTTATTTTAAACTGTTGAGAAATACTGTGTCATCTTTTCATTTCAGTCAATACTAATATTTGTTTTGGGAGGGAATAGAAAGATTTAATTAACAGGCAGGTGTTACCATGGAACTGCCAAATGAAATTAAGTCCACTCTTTTTTGAAATCTGATTCAGTGCCCTCAGGTCCTTTCTCACACTTGTGCTCTATTCTGGTCCTCTATACTCCATCTGTTTAATACTTAAAAGTTTCTCAGGGTTCTCCTTGTGTCACTTCACCAGGTTAATTCCTACCTCTAATTTAGGACTCAGCTTAGGCCTCTTATCCCTTAAGGAGCCGCCCTCTCCCTTCCTACCTCCACCCTTCCCCTTCTGAGATGAGTTACTTTCCTCTTAAGTCCAATCCTGTAATAGTCTGCATATTCCCATAAGAGAACTTCCCACAGTATGTACATTATAGCTGTTGGTTTACTTGTCTTTTTCTTCTAGTAAGCTGAAGCCCCAAGAGCTGGGCCTGTATCTGATTCCTCTTTTGTATCTAAGCTAGCACAGTGTCTGGTGTACATTAGACATTCAGTAAATGCTTGTTAATTAGTTTAATACCCAGCTTTCTAAATTCATCACAAGGATAGAAGCTATCAAGGAATGCAGTTAACTTTCCTTCTCTTGGGCTAAGGTTGTAAAAACATGAAATAGTAGGGAATTGATAACATTATTATGTAGTTACATATTTTGTAACTATAAATATAATGTTATTTAATAATATAAAAACATTAGTAGATAATCAATGTCCTGTGTCAAAACACAGAATTCAGTTCCTGAGCAACTTTGGCCCTACAAGCAATAACGCTACTAGTTGGCAGTTAACTCGCACAAAAGTAAATGAACCAGACAAGCATGTGTACCCAGAAAAAAAGTGACGAAGGGAGGCGCGAAGGATCCAGAAGGGAATGAGTTAACAAAACGCCACGTAGTTACTTGCAAACTAGCACAAAGGTGGATGTGGTTCATGAAGCTAGCTTGATTCAGAAGGGCTGAAATAGGGGCAAAGAGCAAAAGGCAACCAACAGTGAAAGCAAAGACTCATGGGGGAACAGGCAGACATGAGCAGGTGAGCACCCAAATGGGACCCAGGTTCTGTGGGATTGTCTGTGGGTGACACGAAGAAGGGACTCCAGAGTGTGAAGCTCTAGGGCGGGTGCCTAGGGAGTATTGGTGTTTACTCTAGAGACAAAGGTATATTGAAAAGACCTTGGAAGGAAATGAGCGCAGTGACAAACACTAGCTGGCACCAGGGTCTCAAAAGAATTGATGAGGGGACTTTGTTCGGGTGAAGAGACGAAAGTGAGCAAGAGATGTTGAGAAGACCAGTTCTGAGAGGAGTGAATTTCAGCACGCGAATGTGTATGCTCCCCAGTCTGTAGGAAGTAAATTTGACTAGCTGCTTTATTTGGAGTAGCATAGAAAACATATAGTTGACACATTTGGGGAAACAATCCTGCCTTGTGGAAGTTTGAAATCGTGATCTTCCAAAGGGTCGGTAATTAATCTCCTGTTGGAAAGAAGTCAGCTATTATATTCTTGTTAAATGGATAGGATAGGAGCCAGTGCCCGAGTTATTGGGTCACTGTTCATCTTTTCAGAGTATTTATTCAATACCTACTGTGTGCTAGCACTGTTCCAGTGCCAGGAACACATCAGCGTATACAACAGACAAAAATTCCCACCCATAGATAGCTCACTTGAGGATGGCAGGAAGCAGGGAATCTGAAAAAAACAAAAACACTAAAGTATAAATTATACAGAAGATGGAAAGTGCTATGGACAAAAATAAACAGGGAAGGAAGGTAGAAGTGCATGTGGCCCGGTGGGTGGCAATTTTAAATAAAGTAGACAGAGAAATTCTCTAGGTGACATTTAGAGCAAAGACTGACAAAATGAGCAAACTTTGTGGGCTGGGGTCACATGAAAAAGGATGCCATTCTATATATTCTCAATTGTAAGCCTTTCTAATACCATTCTTAGTGAATCTTAAAGAAAAATAACATTAGAAATGGTGTTGGAAGATAGGGATTGAAAGCAGAAGGTACTGGATGTTTTCACCCTTTGCTTTCTCTAAAATCTACTGTTTATTTTACTCTGAACACCTGGTATGACTCTGCACTTTTTCACTCCATGAAAACAGATACCTAGCATGCATTTTTTCCCCCTTGAAATCTCTTTTGGAAAAAAAACAAATGTTTGCTTAATGGAAATGGAAGCTGGAGAGGTTTTTCAGAAACCACAATAATAGAGAAAATATGAGTGAGCCCTGAGAAGCTTGTGTGGAACTAGACACAGGTAGAGGAAGGCTGGTGACTGGAAAGCCTTAACTGTTCTTCCCGAGGGAGAAAGGGACTAGAGACTGGGTATGTCTTGACCTCTGGACAAAGCAAGGGTCCATTAATACTCAGAGAATCTGAAAGGGCAGTTTTTGTTTTCAGTTATTTAGATTGATCTACATGACTGGCCTGTTTGCTGTGAAAGAAGAGTCAGCCAAAGGGAGTGATTTAAAATGTGAGTATGAATCTGCCCAAGCAGCTCCCCTACTTCAGTGTTGTTTTGCTGGGATAAAGTTTCCTTTGAGACTCTATAAAAGGTTTTTGGTTTTTGGTTTTTGTTTTTTTCCTAGCCAAAACCTTTATTCTTAACTATCAAGTAGAAGTCCAGCCTTGAATTGTGTTCCAACTGATTATTCTAACTCTGCCTTTTACTCCCTCAGAACTACTGTGGTTATTTTAAATAGTTTAAACTCCAAATGCAGTTAACTTTCATTTACATTATTTTATATAATATCTCACCTTTGGGAAGAGAAACATTTTGATAAAATGAACCCAAGGACGTCGACAAACTTGAGAATGACTGAGAATCCTCAGTCTATATTCCAGATATACTCAGTTATTCTGTTGGAAATCAAGGGACTGGATAGTGGGAACTTTGGAATTAGATCTTGTTTAACCACCTGTTTACATAAGGAGAAGACCAGAGGTGAAAGCTCAAACAGGACACTCAAAACTGTTTTGAACAAAGTACATAAAGGGCAATTAAGGAAGCCTTAAATGTTAGAGGATTGGTGTAGCATTCTTTATGAATACCAAAAGGTAATGAAGCTTAGAGCAAAGACAATATAGCTCATCCAGGAGACTTTTTTTTCATGTAACCCTGCTCTAGGTTTTCAGCATCATTTGTATCCAGCCTACCATCATACACAGATCGAAATTAAAGCCGAGCACTAATGCTAAGATTTTTGTCTTTGCTAAAAACATATTAAGAAATAAAGGCAGTAGTAACTTGCCATAAGGGAGGCTTTTGGAATCAGAGAAGAAGAAAGGTTGGCAAGAGTGAAGACTGATTTCTAATCAAGATTTCACTATTGACCAGCTTTTGGATTTTCTGCAAGTCATTGAGCCTCTCTGGCTTAATTTGCCCATCTGCCTTAAGTGTTTTTTTGGGCTGTTGTTGTAGCTGTTGTTGTTGCTTTGTTTTTTTGTCTTTTTTTTTTTTTTTTTGAAAGATATGGGGTACAGGGAGAGGGAGAGAATCCTAAGCAGGCTCCACGCCAGACCTGGGGCCTGATGCCAGGCCCAGTCTTAAAACCCTGCGATCATGACCTGAGCCGAAATTAAGAGTTTAACTGACTGAGCCGCCCAGGCACCCCCAACTGCCTTAAGTTCTTACTGGGATAACATGGCTTGAAACCTGTGAAGGATGTTTTTTAAAACCATGGTGTCCAAAAGCCTGGCTGGCTCAGTTGAAGGAACGTGAAACTGTTGATCTGTGGCTTGTGAGTTCAAGCCCCATGTTGGATGTAGAGATTACTTAAATAAATTAAAAGAAAACAAAAACAAAAAAAAAAACCCACAATGGTCTATTTAAGTGTTTTTAAATTAAGCTGATTTCCCTAAAATGTGATTGCATGTACAAGCCACTGGCAATATTATTGGTCACAGGTAGTGGTCCAGTAGCCGGAATTTTAGAGGCTGTAGACACCCCAATGCTAGTGACTTTCTAACTTCTTTGTGACTTTATGGCTTTAATTCAGAAATTGAAACATCTTATATCAATCACAAACAAAGGAGGGGGTGCGCCTGGGTGGCTCAGTGGGTTAAGCCTCTGCCTTCAGCTGGGGTCCTGATCTCAGGGTCCTGGGATCGAGCCCCATATCGGGCTCTCTGCTCAGCGGGGAGTCTACTTCCGCCTCTCTCTCTGCCTGCCTCTCTGCCTACTTGTGATCTCTCTCTCTGTCAAATTAAAAAAAAAAAAAAATCTAAAAACAAAGGTGAGGGAAAGAGGGAGGGAGAGTTAGTGTATGATCTAGAGACAAAATTGCCAAAATGGAAAAGAAGACAATTAGACTCAACAATAAGAGCAGAGTGGCAGAGAAAGCCTTGAGTATGAGAGATCCCACCCTACAGTTGAAAGGAGAGAATGGGGAAATATATTTTAAATCCCATTTTTCTTTTTGCAACAAGATACTCTTCAGAACAAGGTGTTAGGAGCCTGTGTTACCCTGGTCTAGCTTGTTGTGCTGGTTAGGAAAAATAGAGAAAGGAGCACCTTGGGGGAAGGGGTGGGATTTCTGTAGTGGGTGTTTCTTCCTTTACAGGTATAAACAAAAGACCAGTTGGCCTAACCATGTGTTTCTTTGTCCTATAAGCCACTGCAGGTGAATGACCAGTACTGCTTCTGTAACAAAAGCCTGGACTCACCACATCTTGAGAAGAGAATGGCCACTACCTGGGGGGCAGCCTTTTTGATGCTGGTGGCATCCTGTGTTTGCAGCACTGTCTTCCACAGAGACCAGCAGACTTGGTTTGAGGGTGTCTTCCTGTCTTCCATGTGCCCCATCAATGTCAGTGCCAGCACATTGTATGGAATTATGTTTGATGCAGGGAGCACTGGAACACGAATTCATGTTTACACCTTTGTGCAGAAAATACCAGGTAAGTTCAACTGGTACCCTCACCAGTGCCTCTTAATCCACACTTCAGCATCTCCTTCCAGAAACAAATGTGCCGAGTGAATGTGATATGAATTATGGTAACTCACAGCTACTGAATGTCTTTCTTCAGAGAAGATTTTGGGCTGTCATTGAATATATGGTTTAATTCAGTGTGAGATTAGATCTGGGTTGCCTGTAGTCTGAAACCCCTATGTCCAAGAAATATAGCTTTAATTTGTCCTTTTCTTTAAAGGTGGTTGATGCTCTAGGGTCAGAGTATGGAGAATATTATAAGTGGTCTTGAGAGAGGATCACTGCCATCCTTGGAGAAGGAGATGAGGGGACCTTGAAGATGAACTTTTTCTGAATTTCCAGTGTTCTCAAGTTACACATAGAGCCTAGGGGCAGCATTAGCAGCAGTTCATCCTGAGAAATGCCAGAGGGACTCTCGAGAATCGCCTGTCATCTTCTGTCCCCCTACTCAATACTCCTGCAAGCCACTCCCCACAGGTGGGATTACTTGGGATGGCTTGGAGGAATAGCAGGTTAATCTAGTGGGTCATATGATACAGAGCCCACTATCAAAAGCAGCCTAACTTTGGGTAATTAGCCTTCTCACTTCTGTTTTGTTCCATGGACAAAATAGGACAGCTTCCAATTCTGGAAGGGGAAATCTTTGAATCTGTGAAGCCAGGACTTTCTGCTTTTGTAGATCAACCAAAGCAGGTGAGTTTTTTACAATTAGATGTTTAGGTTCTTAATGCTTTGATAACTTGACCATACAGCTGCTGTTAAATATCTCGTGCTGTTCACTGCTGACATTGAGACCCTGTGTAAGACAGTTTTCTGTCCTCGGCTATATACCAGAAATTATACACCCCAAGCTCACCAGGGCTTAGGCAGAAGGAAGCTAGAATAGACTGTGGGACATGAAGGGATGACACCATCTTTTTAGAGATAGCTCCCTTTGTATTTACTGTGTCAGATTTTGAGTTGAAGCTGTCAACTGCATTGATGAGTGTAGATTCAGAAGACGGACATGGAGTTCTCTTTGAGTGTGAGGTATCAGCAGGGTGATTGAGGCAACGTGGACCCAATGAACTTCGTTTCCAAGTACCCTGATCTGGGCAGACCGTGCATGCCTGAACTCTGGAAATTAGCAAAAAACTCATGAGAGCAAAAATCTTTGGTATTAGAGGATGAATGGAGAGTTTTGTCATCACTGTATTTCACATTCGAGCACCCATAATGTGCTACACCCACTGTGTCAGAGGCCACGCTGAAATAGAACAAAGCAGAATATTGAAGTCTGGAAGCAAATGTGAAGGTATCGTTCTGTGTTACAAGCATAATCATTGACCAGAGGAAAACCTTATATTAAAAATGGCTTGGGGGGAAAAATACCTTGGGGCATCTGGCTGGCTCAGCTGGTAGAACATGCAACTCTTGATCTCAGGGGTTGTGGGTTTGAGCCCCATGTTGTGTGTAAAGATTACTTAAGAATATAATCTAAGAAAAAGTGGCTTGAACTTGAAGAACTGAGAAGAAGTTTATTTTCTCAGCATACTGTTACGAAGTGGCAAATGCATCAGAAAATTAGGAGCTATTGAAAGCAAACTACATTATCAGAAACTGATTTGACATTTAGAGAAGATTGTGTTGTGGTTGCTAATAATTAGAATGATTTAGAGGCAGCCTGTTGTCAGATTAGATGTTTACTCAGGGAAACAGTGGATTTAAAATAATGGTTTTTAATTTCATAAATTGAGTATCTGCTGTGTACTGTGCGTGTAGGTACTAGTGATGCAGATATGAACCTGACGTGTTCTGTACGCCAGCATTTGCGTGGCAAGTACACACACCCTGCCTCATCTAATGCATTCACCGGTTTTGTAGTGGTCTGAGGTGTATCTCCCTCGTATATACATATATATATATATATATACACACACATACACATATGGAGGAAACCAAGCCCCTTTGTTAAGCCACAGGGCTAGCAAGCAAGCCTTCTGACTCCACATCCAGTGTTTTCTTTACTATACCCAACTTTCTGGCCTCAAGCTAATTTATGAGACACAAAATAACAGTTAAAATGACCATGCTATAACAGAATCATTTTTGTTATTACTCAATCAAAATTAAATGGATTTTCTGTCAAAGAAGCCTACTTCTCTGGGTTTCTTCTCCTCCAGAGCAGAGAGTGGTTGGAGCCCTCTGCTGCCTCACTCTTAATAACCCCAGAACATGTTAAGGGAAGAGACAAGTGCCCCTAAATGACTGTTCACTGGATGAGTAGGTCACCTCTCTTGAAGGGTGCTGAGACTGTTCAAGGACTCCTAGAGGTGGCGAAAGACTCAATCCCCCGAAGTCACTGGAAAAGAACCCCAGTGGTCCTGAAGGCAACAGCGGGACTGCGCTTACTGCCTGAACAGAAAGCCCAGGCTCTGCTTTTTGAGGTAACTTTTGAAGTCTTTTGCATCTTGGATGATTCTTTTTACCCGTGTGAATATTTTATTTGTGGGTTTTTAGCTCTTTAGTGTGTGACGGCTGCCTTCAGTATTCCACCATTGCTAAGGCACTGGGGTAACTGCTCTTATTCTAGCCACTTATTTACATATTTAAATATTGCTCTTGAATTTATACAGCTTTTCCTAAAGTTTAAAAGTACTTTCTGTCCATGATATTCTTGATTCTCCTACCTTGTTAAAGCAGAATCACAAATTATGTTTAGCCCACTTTATTGAGGTGGAACTTAAAATGTGTATGTTTTAAGTGTACCATTAAATGAATTTTGACAGATATAGACATTTCCTTATACCCCTTTGTAGTCGTTTTTCCCTTCCCCTGAGGTCAGGCAACCACTGATCTGCTTTCTACCATTGTAGATTAGTTTTGCTTGTTCTTACATTTCATATAAATGTAATTACACAGTGTATGTTCCTTTATTTATGTGTTTTTTTCCTCTCAGCATAAAGTTTTTTTTTTTTAAGATTTTATTTATTTATTTGACAGAGGGAGACAGTGAGAGAGAGAGCATAAGCAGGGGGAGTGGAAGAGGGCGAAGCAGGCTCCCTGCTGAGCAGGGAGCCCGATGTGGGGCTTGATCCCAGGACCCCAGGATCATGACCTGAGCTGAAGGCAGACACTTAATGACTGAGCCACACAGATGCCTCATCATATAGGTTTTTTTAATTAAATTTTTAATTTTAATTCCAATATAGTTAACATACAGTGTTATACTAGTTTCAGATGTATAATATAGTGATTCAGCAATTCTGAACAATACTCAGTGCTTATCGTGATAAGTGTACCCTTAATCCCCATCACCTATTTCACCCATGCCCCCTCACCTCCCCTCTGGTAACCATCAGTTTGTTCTTTATAGTTAAGAGTATGTTTTTCTGTTTGTCTCTTTGTTTTAGTTCTTAAATTCCACATATGAGTGAGATATCATATGTTTTGTCTTTCTCTGACTTATTATGCTTAGCATTATACTCTCTAACTCCATCTGTGTTGTTGCAAATGGCAAGATTTAATTCTTTATGGCTGAGTAATATTCCATCATTTATATATACCACATCTTCTTTATCCATTCATTTGTCAAAGGACACTTGGGCTACTTCTATAGTTTGGCTATTGTAGATAATGCTGCAATAAACATAGGGGTGTTTGTATCCCTTTGAATCAGTGTTTTTTGTATTTTGGGGGTAAATACCCAATAGTGCAATTACTGGATTGTAGGGTAGGGTTTTTTTGTTTTGTTTTGTTTTTTTGAGGAATGCCCATACTGTTTTCCACAGTGGCTGCACCAGTTTGCATTCCCACCAATAGTGCATGAGGGTCCCCCCCCTTTTTTACATCCTCCCCAACACTTGTTGTTTCTTGTGGGGGTTTTTGTGTTTTTTTGTTTTTATTTATTTATTTTTTAAGATTTTATTTATTTATTTGACAGACAGAGATCACAAGTAGACAGAGAGGCAGGCAGAGAGAGAGAGGGGAGGGAGCAGGGCCCCCGCAGAGCAGAGAGCCCGATGTGGGGCTCCATCCCAGGACCCTGGTTTCATGACCTGAGCTGAAGGCTTTAACCCACTGAGCCACCCAGGCGCCCTCTTGTGTTTTTTATTTTAGCCATTCGGACAGGGACAAGATGATATCTTGTTGTAGTCTTGATTTGCATTTCCCTGATGATGAGAGTTGTTGAGCATCTTGTCATATGTCTGTTGGCCATTTGTCCATTTCAACTTCTTGTTCAGATAAAAAATTTAAGTCAAAAGCTTTTTTAAACTCAAAATTTTTAACATTACTGAACATTTATTTCACAAAAAAACATGTAAACTAGTAAGATTTAAATTACATGTTATGAAGAATATTTATAGGTGGGATCCCATTATAACAAAAATCACAGTGGGGATGCCTGGGTGGCTCAGTTGGCTGAGAGTCCAACTTTTGGTATTAGGTCAGCTCATGATCTCAGGGTCATAGGATCGAGCCCTGAGTAAGGGCTCTGCCCTCAGCTGGGAGTCTGTCTGCTCAAGATTCTTTCCTTCTCTCTCCCTCTCTGCCCCTCCCCATGTGTGTGTGCTCTCTCTCAAGTAAATAAATAAAATCTTTTTTAAAAAGAACAGCAAAAAATGATTATTATGTGTGCTGATTCAAAATCCATTTTCCTGTGACTATCAGCACAGAGGGCTTAAGTCCCTTATCCAAGGACAAGCTGCCTACTGTGTCTGCATGAGAATCTGAGTCCTGATTCCCCATTCATTTACTCAGTTATTAAGCACATGAGTGCTTACTATGTACTGGTCACCGGTGAAGTTCCTGGGGACATTCTGCAGGGAGCAAAAACTGACCGTCAGTCTGTGTCCTAGAGAGCACGCATTCTAGTTGTAAGCGGACAGAAATTAAACAACTCACTACAAAGTATGTTAGGTACTGTAGGTGATTTGGAGAAAGAAAAAGCAGGGAATGTCAGCTAGGGAGTGCTGGTGCTGGTGTGGAGGGATACTGCTTTAAACAGGATGGTCAGGGAAGACCTCACTGATTAGATGCATTCGATCAGAGACCTGAGAAGAATAAAGAAGCAAGCTATATAAGACATTTGTAGGAAGAATATTCCAGGCTAAAGAAATAGCAGGTGCAAAGGCTTAAAGCATGGAATGTGTGTGGTATGTTCAAAGAAGGGCATCCTGAAGGTCACTGTGGCCGGAGGGGAAGTGAGTGATGGAAGGGAAGTAGATGATGAGGTCAGAGAGACATGAGGGGTTTATCATGTAGGATCTTAAAGGCAAGTGTAAGGACTTTGGGTTTTTTTTTCTAAGAAGGAAGTCACTGGAGGGTCTTGAGCTGAGAGGCAGCATATGACATCTGTTTTAAAAGCACCACTCTGGGGATGCCTGGATGGCTCGGTTGGTTAGGGGTCCAGCTCTTAGCTCAGGTCTTGATCTCGGGGTTGTGGGGTTGAGCTGGCGTTGGGCTCTGTGCTCAGTGCGGAGTCAGCTTGAGATTCTCTCCCTCTCCCCTTCCCCCACCAACACATGGGCACTCTCTCTCTCTAAAATAAATAAAAATAAATCTTAAAAAAAAAAAAGTAAAGAAGCACCACTCTGGCTTCTGTATTAAGAATAAACTGTGGGCAGGGGGAGAAGAGTGGAGAGGGCAAGAGCTGAAACTCTCTCGCTGTGTTTATTCCTGTTTGCTTATCTGTCTTCTCTTTAAAAGCTTGTTTATAGATCACTTGACTGGCTTTTCCTGGATGAAACAGGGTCCAGAGGTCCTCACAGGAGGTGTTTCATCCTGTCAGGAATGAGAACAGCCGGCAGACCAGAGTTCTTCTATTTCTGTTTGGAAAGTCTCCCCCGCCTCATGATAATCATATAAAAAAATAAGACATAACACCCATGTCATTGACCTATATTTATGGAGAGTCAAGAGTGGGTGAGATGTCCATTCCCATCTCCTAAAACAGGATAAATAAATCTAGACCTGGGATCTCTGTGGACTCTTGAGGCCTTAGCCGTGTGCCAGAATCTAACAGGGGCTGACAGCAGAGTACTCCAGCCTATGGACATGAGCCCCCTTTGTGAGCAAGGCCAAAGACCTGAAGAATTTGGTGTGAAAATAGAAGAAATGTTTCTGTAGCCTCAGGAGCTGCCTAGGCCCAACTCTTCTCTACCATCCGTTTATCTTGCCATCTAAGAAATCAAGTGGTAAAGGGTCCTCCTAGCCTCATTGCCCAGGCAGTATTAATAAGGTATTAAAAAAAAAAATGACAGGATCCTGATTTGAGCTGGAGGGGGTCACATATGCCTTCTCCTAGGTCCAGTTCACCTATACATTTCGATAGTTTGGTTGAGATTTATTTTAAAGTCAGAGGAACCCCTACGTTTTTTGTTTTTACAAGAAACCAGGAATGGCTTTTGTAGTTCCTTCTCTAGGGTTGTTTTTTTTTTTTTTTCCTTCTCTAGTTTCTTAGGGAAAAGGAATGTTCTGCTAAAATTTTATCTAGGGAAATAAAGAGTATAGTTTTCTAAGGCTTAATAAGATACAGCCAAAATATGGAAATCTTCTTTATTGCCTTGGGGAATCCAGAGTTTTTCCCTTTTTCTCTAGGTAAGAGAAATCTTCAAGAAGTCACCTTTCCTGGTACCAGATGACAGTGTTAGCATCATGGATGGATCTTATGAAGGTGGGAGAAGTGTTAATACGTGTTCTGGGGGGAGAGGGCTAGAGTTAATAAAAGATGTGAATAAAAGAACTGGGAACGGGGATGAGGGTGTGGAAGTAAAAGGAACTAAACAAGGAGAAACAAATGAGGAATGGGCTAAGAGGAAATGGAAGGATAGGGAAAAGGAAAATGTGTTTTAGACAAAATTTTAGAGAAAAAGAACAAAAATGAGGTCAAGGAAGATCGGGGATGCTCTGAGTTACAGTCTCTGTTTTTCTCTCTCTTTCAGGCATCTTAGCTTGGGTTACTGTGAATTTTCTGACAGGTAATATATTCTCAAGTTTATTCTAAGACGTTAACTGGGTTTCACACGGGGTCAAAGAGTAAATATCCTTGTTTGCTTGTATTGTGTTTAAAAAAAAAAAAAAAGAAAGGAAGAGTTAGGAAGTTAATGTTTATAACCTGTCTTCAAGGCCTCAGCTGCCACAGGCGTCCTTATAGGTTAGCACACATAACTGCCTTCGGGGCTGGGGAGCAGTGGAGTGTTTATGGACACCTGCCGTATGCAGGAGCAGGAGAGAGATTGCAGACAGAGGAGTGCTGGGCTGTCCCGGGAAGCAGAAGATATTCAGAGCTGGCTCTCATTCACAGGTCAGCTGCATGGCCACAGCCGGGAGACTGTGGGGACCCTGGACCTGGGGGGGGCCTCCACCCAAATTACGTTCCTACCCCAGTTTGAGGTGAGTTGTTTACATGAAGGCCTGGTTGGCAGCCCACTTGGCAGGTATGTCATGGTGCCAAGAAAGTGGTGGCCCATTTTCAGACAGCAACTCTGCCACAGATGGGTTGAGTGGAGTCTGTTAATGACTGGGTATTGTCCCCTCACTGTTCACAGTCCCTTTGATTCCTCCAGCCTTGTGAGATCAGCAGCTTAGTCTGTCTCTTTCATCTCTGTTTTTTGGGGGAAGGACAGGGATGGTGGTGGTAACATCTCCAGACATTTGCAGATCCTGAATAGTCTTTTTGCTTTTTCTGATTTGCAGAAAACCCTGGAACAAACCCCTAGCGGCTACCTCACTTCATTTGAAATGTTTAACAGCACTTATAAGCTCTATACACACAGGTGAGGAGGGGGACAGAGCGGAGTAATATTTCCTGTTGTATGATTCTTCTAACTTTTCAAAGCATTTTCACATCTGTTATTGCATCTGACTAGCCTTACAAAGTCTCTGCCAACCCCCAGAGGTCTGGTAACTGAAACCAAAGCCACTTACCAAAGCCCAGGGACCCAAGAGGTTTCTCCATTCTTGGTCTCAAAAGTATATAACTTAAGGAGTCAAAAGTTTTCTCTAGAGAGGGGCGCCTGGATGGCTTACTCAGTTAAGCATCTGCCTTTGGCTCAGGTCATGATCCCAGTGCCCTAGGATTGAGCCCCAAGCAGGCTCCCTGCTCAGCAGGGAGTCCCACTTCTCCCTCTCCCTCTGTCACTCCTGCCCACTCATTCTCTCTCTCTCTCCCTCTCTGTCCCTCCCCCACGCTTCCTAAAATAAATAAACTTAAAAAAGTTTTCTCTAGAGAGAGGACACTTGAAGGATCTTCAGCTAAAACTCGGTGCCAACTCCTTTTGAGTTTGTTTTCAGATGTTCAAAATCCATCCTTAGATTTGATCCCAGTGGGGCTGGAAGCTAAAATAATGAGAGCTTTTCTGGATATGGTTCCCAAGGTGAGACCCTAGAAAGCATCACTGTCTCTGGCCTTTAAATCATAGGCATGGAAAGTTCTGGATGGCCTTGATCTGAACTGGACGGAACTTACCATTTGTCCACACAAGTTGAAGAGGTCACAGAGAACAAGGCTTTCCTTCCTCCAGAGGGAGAGAGAGAATCCATACTGCTCTTGAAAGAGTTAGCTTTAGGCTGGGGAACTTCAGGACCAGCATGAAATTAGTCAATCCTGTGTTTTACAGTTACTTGGGATTTGGATTGAAAGCTGCAAGACTCGCAACCCTGGGAGCCCTGGAAACAGAAGGTTCGTCTGGGAACCTGTGGTGGTTGGTGAGAGTGACCCCCATACTCAGCTTGCCTTTCCTCTTCCTTGACGGTGATTCTGTGGATGAAAGGCTTCTGCTCATTTAGGTAGCATGTGTTGTATAATGGACATGATAGCAGATTCTTTTTCTACTTTGTGTTGCATTCTGTTGTTTTGGCATACATTATTAGCCACTTCTAGAACGAAGTCTATATGTAGGGCGAACACCTGTGACCAGGAGGCTGCAGTGTGCAGAATTCAAAGCTCCAAGAGTGAATTTGGCAGGAGTTTGCTCAGACCCTTCGTTGTACATGGGCGGTGCAGCAAGCAACATCAGCCCACTTGCTAGGTGGGGTGACTGAGCAACTTTATTCCTCTCTTCAGAGGTGGTCGAGCGGTTACAGGCAGAATGGGGTTCAGTCCCGCTTTGTGATTTGGGGCAAGTTAGCTAACCTGTTCCTCACCTTATATGAGATTTTGCATTTAATATACTTTTTACAGTGCCTGGCTCACAGTAAACTCTTACTGTGGTAATGATTATATAGCATTTCAGAGTTTACAAAACATCTCCAAATATATTTCATTTAAGCCTCATAATAACTAATGAGAAAAGTAGAACAGTATTTTTCCCCCTTTTTTTGAGGCGGGAGGGAACTTATTCCCTTATAGGTTTTGGATTTCTTTGAGACATGTTGAAAGCCATGGACCCCTCTGCCCAATGTACAGATGCACAAAAATTTATCTGTAGTTACAGAGGGTTCACCAACCCCACAGAGCCCATCTGTGGACCCTGAGTTAAGAATTCCTGTCGTAGGATGAAGTCACGGAACTACCTACTTTTTGGTAATTCCTTTCAGCTTGATTGGCTTCTCGCTTGCATGCGTGTATGCGTGCGTGTCTCTACTCTCGCGCACGCTCTCACATCCTTGCCTCTTACTCTGTGGTCTGGCTTCTTTCAGGGATTGATGGACACACTTTCCGAAGTGCCTGTCTACCAAGATGGCTGGAAGCAGAGTGGATCTTTGGGGGTGTGAAATACCAGTATGGTGGCAACAAAGAAGGCAAGTGATGTTTTTTCACTGGTTGAAATTACCTTTGCAGTAGAAGTCTGGAAAAGTTCTGTGGGAAATGTTTTCCAGAACTCAAGAGAAGCTTGTCTTTTGCAGGGACTCTTTCCAGATAGATCTTGGTATGCCATAAAGGAATAGTGTGAAATGACAGCAAACAAGGCAATTGTCCCTCTGTCCTGCTCTTTCCCAGCCCAAGTGCTCTGCGGATCCATTAGTAACCTGTTCTTAACCTGGGCCTAATGCTTTAAGGGTCTCTGACCTCTGCAAGGAGAAACTCTATCTAGAAATTTTAGATTGTTAATATTTAGCTGCTTTTTTAAAAAAAAATTATTTATTTATTTGAAAGAAACAGAGATAATGAGAGAGGGCGAGAAGGAGAGGGAGAAGCAGACTCCTCCCTGAGCAGGGAGCCCGATGTGGGACTTGATCCCAGGACTTTAAGATCATGACCTCACCCAAAGGCAGACGCTGAACCAACTGAGCCACCCAGGTGCCCTTAATGTTTAGCTTTTTAAATTATAGTAACACTAAAAACTGAGACATTAGAAAGAATAATTCATCTTAGATATTATAAAAAGCAAAGACCTTAAAATCAAGGAAAAATCTCAGTGTTTCCAGTGAAGCCAGTGTTGAGGCTTCTGGATGCTTCTTATAAATACCAAGGAACATAGGCTAGGCAGCAGCTTGAAGCTGGATAAGACAATTTTTGGCGAACAGGTTCAGGAGGGAAGCTGCCATGGGGAAGCAGGTGCCTTTCCTGCAGAGTGACAGGGCTGTGCAAGCTCATTCATCTGTCAGCCTTTTGTCCTGAGCGTGCTGCTTTCCTTAATCCTCCTGCTGTCTGTTGGCTCCGGCAGCTTGCCTCAGCCAGCGCTCATTTTCCTCATGGTTCCCTGGCAGGGGAGATGGGCTTCGAGCCCTGCTATGCTGAAGTGCTGAGGGTGGTCCAAGGAAAACTTCACCAGCCAGACGAGGTCCGGAAGAGCTCCTTTTATGCTTTCTCTTACTATTACGATCGTGCTGTGGACACAGACATGATTGGTAAGTTTACTCCGGGAATCAGCCTGGGGAGGAGACTGAGCAAAGCTGTCCTGGGGAAGGGAAAGGGAGAAGAGGAGTATTTGAAAAGCTTTGTCATAAGTGATCAGACGACTCTTCTCCAGTGCTGGCTGTTGAATGACATTAGCTGCTGCAGTGGAAGGGTGAATATGATTTAGAACCTTTTGCTAGAAAGTGGCGTAAAGAGATACATATGAAGTCTATTTTTTTTACATTTTTGTTGAGGTATAATTGATATAAAATAAAATACAAATATTTAAATTGTATAATTTACTAAGTTTCGACATAGATATATACCATTAAGCCATCACCAAATTCAAAATAAGACATCCATTACCCCAAAAAGTTTCTTCCTCTCCCTTGGTAACTTCTATTTCATTATCACAATAGTAATGCTTTTTGTTAGCTCTGTGAATGTATGTATGCTCTGTGATGGCCTGAGACAGGAATTAATTTCCTATTTTCTGTTTTTTTAGCAGGTCGGGTTTTTTATTGTGATTAAATATACATAGAATAATTATTAATAAAATAGACTACACAGATTATATTGTATGGCTATGTCATGTTTGTTTAGCCCATTCTGTAATGTTAGAAAATTCACTTTTGGTTTTTTTCATTATTATAAATATCACTAGGATGAATTTCCTTGTTTCCTTGAAGGCTTTTTGACATTAGCTACTGTTTCATTGTAGATTATGAAACGGGGGGTGTTTTAAAAGTTGAAGATTTTGAAAGAAAAGCAAGGGAAGGTAAGTGCCAATGGAAGCCGTGAAGGCAAGTCTGTGCATCTGTGCCTGTGAACTCCAATGACCTGAAAGTGACCCAGAACACCGCAGTCAGCAGAAAGCCTAGTTTCCCATTTTTGCCCAGAATTAAAAGCATTAAGTGGCATAAAAATCCATGGGAATACAAGAGGCTTTGGGGAGATGGTGAAAACCTTTTCTTCTTTTCTACATTTCTTTCTTCCTTCCTTTTTTTTTTTTCTATTATTGAAGTATAATTAACATACAGTGTTATATCAGTTTTAGGTATACAACATATAGGTTGGGCTATTCTGTACGTTACCCAGTGTTTGCTGTAATAATATAGTCACTGCCTGTCTCCATACAACATTGTTGCAGTACACTCGGTGGTATACTTTTTATCTGTGACTATTTTATAGCTGGAAGTTTTTACCTCTTAATTTCCTTCACCTGTTTGTCCCATCCCCCTACCCATCTCCCCTCTGACAACCACCAGTTCTATTAAAGAGTCTGCTTTTTTCTTTGTTTGTTCATTTGTTTTTTGGGGGAGGGTTCCAGGTATAAATGAAATCGTATGGTAGTTGTCTTTCTCTGTCTGACTGAATTTCAGCATAACACCCTCTAGATCCATTCACATCATAACAAATGACAATGTACCATTCTTTGTTATGGCTGAGTAATACTCCATTGTGTGTGTGTGTGTGTGTGTGTATATTATGAATACATATATAGAAGATTGTGTGTGTGTGTGTGTGTGTGTGCGCACAAAATACATAATGTATGTATAACGTACATTGTGTACGTATATTACTATGTGTACATACACACACACCCCATCTTTATCCATCATCTATCAGTGGGCATTTGGGCTGCTTCCGTAATTTGGCTCTTCTAAATAGTGTTATAAGCCCAGGGGTGTTTATATCTTTTTGAATTACTGTTCTCATTTTCTTGGGGTAGTAGGCAGTAGTAGAACTACTGGATCTTATGGTATTTGTTTTTAATTTTTTGAGGATCCTCTGTACTCTTATCCATAGGCTGCACCAGTTTGCACGGCACAGGGGCCTTTTTCTCCACATCTTCACCAACACTTGTTATTTCTTTTCTGTTTGACACTAGACATTCCGATGGGTGTGAGGTGACCCCTTATTGTGGTTCTGATTTGCATCCCCCGAGGAGGAGTGACGCTGAGCTTCTTTGCCTGTGCCTGTTGGGTGCCATAAGTTTGCTGTGGGAAAATGTCTGTTCAGGTCCTTCTCCCATTTTTTTTCAAATACTTTAGTAACGATTTATCTCCTACAGTGGATAATATCAGCAAATCGTACTTTTTTGTACAATTCACATATTGCATGAAATATTAAAACATAGAAAAAGAAATTTTACTGTTTTAATTTTTTTTTTTTTTTTTAGAGAAGGAGGGAGGGGGGGAGAGAGGCAGGAAAGGAGAGGGAAGAGAGGGAGGGACACAGGAAGAGGGGGAGAGAGAGAATCTGCAGGAGGCTTCATGCCCAGTGCAGAGCCCAATGCAGGGCCCGATCTTACAACCCTGAGATGGCTCAGTCGCTTAAGCGTCTGCCTTCAGCCCAGATAGTGATCGCAGGGTCCTGGGATCGAATCCCGTGTCCGGCTCTTGCTCGTCAGAGAGCCTGCTTCTCCCTCTGCCTGCCACTCTCCCTGCTTGTGCTCTCTTCCTCTCTGATAAATAAATAAACAAAATTTTAAAAATATATAGGGGCGGGGCGCCTGGGTGTCTCAGTCATTGAGCATCTGCCTATACCTCGGGTCGTGTTCCAGGGTCTCCTGGGATCGAGCCCCACATCGTGCTCCCTGCTCAGCGGGAAGCCTGCTTCTCCCTCTCCCAAGCCCCCTGCTTGTGTTCCCTCTCTTGCTGTGTCTCTCTCTGTCAAAGAAATAAATAAAATCTTAAAAGATTTTAAAAATAAATTAAAAACTAAGTAAACTATGATCCCAGGTCCATTTGAGGGGGAGAGATGGGATATCCTAACCCTGCAAGAGGCTCCGTCAGTGCGCACAGCTCCAGTCTCCACGACTCCCAGGCATCAACCACATGGAGAATTCTGCTTTGCTTATCCTAAGTCTCTAGTGAGAGAAAATCTTACACCTGCCACCTGGTGGCAAGCTTAAATTCCACTCTTCACTCTCTCTCCCTTTCAGTGTGTGATAACTTGGAAAACTTCACCTCGGGCAGTCCGTTCCTGTGCATGGATCTCAGTTACATCACAGCCCTGTTGAAGGACGGCTTTGGCTTTGTAGACAGCACCGTCTTACAGGTAAGAGAGGATCATAAAACAGTCTGCTGACTTGGGAATTAAGAAAAGCACTTGTGTGGTAATCAGAGTAGCTGCAGATGGAATTATGCGGGCTGTGGGCGAGGCGCTGTGCAAGACATCATGAATGTGGGAAATTAGCTTGATGCAATGGTAGCTTCTAAGTATATTCCCAGGCAAGCTATCCCAGGGGTCACAGAGCAGAAGGCTTGCACCCCGAATTAAGGGGCCCAAGTCACATGGTTTATTAAAGCAAGTTCAGAGGGCAAGGGCAAGAAGCAAAGGGAAGGCAATGGGCTAGGAACACAGGATAGGGTACAGGCGTGTTGGAAGTGCCGTACTCTTAAACCCTGGGTTCATATTTCCTGCCTCTCTCTGTTGCTGACAGTATGGTTATAAGTACTAGAGCTGATCAAGGGGACCCAGGGACAGGATATGCCTGTGGCTGTCACATAAATTTGCTCAGTTTGGAGAGGCACAGTGACAGGTACGCTGGCTGGTAGCATTCATGCGCTCATTAGCCCATCAGATGGTTTTAATTGGCAAAGGACAAAAGGGTGTCCTCAGTGAGTGGGTTATTCCGTTTCTCATTGGCGTTGAATGCCTTGTGTATATGTAGTATGTCTTACTTTATATGTGCCGCATATACTTAGTGTCTCTTGAATCGTGGGTCCCTCTTTGTCTTCCTGTTCTATCCACTTGTTTCAGCACGTGCAGGCTCCGCTTTATCTGTAGGAAGTTATTTATTCTAAACACATCTTTTAATGTTTAATCCATCCCATTTACTTTCTTGTCTCCTGTACCGTAGTTGAATGACTGTACATTATGGTTACAAGATAATTAAGATAAAAAAATCTTCCCCTCAAAAAAAAAAAAAAATCTTGTCCTCAAATAGCATATAGTCTATTAGAAGAGATGTGACAGAAATAGAAGTATGGCACAGGCAACTTTGAACTTTGCACTAAAGGTATTTGGATTTAACGCATTGCATCTGACAGGAATATCAACATTTAAGGTGCTTACCAAAGAATTACTTGCCAGAAGAGTCAGTATCACGCAGTATTTAAAGGATGGCTCCATTGTCCCATCAAATCGGGGCTCACGTTCTGTGTCTGCAAGCTTACCACCTCTGTAACATTAAGTGATTTACTTCCCCTCTCTAACTTTTAGGTTTCTCATCCAAACTTAGGGATCTTTACCTATTTCCTAGGGCTGTTATGAAAATTGAGATACTGTATGTAAAGCAAAATGCCTGGCACATAGAAAGTTATTAATATTGGTATTATCAATGTAGGCATTTCACACCAGTTGGGGATAGATTTGTGGATAAGAAAGGTTATCCTAAGTCCTTAATACATACAAAGCTAACTTCCTCTACTTAGGGATCAACAATAACTGTGTCGTTTATTTATTTATTTTTTAAACAGATTTTATTTATTTATTTGACAGATCACAAGTAGGCAGAGAGGGAGGCAGAGAGAGAGAGAGAGGAAGAAGCAGGCTCCCTGCCGAGCAGAGAGCCCGATGTGGGACTCAATTCCAGAACCCTAAGATCATGACCTGAGCCGAAGGCAGAGGCTCAACCCACTAAGCCACCCAGGCGCCCTAACCGTGTCATTTAAAGACAGTTTTCTGGGCGCCTGGGTGGCTCAGTGGGTTAAAGCCTCTGCCTTCGGCTCAGGTCATGATCCCAGGGTCCTGGGATCGAGCCCCACATCGGGCTCTCTGCTCTGCAGAGAGCCTGCTTCCTCATCTCTCTCTGCCTACTTGTGATCTCCGTCTGTCAAAAAAATAAATAAAATCTTTAAAAAAAAAAAAAAATAAAGACAGTTTTCTGTCATTTCCAGTGCTGCTGTCCTTTTAGTCTTTGTTATTTCAATGGTGGCAGAATTAAATTCAGTGACAGGCATTTCTCTGGCCCAGAGGCCACTTTATTTCAGCTTCTTCACCCTTGGGCCATCAGCCCAGGCCTGAAGGCAGAGGAGCATTAGGGGCTGTGGGGGGCACTCCCAATCTGACTCACATGTCACAGACTAAATCTCAAGATGGTGGTTCACTGCCTTTCTTCCCAGTTTTTGGCACAGTGCCTAGTGTAGATTTCATCAGGTCAACACAGAAGCAGAAGTATTATATCATAAGAAATTAGTCCTAGAAAGAAAGACTAAATCCAGTTCACTGATTTCCAGACTCTTTCGTGTGTGGTGTTATCTGTGGTGGCATCATTGTTCAACAGAAGCTTACACAGAAGGCAGTAAAGCTGATCAAAGTTTTGCTGTCTGGTGGAAGCCGAGAAAGGGGGCCTGGAACTCCTTTAGCATTTGGCCTCCCTTACTCTTTCAAAGCACTTCCAAGAATTCCTAGGATTCTAAAGAAAATAGTTTGATAACACTATCCTAATCCGTTTGTTACCTGGTGGAGGAAATCAGGTCTAAACAGTAGCCCGAAGTCGCTGAACTAATCGAGGCACCACCTGGCTAGAATGCCTTAAATGCCTTGATTGGTTATTAATTAGTGCTTAAGAAATTTTGGTTTTTTACAGAGTATGAATTGAGAAGTTTTGTACGTCCTTTGCTACCCCTAAATCTATTCCCAATTCCTCATGTATTCAGTTCCGGGGTAGGGAAAGAATTCAGACGCCTCTGTCAAGAAGGCCTGGGTGAGACCCCTTCCTGGGCCAGAAGATCCAGAGAGCAGATTGGCAGGTGCAAGCCACGGCAGGAGGGAAACTGTTACGCTGTGGGTAGTGGGAAGCCTCCCAAGACTGGCCACCCCAAATTTTACCTTGGTTTGGCCGTGTGGATGATCTTTGTAGATACTCTCTGCTTGTGTCATGTTTGCTAGAGCTGAAAATTGATGAAAATGTGAACTTTTTTTTTTTTTTCCTCCTCAACAGCTCTCAAAGAAAGTGAACAACATAGAGACAGGCTGGGCCTTGGGGGCCACCTTCCACCTGCTGCAGTCCCTGGGCATCTCCCACTGAGGCCAAGCCCTTCTTCTGAGGACTGCATTCTCCAACAGCCTTTCTAAAAGTAGGAGAAAGGACTCAGTCGTGTTCTGAGCCAGTCTGAGGATCACCTGGCCTGAAGCCCCGAAGCTGGATTCATCAGGTAGAAGGGGCTTTTGGACGCAAGTCTTGCCCTTGAGTCTAGAGATTTGGGACTCATTAATTTTATACATTTAAGGTGAACTGTTGACCTAACCACTCTGCTTGCACAGCTGGCACCAGAATCTAAAGCTTTGAGATTCTTCGTGTGTCACAAAGCCAAAAGGAAGCGCTTTGGAACTTAACCTTGGAGAGCCTAGGGACAGGTCCTTGGGAACCAAAGAAAAATCTCATTTCAGCCCTTTGAGTGCCTCATTCCTTTGAACATACTCTTTTCCTCTTCCATGTTAAACTAAGCCCACTGATTGCAGTCTCATGAGCCGTCAACACCAGTATTTTTCTCCTCCCTACACATTGCTGTGTCCCACCTTTATTTCCACCCACCTCCCCTAAAAAAGAGAAAGAAAAAAAAAAATACCTGGTTTTGCTTTTCATGTGTAACTCAAGGGGGAAAAAAAAGTAACAAATCTGAAATTATGTGATCCTGCTTTCTGCCAGTTCCAGCCAGACAGCTGAGAGGCATCCTAAATCTTGGCAAGATGGGAGAGCAGCTCCTAGCTGTGCAGACCCCATCTTAGAAACCGAGGACAGCCAGTCTCTAAGGACAAGGTTTGGGAGGGGTGGCTCCCTTGAATAGACCACCTTCTTTAATCGGCTTTTAATCAGACACCCTGGGATTAACTAACACATCCAACTTCACAGGACTGTGTGTGTGTTCAGCGCCCATACCTCCTCCCAGGCTAATGTATTCAATTTCTCATCCTAAACATGTTTTCTTTGTATTTCTAAGATCTGGCCTCTAGATTTTGGTCACAGCTCCTTTCAGGTTGTCCCTTTATTCTCTGTTATTTAGCAGTACCTCTTACTGCCCTGGTGCTGATCATTTTAGCTAACTTCCTGTAAATTGTTTGCCTAGTTCCACAGTTTCTGAGATCCTTCTTGGTGGTACTTAACGTTTGATTTGGTTGGACATTTGAGCCCACATCAGTACGGTGGATTCTCTTTCTGAATTTGAGTGCTCAGAACTCTTGATTCTGTGAATTACTTCCCCTAAAAGTCATTATCTTGTATTTTTTTTTTTTTTAACATGACCATTATCTGCTGCTTCTCTACCCACTCGAGTGTTCTTGGACTTGAAAGATCTTTCTAAAATCTGGCTCTTTTGCCTTGGCTCCTTGCCTCCAGCTTTTTCCCAGTACAGTTTATATAAATCTCCCCAAACTTGTAGCCTTCACAGTAGACTTTTTCAGATCCTTCAAAAAAGATGGTAATATACCTGGCCCTCACATCAGCTCCTGGGGAACCTTATTTTCTAGTCTTTCCATTGAGTCAGTATTTGACATCTGGTATGTGCAGGTAACTAGGCAAATTTCCATATCTTCATCCCCCAAATTTTAGTTATTTTTAAATACATTGTGGAATTTCTTCAGATTCTTCCAACTTTTACTATACTGAGGTCACCTTTAATATCTGTTCTTTCTCAAAAATGCTACATAATGGGACGCCTGGGTGGCTCAGTTGGTTAAGCGGCTGCCTTCGGCTCAGGTCATGATCCCAGCGTCCTGGGATCGAGTCCCACATCGGGCTCCTTGCTCAGCAGGGAGCCTGCTTCTCCCTCTGCCTCTACCTGCCATTTATCTGCCTGTGCTCACTCTTGCTCTCTTTCTGACAAATAAATAAAATCTTAAAAAAAAAAAAAAAAAGCTACATAATGAAATAATAGAATCTTTAGGATTAGGAACAGCCAAAGTTCAAACCCAATCTTATGCCCATTGAAGAATTCCCTTAACATATCTGACCAGTTATCATTCAGCTGCTGTTTAGGGATGTGTTCAGAAGCTCACTCCATTTTTAGACTACACTGATGTTTAAAAGAAAATCCCCTTTATATTGAGCTCAAATTACCTATCTTCTCAATGGTCTTAGTTCTGCTCTAATCCCTCCTTAGCCTTTCAGTCCTTTGAGAAAGCTCCCAAGTCCTTTATAGTCTCTTCTTTAACATACCATATGGCTTCTAGACCCATCTTTATAAAAAAAAAAATAGGGTGTTAGAACTAGTCATCATACACTAAATTGTTGTTTCATATGATCGGGGAGAGAGGACCATTTCCTCTAGTAGAAACCAACTTGTTTTCTGAGAGGTAAACTGTGTTCACTGGACTCATCCAGCTTGATGGGCCCAGACAGCTAAGATCCCATGGCGTTTACCAGCACAGCTTGTCTCTGAAGCCTATGAACACGGGTCGGGTATTGTTCAACTCCTTTGATCATCCCAGGTACCTTCAGAAATCTTGGGTAGATGCAGTAAAATTCCAGAAGTGTATCTACATATATTCTGATTATCTTGATGAGAACATCTAGAGAATTAATTTATCCATTTTAGGAGCAGTTTGGAATGAGAATTTTTATTTCTTAGAAAAACCAATTTTTCTGTAATTGTCCTTATTTCCCCTTAGTGTACTTTTGGGCCTCTTGTTAAGGGGTCCTACAGAATCTAATATTGCTGGTTGTTCTCTCTCTGTAAATGTGTTTTTAATGTTTCTAATACTAAGGACATGACCAGGCACGAGTGGATGTTCTGTGTTTGTTACCATCACTATCATATGAAGAACATCCTCTCTGGGTCGTGGAGGTCCTTGCAAGGTGTGCCTTAAATTCTTTCTGTCTTGCCGGATTTGGTTCACGTACTTGCGGAGTCCATGATATCCGTACCTGGGTGGGCTACCTTTCCATATTTTGTTAAAAATTACCTTTTTTTTCCCCTACAGTGACCTTCCTGGACTCTGCCTGTACTCACATGGCTTTTCACGGTAATTGCCCTATTCCATTCTGGGCACGTTTCTCCTGAGATCCCAGGAAGGTTCATGACTGTCACTTTTTTAGCATCTTAAAAATATTCTGCTTTTGCCTGTAAAGCTACCCCTGTGGTAACAGATTTCTCATTCCTTCAAAAATTATTCTAAAAATAGCTTAGTTTGGCCCAAAAGCAGACTGTTTCTTCTCATTTCATCTTCAAATCAGACTTTTGGACAAGGTGTTTTTTAGTGTACAAATCCAGTGGATGCGCAAATCTCTTTAAAAGGATTCTCTACTACTGTGAGGTGAGGTTTTTCAAAAACCCAAAGCAAGATACCCCTTCCCCTGCAAGTCAGCCACCCGTCTGCAACCACACGTGAACAGATTCTGCTGCTAATTGAATTTCCTTTTTGACCTGGTTCCTTTTGTCAGACCTGTGCAATTAAATAATTTATTGTTTTATTACAGAACAGCCAATAGTGTCCTAGAGAGAAACCATAAATAAAATTGAAACCTGGTGCTGTGATAAGGAAATAATTAACATTAATAATTTTTTTTTTTCCAGAAAGTCCCGTGTGCACCTTTAACAAAGGTTAAAGTAATTTATGTTTCATCTGCATTGCGTTAGGAATTTTAAAACAGCAATTTTAACAAAAATGCATGAATTTGGTATTTTTAATTTTTATCTTCATTAGAAGGCAATTGTGTAAGTCTATGACTGGCATTAAAAAGAATTACATAAATTTTTTTTATCATATAAGTTCCTGGTGTACAGCTTTATAATTTAACATCCGTATACACTACAAAATGATCACCACCACAAATCTAGTCATCAAGCAGTTGACCTCCTCCTCTGGTAACCACTGGTCTGTTTTCTGTGAGGTGGTTTTTGTTTTGTTTTTGTTTGTCCTTTTGTTGAGTTTCCCCATGTAAGTGAAACTGACTTTTCTCTATTACATGTGATCTTTGGCTTCTTTGTGGTAGGTTAATTGCGTTGATATGTGTGGGTTTATTTCTGGACTCTCAGTTCTGTTCCATTTGATCTCTGTGTCTGTTTTTGTACCATACTGTTTTAAGTACTACACCTTTGTAGTATAGTTTGAAATTAGGGAGTGTGACATCTCCTCCTTTGTTCTTCTTTCTCAAGACTGCTTTGGCTACTCAGGATTTAATGTGGTTCCATACAGAGTTTAGAATCATTTGTTCTAATTCTGTATCCTATGCTGTTGGAATTTAGAGAACTACTGCATGGAGTCTAGAGATTGCTTTGGGTAGTGTGGAGTTTTTAGCAATATTATTCCAACCCATAAGCACAGACTAGCTTTCCATTTGTGTGTTCAGTTCCTCAGTGTCTTTGCTGTTTAAGCGTCCAGCTCTTTCATCTCATTGATTACATTTATTTATAGGTATTTTACGCTTTGTGATGCAATTGTAAATGGAATTGTTTCATTTTGTTTTTTAAATGGGATTGTTTTCTTAACTTCTGGCGCTTTGTTCTTAGTGTTTGGAAACACTAGTTTCTGTGTATTAATTTTATATCCTGTAACTTTACTGAATTTATTTTTAGTTCCGACAGTTTTTTGATGGAGTCTTTAGGGCTTTCTATATATAGTATCATGTCATCTGCAAATAGTGTTTTACTTCCTTTCTGACTTGGCTGCTTTTTATTTTTCTTTCTTGCCTAATTTCTGTAGCTGGGACTTAACAGTACTATGATGGATAGAAGAGGTGAGAAAGGGCATTCTTGTCTTGTTCCTGTTCTTAAGATGAAAGGCTTTCAGCTTTGTACCTTTGAGTATGATGCTAGCTAAAGGTTTGTCATATATGGCCTATATTGTGTTGAAGTACATTCCCCATTCCCTAATGTGCCCACTTTGTTGAGAATTTTTAGCATAAATGGATATTGAATTTTGTCAGATGATTTTGTACATCTATTAAGATGATAAAATGACTTGTCTTTCCTTCTGTTAACCTATCTAATTGATTTCCGTAGATTGAACTGTCCTTGCATCCCTGGAGTAACTTAATTATGGTATATGATCCTTTTTTTTTTTTTTTAAGATTTTATTTAATTTGACCCAGAGAGAGCTATCACAAGTAGGCAGAGAGGCAGGCAGAGAGAAAGGGGGAAGCAGGCTCCCTGCTGAGCAGAGAGCCTGATGCGGGGCTCCATCCCAGGACCCTTGAGACCACGACCTGAGCTGAAGGCAGAGGCTTTAACCCACTGAGCCACCCATGTGCCCCTCTATGGTCCTTTTTAATGTATCATTAGATTTGTTAATATTTTGTTGAGGACTTTTGCATCGGTGTTCATCAAGGATATTGGCCTATAAATTTTTTGTGGTATCTTTGCCTGGTTTTGGTTAGGAGAGTAATACTGGCCTTATAAATTGCATTTGGAAGCTAATCCTTCTCTTTTGGAAGATTGTGAGAGGTATTAAATCTTCC